TGTTCTTAGGATTTGAGTATTGTCGTGTTCTGAGGATTTGAGGATTATGATACTCTGCGGATTTGAGGATTCTGGTGTTCTGAGAATTTGAGGATTCTGGTGTTCTGAGGATTTAAGAATTCTCGTGTTCTGAGGATTTCAGAATTCTGGTGTTCTGAGGACTTCAGGATTATTATGTTCTGGGGATTTGAGGATTATGATGTTCTCAAGATTCTGGTGCTGTGAGGATTTGGGGGTTCTCGTGTTCTGAGGATTTGAGGATTCTTGTGTTTTGCGGATTTAAGGATTATGGTGGTATAATGGAGAGAGAGTGATAAATGGGAGAAAGAGAGAGAGGGTGATAAATGAGAGAATGAGAGAGGGTGATAAATGGGAGAATGAGAGAGTGATAAATGGGAGAATGAGAGAGAGGATGATAAATGAAAGAATGAGAGAGAGGGTGGTAAAATGAGAGAATGAGAGAGAAGGTAATAAATGAAAGAATGAGAGAGAGGATGATAAATGGGAGAATGAGAAAGATGGTGATAAATGAGAGAATGAGAGAAAGAGTGATAAATGGGAGAATGAGAGAAAGGGTGATAAATGAGAGAAACTGATAAATGGTAAAATGAGGGAGAGGATGATAAATGGGAGAATGAGAGAGACTGATAAATGAGAGAATGAGAGAGACTGATAAATGAGAGAATGAGAGAGAATGATAAATGGGAGAATGAGAGAGAGGGTGATAAATGGGAGAATGAGGGAGAGAGTGATAAATGAGAGAATGAGAGAAACCGATAAATGGGAGAATGAGGGAGAGGATGATAAATTGGAGAATGAGAGAGAGGGTGATAAATGAGAGAATGAGAGAGAGGGCGATAAATGAGAGAATGAGAGAGAGGGTGATAAATGGGAGAATGAGAGAGAGGGTGATAAATGGAGAATGAGAGAGACTGATAAATGAGGAAATGAGAGAGTGATAAATGGGAGAATGAGAGAGATGGTTAATAAATAAGAGAATGAGATCTCTCTCATTCTTTTCACCATTTTCGTTCACTCTCGTGAACGAAAAGGGTGAAAGGACCAAAAAGACGAAAAAAACGAAAAAGCACCAAAAGGACGAAATGGACGAAACAGGACGAAAAGGACGAAAAGAACGATGAAGGACGAAAAGGACGAAGGACGAAACGGACGAAAAAGAACGAAATGGGCGAAAAAGGACGAAATGGACGAAAAAGGACCAAAAGAACGAAAAAGGACACAAAGAACGAAAAAGAACGAAAACGGCGAAAAAGGACGAATAGGACGAAAAAGGAGGAAAAAGGACCAAAATGACGAATAAGGACGAAAAGGGACCAAAAGGACGAAAAAGAACAAACTAGTGTTCTAAGCATTTGAGGATTCTTGTGTTTTAGGGATTTGAGAATTCTGGTGTTCTGAGAATTTGTGGATTTTGAAATTCTGAGGATTTGAGAATTCTCTTGTTCTGAGGATTATGATGTTCTACGGATTTAAGAATTATGGTGGTATGATGGAGAGAGAGTGATAAATGGGAGAATGAGAGAGAGAGTGATAAATGGGAGAATGAGAGAGAGTGATAAATGGGAGAAAGAGAGAGAGGGTGACAAATGAGAAAATGAGAGAGGGTGATAAAAGAGATAATGAGATAGGGTGATAAATGAGCGAATGAGAGAGAGGGTGATAAATGAGAGAATGAGGGAGAGTGATAAATGGGAGAATGAGAGAGAGAGAGAGTGATAAATGGGAGAATGAGAGAGAAGTTGATAAATGAGAGAATGAGAGAAGGGGGTGATAAATGAGAGAATGAAAGAGAGGGTGATAAATGGGAGAATGAGAGAGAGTGATAAATGAGAGAATGAGAGAGAGTGATAAATGGGAGAATGAGAGAGAGGGTGATAAATGAGAGAATGAGAGAGAGAGTGATAAATGGGAGAATGAGAGAGAGTGATATATGGGAGAATGAGAGAGAGGGTGATAAATGAGAGAACGAGAGAGAGAGTGATAAATGGGAGAATGAAAGAGAGGGTGATAAATGAGAGAATGAGAGAGTGATAAATGAGAGAATGAGAAATTGAATATTTGAAAAATCGAAATAATGAAATTTCGATAAATCAAGAAATCGAAAAATTGAAAAATCGAAAAAGCAACAAATTAAAAAATCGAAAAATGGAAAAAACGAATGAAAATTCAAAAAAGCCCAAAACTGAAACTTCGAAAAATTGAGAGTTCGAAAACTCGCGAAATGGAAAAATCGAAAATAGAAGAAAATTGAAAAATTCAGAAATATAAAAATCTGAAGAATTAAGAAATTGCAAAAATCGAGAAATGGAAAAATCGGAATATAGAAAAATTGAAAAATTGAAACATCCAGAAATTGAGTCATGAAGAGATCGAAAAATCGAAAAACCGAAAAATAGATAAATCGAAATAGCCCAAATTCGATAAATCGAAACATCGAAAAATTGATCGGGAGATTGTAAGAAATTGAGGAGTCGGGTGTTCTGAACATTCGAGGATTTTAGTGTTCTAAGGATTTGAGAATTCTGGTGTTCTGAGGATTTGAGAAGACCAAAAGGACGAAAAAGGACCAAAAGGACGAAAAAGAACGAAAAAATCGAAAGAGGACCAAAAGGACGAAAGAGGACCAAAAGGCCGAAAAAGGACGAAATGAACGAACGAAAAAGGACGAAATGAACGAACGAAAAACGACCAAAAGAACGAAAAAGACGAAAAAGGACCAAAAGGGGGAAAAGGACGAAAAAAGACCAAAAGGACGAAAAAAGACGGAAAGGACGAAAAAGGACCAAAAGGACGAAAAAGGACAAAAAGGACCAAAATAACGAAAAAGGACCAAAATAACGAAAAAGGACCAAAAGAACGAAAAAGGACAAAAAGGACGAAACGAATAGGACTAAAAAGGACCAAAAGGACGAAAAGGACCAAATGGACGAAAAAGGAGCAAAAGGACGAAAAAGGACAAAGAGGGCGAAAAGGACGAAAAAGGACGACGAAGGACGAAAAAGGACGACGAAGGACGAAAAAGGACGACGAAGGACGAAAAAGGACGAAAAAGGACGACGAAGGACGAAAAGGACCAAAAGGGCAAAAAAGGGCCAAAAGGACGAAAAGGACGAAAAAGGACGAAAGTCGAAAAAGGACGGAAAGGACGAAAAGCACGAATAGGACTTAAAGGACGAAAAGGACCAAATGGACGAAAAAGGACAAAAAGGACAAAAATGGACGAAAAGGACGAAAAAGGACGACGAAGGATGAAAAGTACGAAAAAGGACCAAAAGGGCAAAAAAGGACCAAAAGGACGAAAAGAACGAAAAAGGACGGAAAGGACGAAAAGCACGAATAGGACTTTAAGGACAAAAAGGACCAAATGGACGAAAAAGGACCAAAAGGACGAAAAAAGACAAAAAGGACAAAAAAGCACGAAAAGAACGAAAAAGGACCAAAAGGACGAAAAGGACCAAATGGACGAAAAAGGACCAAAAGGACGAAAAGGACCAAATGGACGAAAAAGGACCAAAAGGACCAAATGGACGAAAAAGGACCAAATGGACGAAAAAGGACCAAAAGGACGAAAAGGACAAAAAGGACGAAAAGGACAAAAAAGGACGACGAAGGACGAAAAAGACGAAAAAGGGCCAAAAGGTCGAAAAGGACCAAAAGGACGAAAAGCACGCATAGGACGAACAAAGGACGAAAACGGAGGAAAAATGACGGAAACGGAGGAAAAATGACGAAAACGGAGGAAAAATGATTAAAAAGGACCAAGAGGACGAAGACGAAATAGGTCCAAAAGGACGAAAAAGACGAAAAAGAGGAAAAAGACGAAATAGGACGAAAAGGACAAAAAAGGACGAAAACACGGCAAGGACGAAAAGCACGAATAGGACAAAGGACGAAAAAAGACCAAAAGGGCGAAAAGGACCAAAAGGACGAAAAAGGACCAAAAGGACGAAAAAGGACAAAAAGGACAAAAAAGGACGAAAAGGACGAAAAAGGACGAAAAGGACGAAAAAGGACGAAAAGGACGAAAAAGGACGACGAAGGACGAAAAAGGACCAAAAGGACGAAAAAAGACAAACTGGTTCGAAGCATTTGAGGATTTTGGTGTTCTAAGGATTTGAGGATTCTGGTGTTCTGAGGATTTGAGGATTCTGGTGTTCTGAGGATTTGAGAATTATGCAGTTCTGTGGATTTGAGGATTCTCGTGTTCTGAGGATTTGAGGGTTATGATGTTCTGGGGATTTGAAGATTCTAGTGTTCTGAGGATTGGAGAATTCTCGTGTTCTGAGCATTTGAGGATACTGGTGTTCTGAGGATTTGAGGATACTGGTGTTCTGAGGATTCTCGTGTTCTGAGGATTTGAAGATCATGTTTTGAGGATTTGAAGCTTCTGCTGCTCTGAGGATTTGAGTATTCTAGTGTTCTTTTGATTTGAGGATTCTGGTGTTCTGAGGATTTGAGGTTTATGATGTTCTGAGTATTTGAGGATTATGGTGTTCTCGAGGATTTTGATGTTTTGAGTATTTTGGTAAATTAATAATTTCAGAATTTTAATGTTTTGACGATTTCAGAATTAGGGCAGATGTGGTCTGGTCAGGTCAAGTCAAATCTAGTCGAGTCAGGTCAGCTCAAATAAGTTTCAATAATCAGATCATAAATATGACTTTTGTTGAGACTTGTTCTTTAAATTCTGGCAAAATTTCAAAAAAATACGTATACACTATTTGAATTTAACGTTCCAAAACATCTCAAATTCCGAAAAGGAGATGAGTTTGAGGATTTCCTCACATTTTGTAACATTTGAGATACCCTAACGACGCTCAAACATGAAGGAAATTTTAAATTTCGAGCATTTTGTTCGTTTTTCTCGGTTAATTGAACGGATGCGTCCAAAATCGTAATCCTGAGAAAATTTACGATAATTTGAGTAAGTTAGTAAATAAATATATGTAACAATTAAAAGAAAACAAATGAGAAACGAGTGAATTAGCAATAATTTATTGCTGCAGATATACAGGAGTTAATAACGTGTCAAGTGCACTCCATGTATACAGCACTTCAGTACAATGATGGAGAATTAACAATCGTATGACTAGAATCCTAATAAATAAAACAAAATAAATAAATAAATAACATTTACAACTGTATGACACTTGGAGGAAATTGGTATTAATTATCACAGATAAGGTTAACAATCAGACTAGATAATACAGAGGTAACAAGGAATATAACAGATTAACAATAAAGGTTTGTAAATATTAGACTAAGGTCACTTTATACTTTGGTCACTTCTATAAGAATAGGGTAGTGTAGATCATCAACGTATTCGCAATTCTCGAGCAAGGTCAACCTCTTCTCCCACACGACTTGACTATAATTCAGCACTTTCTTACAAGCAAAACCTTTGGCTTCCGATTGAGCAATAAAGTTGTCAAGAGTGCCGCCTCTTTTGGGAGCCATAACCAAAACGACCCCCTCCGGCCGCAAGCAGCTCCACAGGCACTCGATCAAGTCGGTTCGAGCGTCGTCGAAAAACAGGCAATCGGCACACAGGATCACGTCGTACTCCTCGCCTTGCAGGCGGCCCCATTTCAAGACCTTGCAAGCCACCGGGCAGGCGAACTCGTTGCAGTGCAAAGCCGCCTGAACGTTTTCCACTGACACTTTATTCCCGTCGGTGACGGTCACCGCCAGCGGGGCGGCGAACTTGGCGGCGAAAAGGCCGGCCAAGCACGACATGCCGCCCCCCAGTTCGAGGAGCTTTTTGTCTTTGAAGAGGGACAAGTTGGAGCAGACGTAATAGCTGAGGGTTTCTTCCGAGGGCCAAATGCATATGTTGCCGGTGTTGTTGAAGCCCATGAGGTCTTCTGCGGAGAACGTGCGATTGCGGTGGCCTATTTTTACGGTGAATTCTAAACTATCTATTTGAATGGTGTATTTGTACCATGTGCGTTTGGCGATTTGGTCGTTAATGCGGAAATCTTGCGAGTTTATCGTTTTAGGAACGGATGACAGCTGCTGTGTCCGTAGGAGCATGAAGGAAGAAATTCGTCGGACTGAAAATTCTTCGACGGGGCTTGACGGTTCGCTTCCTACTGGGCTCTGTGTGGAAAGACACATTTTAGAACCGGGGGGTAACAAATACTCTAAGAAAAACCAAGGGGGGAGTATACCTTGAGAGCCTTAGCCAGGATGGCCCAGCGTCTGCGTGCCACCTTTTGCTTCTCATTTTTGCTAAGCGCTATCACTTCACTGATATCAAGACTGCAACTAGACTCTAACAAACTTTTACTTTGGTCCATAGAATGAGCATTATGTTTTTGTATAAGACTGCCTGCAAAGGCATCAAAATCGAATTAGTTTCTGCAACTACGTGACAATTTCATTCCTTCATGCTTTTCAGCCGGACACAGCCAACACGATTAAGTATTATAAAACAAGCTATTTTAAAACAGGCCCAAAATAAAAACATTTAAAAATAACAAATGGTTTTGTTTGTGAAAAAGAATAAAGTAACAAATAAATACACAATAATAAAGTATGTCACACGAAATTGGGAGACAAGGTACTCACATTTTCCACTAAGGATTCCTCGATTTTCCCGGGACAGAAATAGACACACAACACTTGTCTTCCAATAAATGATTAATTCTGGTGTCACGTTTTCACTACTTTAGCATTAAACTGCTGTGGAGGATGCAAAATAAACACAGCTGGTTAACCAAAAATTCGTGGATTTGACATTTGCCTTGGGGGCGGAATTTTCGATCAGTTCTACCCTGTATTCTGCTCACTGGAATGATAAATTTCCCAAACGGGCGTCTTGCGGAAATTAAAAGCAATCACAGAAAAATGTTCCACGGTGGGAACTGGAAAATATGCTAAATATGCTACATTTGCTAAATTTGACACTGCACGCAAGATACCGCAGTGTATAAAGTGTTGCCTACCAAAAGGCGCAAAATCATTACCCTAAACAAATCAATACAGGAGTTTTTACTACGAGGAAACAACAATTTTAAACAAATGTTTTATTGCTAAAAGTTTTCATTCAAGATTTATTTATCCAACAACACGTGTAGATTTTTTAATTATGTATTTATACTAAATTTAGAAAACATAAAAATTATCGGAAATGTTTCAGAACATTATCACAGTGTTTTTGGTCAAGTAAAATACGAAAATCTGATAAAACTTAACTAAAATAAATACTAAAGTCGAGTAGCACTTCAAAATTCGTTCATCAGATATGACCACCCGATTTACGTTTCAAATAATTCCGCGAGATTACACCACTTGTACTAGGACCGCACAGATAAATAATACTACGTAAATTTCACAACAAAATGTCTCAAATGGTCAATTTTTGTAGATAAATATAGATTTTGCAATTAAGGGGTGGGTGTGGCTTAATTATTGGCTTATTTTTCTACTTTAATACATATAGTTTTCTTTCAACAATACGAAACTTAAAACATGTTCCAGTTTTTTGTAGAAAAACAAGGATTTTGCAATTAAGCTATGTCCCTCGAATCACAGCGAATAAAAAAATCATCACAATTGAGATGGGGGCGGGTGGGCGGGGCTTATATTTGCCTTTTTTAACGCACGTAGCCTTCTTTTGACAAGAAACCTAGAGCATGTTTGAAATGGTAAATTATTGTAGAAAAATTTGGATTTTGCAATTCAGTTCAGCCCTTTGATCTGACAACAAATGATAAATTTATCACAATTGAGACAGGGGCGGGTGGGCGGGGCTTATATTTGCCTTTTTTTTAACGCACGTAGCCTTCTTTTCATAAGAAATCTAAACCATGTTTGAAATGGTAAATTTTTGTAGAAAAATCTGGATTTTGCAATTCAGTTCCGCCCTTTGATCTGACAACAAATGATAAATTCATCACAATTGAGACAGGGGCGGGTGGGCGGGGCTTATATTTGCCTTTTTTTTAACGCACGTAGTCTTCTTTTCACAAGAAACCTAGAGCATGTTTGGAATGGTAAATTTTTGTAGAAAAATCTGGATTTTGCAATTCAGTTCCGCCCTTTGATCTGACAACAAATGATAAATTCATCACAATTGAAATAGGGGCGGGTGAGGATTAATTATTAGCTTCTTTACGTATAGTATTATTTATCTATGTAGGACTGTCAAAATGCTATCAAACATCTACTTATGTGTATATATATATAGAGTAAATTATTTGCCAAAATCAGTCTTATTGTGGCAAGTAGTAGCCCCGCCCACCCGCCCTTTATTTTCTTACAGGGTATATCATTTGGCAAAATCAGTATTGTCTTGGCACTTTTTCATATTTTAGGAATCATGAAACGTCGAGAAAACATGAAATTAGCCGTTCGCCGAATGGACTCTATTACAATACTTCCCTAGCTTAGGCTCGAGAATTAAGTCACAATACGTAAATATGTACATATATTTTTTACGAGTCACTTTTTATTACTACTAAAAACTGAAATGAAATACATTTTTTTTGGAAAATAATTTTATTAAAAAGAAAAAATAGAGAAAATGAATACAACAAAACAAAATTAGAACATCGGTTTTTTATGGCTAAGGACTATCAAACGATTTTAGTATTCTGTAGTATTCAATATGAAATATAACAATAGGCGGAGCTTAAATTTTGCCTTTTTTCTGGATATACGTAACAATCTTTTCACAATATATTTAATGCGTTTAAAATGGTAATTTTTTGTCGGAAAACATCGATTTTACAATTAAGCTCCCCCCCTCGATCTGACAACGAATGAAAGATCCATCACAATTGAGATTGGAGAGGATTGGTGGGGCTTCACATATATAGTTTCCTTTCAACACCATGTTACTTAAAAACATGTTTCACATAGTCGTTTCTTGTAGAGAAATAAGCTTTCTGCAATAAACTCCGCCCTTCGGCTCAACACAAATAAAAACCTTATCATAATTGTTTTTCATAATCTATGTACGTAATATTTTCACGACAAGAAACTGAAAACATGTTTAAAAGTGTAAATTTGTAGAGAAGTGTAAGGGATAAAATTTACCACTTTCAACATGTTTTCAGTTTCTTGTTTTGGAGAAAAAACAATTTATATTAAGAAAAAAAAAAGAAGCAAAACATATGCATATAAGGATTTTGTTATCCTTTCCTGTTTTAAACACGTTTTAAAGGGATTATTTTGCATATTTTTGAATATTTCAAAGGACGATTCTGGGAAAACCATTGGAGTTATCGAAGAAATGAAAACGGATATGACTTCTGCGGCCCCAATTCTACAAGAAAATGTATTAACTGAAATTTCGAAAATTTTGTTGAAAATTGGTGGGAAATCGGGGTTATTTTGCATATTTTTGAATATTTCAAAGGACGATTCTGAGAAAACCATTGGAGTTATCGAAGAAATGAAAACGGATATGACTTCTGCGGCCCCAAATCTACAAGAAAATGTATTAAGTGAAATTTCGAAAATTTTGTTGAAAATTGGTGGGAAATCGGGGTTATTTTGCATATTTTTGAATATTTCAAAGAACGATTCTGGGAAAACCATTGGAGTTGTCGAAGAAATGAAAACGGATATGACTTCTGCGGCCCCAAATCTACAAGAAAATGTATTAAGTGAAATTTCGAAAATTTTGTTGAAAATTGGTGGGAAATCGGGGTTATTTTGCATATTTTTGAATATTTCAAAGAACGATTCTGGGAAAACCATTGGAGTTGTCGAAGAAATGAAAACGGATATGACTTCTGCGGCCCCAAATCTACAAGAAAATGTATTAAGTGAAATTTCGAAAATTTTGTTGAAAATTGGTGGGAAATCGGGGTTATTTTGCATATTTTTGAATATTTCAAAGAACGATTTTGGGAAAACCATTGGAGTTGTCGAAGAAATGAAAACGGATATGACTTCTGCGGCCCCAAATCTACAAGAAAATGTATAAAGTGAAATTTCGAAAATTTTGTTGAAAATTGGTGGCAAATTGGGGTTATTTTGCATATTTTTTAATACTTCAAAGGACGGTTCTGGGAAAACCATTGGAGTTATCGAAGAAATGAAAACGGATATGACTTCTACGGCGCGAAATCTACAAGAAAATGTATTAAGTGAAATTTCGAAAATTTTGTTGAAAATTGGTGGAAAATTTGCATATTTTTGAATATTTCAAAGGACGATTCTGGGAAAACCATTGGAGTTATCGAAGAAATGAAAACGGATATGACTTCTTCGGCCCGAAATCTACAAGAAAAAAAAAACTGAAAACATGTTTAAAAGTGTAAATTTGTAAAGAAGTGTAAGGGATAAAATTTACCTTTAAACATGTTTTCAGTTTCTTGTTTTGGAGAAAAAACAATTTATATTAAGAAAAAAAAAAGAAGCAAAACATATGCATATAAGGATTTTGTTATCCTTTCCTGTTTTAAACACGTTTTAAAGGGATTATTTTGCATATTTTTGAATATTTCAAAGGACGATTCTGGGAAAACCATTGGAGTTATCGAAGAAATGAAAACGGATATGACTTCTGCGGCCCCAATTCTACAAGAAAATGTATTAACTGAAATTTCGAAAATTTTGTTGAAAATTGGTGGGAAATCGGGGTTATTTTGCATATTTTTGAATATTTCAAAGGACGATTCTGAGAAAACCATTGGAGTTGTCGAAGAAATGAAAACGGATATGACTTCTGCGGCCCCAAATCTACAAGAAAATGTATTAAGTGAAATTTCGAAAATTTTGTTGAAAATTGGTGGGAAATCGGGGTTATTTTGCATATTTTTGAATATTTCAAAGAACGATTCTGGGAAAACCATTGGAGTTGTCGAAGAAATGAAAACGGATATGACTTCTGCGGCCCCAAATCTACAAGAAAATGTATTAAGTGAAATTTCGAAAATTTTGTTGAAAATTGGTGGGAAATCGGGGTTATTTTGCATATTTTTGAATATTTCAAAGAACGATTCTGGGAAAACCATTGGAGTTGTCGAAGAAATGAAAACGGATATGACTTCTGCGGCCCCAAATCTACAAGAAAATGTATTAAGTGAAATTTCGAAAATTTTGTTGAAAATTGGTGGGAAATCGGGGTTATTTTGCATATTTTTGAATATTTCAAAGAACGATTTTGGGAAAACCATTGGAGTTGTCGAAGAAATGAAAACGGATATGACTTCTGCGGCCCCAAATCTACAAGAAAATGTATAAAGTGAAATTTCGAAAATTTTGTTGAAAATTGGTGGCAAATTGGGGTTATTTTGCATATTTTTTAATACTTCAAAGGACGGTTCTGGGAAAACCATTGGAGTTATCGAAGAAATGAAAACGGATATGACTTCTACGGCGCGAAATCTACAAGAAAATGTATTAAGTGAAATTTCGAAAATTTTGTTGAAAATTGGTGGAAAATTTGCATATTTTTGAATATTTCAAAGGACGATTCTGGGAAAACCATTGGAGTTATCGAAGAAATGAAAACGGATATGACTTCTTCGGCCCGAAATCTACAAGAAAAAAAAAACTGAAAACATGTTTAAAAGTGTAAATTTGTAAAGAAGTGTAAGGGATAAAATTTACCTTTAAACATGTTTTCAGTTTCTTGTTTTGGAGAAAAAACAATTTATATTAAGAAAAAAAAAAGAAGCAAAACATATGCATATAAGGATTTTGTTATCCTTTCCTGTTTTAAACACGTTTTAAAGGGATTATTTTGCATATTTTTGAATATTTCAAAGGACGATTCTGGGAAAACCATTGGAGTTATCGAAGAAATGAAAACGGATATGACTTCTGCGGCCCCAATTCTACAAGAAAATGTATTAACTGAAATTTCGAAAATTTTGTTGAAAATTGGTGGGAAATCGGGGTTATTTTGCATATTTTTGAATATTTCAAAGGACGATTCTGAGAAAACCATTGGAGTTATCGAAGAAATGAAAACGGATATGACTTCTGCGGCCCCAAATCTACAAGAAAATGTATTAAGTGAAATTTCGAAAATTTTGTTGAAAATTGGTGGGAAATCGGGGTTATTTTGCATATTTTTGAATATTTCAAAGAACGATTCTGGGAAAACCATTGGAGTTGTCGAAGAAATGAAAACGGATATGACTTCTGCGGCCCCAAATCTACAAGAAAATGTATTAAGTGAAATTTCGAAAATTTTGTTGAAAATTGGTGGGAAATCGGGGTTATTTTGCATATTTTTGAATATTTCAAAGAACGATTCTGGGAAAACCATTGGAGTTGTCGAAGAAATGAAAACGGATATGACTTCTGCGGCCCCAAATCTACAAGAAAATGTATTAAGTGAAATTTCGAAAATTTTGTTGAAAATTGGTGGGAAATCGGGGTTATTTTGCATATTTTTGAATATTTCAAAGAACGATTTTGGGAAAACCATTGGAGTTGTCGAAGAAATGAAAACGGATATGACTTCTGCGGCCCCAAATCTACAAGAAAATGTATAAAGTGAAATTTCGAAAATTTTGTTGAAAATTGGTGGCAAATTGGGGTTATTTTGCATATTTTTTAATACTTCAAAGGACGGTTCTGGGAAAACCATTGGAGTTATCGAAGAAATGAAAACGGATATGACTTCTACGGCGCGAAATCTACAAGAAAATGTATTAAGTGAAATTTCGAAAATTTTGTTGAAAATTGGTGGAAAATTTGCATATTTTTGAATATTTCAAAGGACGATTCTGGGAAAACCATTGGAGTTATCGAAGAAATGAAAACGGATATGACTTCTTCGGCCCGAAATCTACAAGAAAAAAAAAACTGAAAACATGTTTAAAAGTGTAAATTTGTAAAGAAGTGTAAGGGATAAAATTTACCTTTAAACATGTTTTCAGTTTCTTGTTATGGAGGAAAAAAATTATATTAACAAGAAAAAAGAGGCAAAACATAAGCCCCACCCACCCACCCTATCTCAATTGTGACGCTCTAACTTTATTCGTCGTTAGTCAAGAGGGGCGGAGCTTAACTGCAAAATCCGTATTTTTCTACAGTTTCTACCATGTGATGGTTTTGCTCAGAGAAAACTATATGTATTAAGTTAAAAACAAAAACAAAAGATAAGCCCCACCCATCCGTCTGGGTCTCAATCGTGCTGAATGTTCCATTCGTTGTCAGACTGGGGGGTGGAGCGTAATCATGGTAGAAGGAGACATGGTATAGGCATACGCATCGGGTGTGACGTCAAGTGGGGTGAAATTAGCGCGAAATTTAAAATACAATTCGTTATCCGACAACTAATTGACGTATTGGACAGAGCAATGACAACTCAAGCTGAAATTCCCTAGACTTCCCTAGCGAAGCTCACAAGAATCACAAGGTCGTTGATGCCACCTAACGTCACAAATGGATGCGCAGACCATTTTTAAATTGGTACATCGGATGCCTATACCATGTCTCCTTCTACCATGGAGCGTAATTACAAAATCCTTTCCTGTTTTAAACACGTTTTAAGTTTCTTGTTGCGAAAAGACGACTACGAATGTTAAGAAAAAAGGGTAAAATATAAGCCCCGCCCACCCACCCTATCTCAATTGTGATGACTTTCTTTATTCATCGTGAGTCAAGAGGGTGGAGTTTAAAATCGGCCCAGTAGTTTCGGACATTATCTGTCTAATAAAAATCCAGACAGACAGCAGACAGACAGACAGACAGTTGGACGGACAGATAGACACGAAAAAACGCTTACGCTCGGAAGTAATATTGACAGCATTGTCAACATGTCAATTTACAGTTGCTAATTTTGACATCAGCGTTGCTAAAAGCCAGTGAAAAGATGGAATCCACTAAATTGGTGCCCAAAATTTGAATTTGACATCAGGTACGCCATAATAAAATCTTAAATATGTTGCCAACCTGACAAAAAATGCTAAACATTAATAGTCACTCCACTCACACTGCATTATATATTTTTTTATTTCTTAGTTATTTTTTGAAAATATTCATCCCAACTAATTTTTTAACCAAGGATTAATAATAATTGTCATTATAAATTTCAAGAAGGGTCAAAATGGTTTAAAATATGGACAAACTAGACAAGTGAGATTATTCGCTGAACGCATTTTTGCCTACAATTTTTAATTTTTGGGACATTTTCGTTCAGTTTTTTTACTTGGTTTAAATTAAAATGATCCCATTTAGGCATTAGCGGGGTGTTTTAAGCTTTCATAGAAAAAAAAACACACTTTTTTCATAAAAATGTTATTATGTTGCTTAAACACAATCGGTGTATGTGTGGTTGCCTACTTTACAGGAGATCTGAGCACATAACCTACAATTTTACAAATCTTATGTAAATCATTTTTAAACCCTTAAAACGCTCTCCTTTGCTTTAATTAACCTTAAAATAACCAACTACTTGCTTCTCAAGCTTTACCTGTGTTTAATTACGTTGTCATTTCGTTAATTCCACCAAACGTGAACTTTGTACAATGTGCTCAATATTCCAAAGTGCGAAAACACCGCTTTAAATCACCACTTATCCACTAATTTAACTGATTTAAGGTGTCTAAATAACCACCAACAATGCAAAGACGCGTCGTCGTCACAGGAATCGGAGTAATCTCCCCCGTGGGCACCACCGTCCAACAAGCATGGAAAACCATCCTCGAAGGAAAATCCGGCATCCACAAACTCGGAAAAGACTTCGAAACCCTACCTTGTCAAATCGCCGGCCTAATCCACGAAAACGGCGAACGAATCCACCTCTCCAACTACTACACAAAGACTGAACTCAAATCCATGGGCCCCGCCACCGCCTACGCCCTCCTCGCCGCCAAAGAAGCCGTCGAAGACGCCAACCTCCAAAATGCCGACGCCCCCACGAAAACCCGCACGGGCGTCGCCGTCGGGATGGGCATGGTGGACCTGGACGACATCTGCAAAACCAACGACGCGCTGCGGAAGAGCTACAAACAAGTCAGCCCGTTTTTCGTCCCTAGAATCCTCCCCAACATGTCGGCGGGGCAAATCAGCATAAAGTACGGTTTCCAGGGGCCTAATCACGCCGTGTCTACGGCTTGTGCGTCCGGGGCGCACGCCATTGGGGACTCGTTTCGGTTTATTCGCCACGGGGACGCCGACGTTATGGTTTGTGGAGCGGCGGAAGCGTGTATCTCGCCACTGGCGATCGCGGCGTTTTGTAGACTAAGAGCTTTGAGTACGTCGTTTAATGATAGCCCGGAACGGGGGTCCAGGCCCTTTGATAAGTTGCGCGAAGGGTTTGTGATGGGGGAAGGGAGCGCGATTTTGGTTTTGGAGGAATTGGAGCACGCGATTGAGCGGAAAGTTCCGATTTATGCGGAGATTTTGGGGTATGGGTTATCGGGGGACGCGTCTCATTTGACTGCGCCGCATTCGGACGGGGCTGGGGCGATTTTAGCGATGCAGAGGGCTGTGGAGGATGCTAAGATCAAGTTGAGTGATGTGGGGTACATTAATGCGCATGCGACTTCCACTCCAGTGGGGGATGCGATTGAAATTAAAGCAATAAAAAGTTTGTTTGGGGGGCATGCCGGGAATTTGGCGGTGTCGTCTACGAAAGGGGCGCACGGGCATTTGTTGGGGGCTGCCGGGAATTTGGAGGCTGTGTTTACGGTGAAAGCGGTCCAGGAGGGTGTATTGCCCCCCACGGTTAATCTAGAGACTGTGGAAGAGGAGGGTGTGAATTTGGTGGCTTTAACCCAGCAGAAGTGGGTTGGTACTAACAAAAGGATAGCCCTGAAGAACGCTTTCGGATTTGGGGGTACAAACGCCTGTTTGTGTATATCTCAGTTCTCGAATTAACACATAAATGTAATGAGCAGCCCAAACATTTATGGTTTTTATTGTTTTTACATAGAACAAATGTGATTTAATATATCAACTTTATCCAAAACAAACTGTTTCAATAACAATAATCCATAAAATGGAATGTATCGAATATAGTAACAAAACGTACATATACTAGACTTCAATTCATTCGCTGTTTCTCTACATTAAAAAAAAAGCAAATGTAAACTCAAGTGAACATAAAATACGTCCAATCATATAAAACTCCAGCAGATAAAAATGAACAATAAAAATAAAACCTTTGTATCAATTCGACGCATATTTCGTTTGAACGAGTAAGCGAGGCACTGGCAACGGACCATACACACAGAAGTCTATAAATCTCTTCTTCAAGGCTTCTCGTAGTTCTTGGCGCTTCTCGACTAAGTGTTTATGGCTGTTTTCGAATTCCCAGACTTCTTCAGGGGTTAACTTGCAGTTGTTGTCGTCTTCGTCTTCGCTACAACCCTGGAATTTACACAATTGGAATTACACATGTGTCAAGATCCACCAACACCGCAATTTACATCACTGACATGTTTTGTACAATTTTTAACGTGCATTTCTAATTTCTGAGCGACGTTTCGTAAGCAAAAAAGAATCTCTTCAGATCTGCCTAAAATTGTGTGTCAAGACTAAGTTTGAACTGGAGAATTCATTTCCGCTATTAGTTGTTGAATGAATTCGATTTCAATTGAAATCCCGTTTCAATAAAAAATCTCAAAAAATATTTTTTGAGTTCACGGGTTCACAATTTCAAAACCGTTCAAGATTCCGAGTTGGGGTTGGTACCACTCGATTCCCTGGACTTTTCTAATCACGTCCAACGATTTTTGGGCCGAATAAGTGAACCGTTCGGTCTTGAGAGACCGATAAAGCAGACAATGTCATTTTTCTATAGGCGCCAACATGAAAAAAATCAAAAAAATTCAGGAAAGTCCGCCGGTTAATTCTGAACCCGCATTCGTGTTCAGGAGATTCCAATTACTAAAGAGACTAATTTTCAGAGCGATGCAACTCTAATTAACCGAGATAGTTGGAACTAGTCGAAGTCCAAAATTTTCGCCATTACGGAAAATAAATAGCAAAAATGAATCTCTACAGATCTGCCTGAAATTGTGTGTCAAGACTAAGTTTGAACTGGAGAATTCATTTCTGCTATTAGTTGTTGAATGAATTCGATTTCAATTGAAATCCCGTTTCAATAAAAAATCTCAAAAAATATTTTTTGAGTTTACGGGTTCACAATTTCAAAACGGTTCAAGATTCCGACTTGGGGTTTGTACCACTCGATTCCTTGGAGTTTTCTAATCACGCTCAACGATTTTTGGGTTGGATAACTGAACCGTTCGGTCTTGAGAGACCGATAAAGCAGACAATGCCATTTTTTTCTAGGCGCTAACATGAAAAAAATCAAAAAATTCAGGAAAGCCCGCCGGTCAATTCTGAACCCGTATTCGTGTTCAGAAGATTCCAATTTCGAAAAAGACTAATTTTCAGAGCGATGCAACTCTAATTAACTGAGATAGTTGGAACTAGTCGAAGTCCAAAATTTTCGCCATGGAGGAAAATAAATAGCAAAAATGAATCTCTTGAGATCTGCCTAAAATTGTGTGTCAAGACTAAGTTTGAACTGGAAAATTCATTTCTGCTATTAGTTGTTGAATGAATTCGATTTCAATTGAAATCCCGATTCAATAAAAATCTCAAAAAATATTTTTTGAGTTTACGGGTTCACAATTTTAAAACGGTTCAAGATTTCGAGTTGGGGTTTGTACCACTCGATTCCTTGGAGTTTTCTAGTCACGTTCAACGATTTTTGGGCCGAATAAGTGAACCGTTCGGTCTTGAGAGACCGATAAAGCAGACAATGTCATTTTTCTATAGGCACTAACATGAAAAAAATCAAAAAAAATCAGGAAAGTTCGCCGGTCAATTCTCAACCCGCATTCATGTTCAGGAGATTCCAATTACTAAAGAGACTAATTTTCAAAGCGATGCAACTCTAATTAACCGAGATAGTTGGAACTAGTCGAAGTCCAAAATTTTCGCCATTACGGAAAATAAATAGCAAAAATGAATCTCTTCAGTTCTGCCTAAAATTGTGTATCAAGACTAAGTTTGAACTGGAGAATTCATTTCTGCTTATTAGTTGTTGAATGAATTCGATTTCAATTGAAATCCCGATTCAATAAAAAATCTCAAAAAATATTTTTTGAGTTTACGGGTTCACAATTTTAAAACGGTTCAAGATTTCGAGTTGGGGTTTGTACCACTCGATTCCTTGGAGTTTTCTAGTCACGTTCAACGATTTTTGGGCCGAATAAGTGAACCGTTCGGTCTTGAGAGACCGATAAAGCAGACAATGTCATTTTTCTATTTGCGCTAACTTGAAAAAAATCAAAAAAATTCAGGAAAGTCCGCCGGTCAATTCTGAACCCGGATTCGTGTTCAGGAGATTCCAATTACTAAAGAGACTAATTTTCAGAGCGATGCAACTCTAATTAACCGAGATAGTTGGAACTAGTCGAAGTCCAAAATTTTTGCTAAAAACGAACATAAGGTGTACAAATTAATCAATTCCGATCTGCCTGAAATTGAGTGGCGACACTAACTTCAAAGTGAAGAATTTATTTCTGCCATCAGTTGTTGGATTAATTCGAATTCAATTGAAATCGCGGTTCAATTAAAATCTCAAAAAATATTTTTTGAGTTTACGGGTTCACCATTTCAAAACGGTTCAAGATTCCGACTTGGGGTTTGTACCATTCGATTTCTTGCAGTTTTTTAGTTGCGTCCTACTATTTTTGGGCAGGACAAGTTACCCGTTCGAGTCTGAGGGACCAATAAAACAGACAATGCAATTTTTCTATAAGTTGTAACATGAAAAAATCAAAAAAAATCAGGAAAGTCTACAGGTTAATTCTGAACCCGAATTCGCGTTCAGGAGATTCGAATTACTAAAGAGATTAATTTTCAGAGAGCTGCGACTTTAATTAACGGAAATAGTTGGAACTGGTCGAAGTCCAAAATATTTGCTAAAAACGAAAATAAGGTGTACAAATTAACGGTCTAGGACAATTCGGCGCGGCCGACTTGGCGCGGCCAACTTGGCGCGGCCGATTTGGCGCGAGACATTTTGGCGCAGGGACACTTTGGCGCAAGCCATCTTGGCGCGAGCCATCTTGGCGCGAATGAACTTGCACCGAGAAAAATAGATATAAATATACAAAAATTGCACCCGTTGTTAGCATAACCTAATTTTTATAGTCTCCAACGCGGGGAGGGGTAATGTCAACTTTTTAATGGACACACGGGCGCTTCGCGCCCTGCACCCCATTATAAACATACTCCTAAACGTGGAACTTCTTGCTCCGTGGATCATTTAGTTATTGGAATTTGTGCGAATTAAAATGTGTATTTGGTTGCCTACAGGGTGCCAACCAAAGTACGAACAATAAATATTTTTTATATTATATACCCGTACTCGCGTCAAGATGGCTCGCGCCAAGATGGCTTGCGCCAAAATGCCCCTGCGCCAAGTTGGCTTTGCGCCAAAATGGCTCGCGCCAAGTCGGCCGCGCCAAGTTGGCCGCGCCAAGTCGGCCGCGCCAAATAGTCCCATCCCGACAAATTAATCTATTCCGATCTGCCTGAAATTGAGTGGCGACACTAACTTCAAAGTGAAGAATTTATTTCTGCCATCAGTTGTTGGATTAATTCGAATTCAATTGAAATCGCGGTTCAATCAAAATCTCAAAAAATACTTTTTGAGTTTAAGGGTTCACCATTTCAAAACGGTTCAAGATTCCGACTTGGGGTTTGTACCAGTCGATTCCTTGGAGTTTTCTAGTCACGTTCAACGATTTTTGGGCCGAATAAGTGAACCGTTCGCTCTTGAGAGACCGATAAAGCAGACAATGTCATTTTTCTATAGGCGCTAACATGAAAAAAATCAAAAAAATTCAGGAAAGTACGCGGGTCAATTCTGAACCCAAATTCGTGTTCAGGAGATTCCAATTACCAAAGAGAGTAATTTTCAGAGCGATTCAACTCTAATTAACCGAGATAGTCGGAACTAGTCGAAGTCCAAAATTTTCGCCATTACGGAAAATAAATAGCAAAAATGAATCTCTTCAGATCTGCCTAAAATTGTGTGTCAAGACTAAGTTTGAACTGGAGAATTCATTTCTGCTATTAGTTGTTGAATGAATTCGATTTCAATTGAAATCCCGTTTCAATAAAAAATCTCAAAAAATATTTTTTGAGTTTACGGGTTCACTATTTCAAAACGGTTCAAGATTCCGAGTTGGGGTTTGTACCACTCGATTCCTTGGAGTTTTCTAGTCACGTTCAACGAATTTTGGACTTGATAAGTTATCAGTTCGGGCCTGAGGGACCGATAAAGCTGACAATGTCATTTTCCTATAGGTCGTAATACGAAAAAAATTTTAAAAATTCAGGAAAGCCTGCAGGTCAATTCTAAATCCGAATTCATATTAAGGAGATTGGAATTACTAAAGAGACTAATTTTCAGAAAGCTGAGACTCTAATTAACCGAGATAGTCGGAACTGGTCGAAGTCCAAAATTTTCGCCATTAAGGAAAATAAGGTACAAAAATGAATCTCGTCCGATCTGCCTGAAATTTAATGTCGAGACTAACTTTGAAGTGCAGAATTCATTTTTACCATTAATTGTTGGATTAATTATATTTCAATTGAAATCGCGTTCTAATTAAAATTTCAAAAAATATTTTCTGAGTTTACGGGTTCGCTATTTCAAGATGGTTCAAGATTCCGACTTGGGGTTTGTACCATTCGATTCCTTGAAGTTTTCTAGTCGCATCGAACGAATTTTGGACTTGATAAGTTATCCGTTCGGGCCTGAGGGACCGATAAAGCTGACAATGTCATTTTCCTATAGGTCGTAATACGAAAAAAATTTTAAAAATTCAGGAAAGCCTGCAGGTCAATTCTAAATCCGAATTCATATTAAGGAGATTGGAATTACTAAAGAGACTAATTTTCAGAAAGCTGAGACTCTAATTAACCGAGATAGTCGGAACTGGTCGAAGTCCAAAATTTTCGCCATAAAGGAAAATAAGGTACAAAAATGAATCTCGTCCGATTTGCCTGAAATTTAATGTCGCGACTAACTTTGAAGTGCAGAATTCATTTTTACCATTAATTGTTGGATTAATTATATTTCAATTGAAATCGCGTTCTAATTAAAATTTCAAAAAATATTTTCTGAGTTTACGGGTTCGCCACTTCAAGATGGTTCAAAATTCCGACTTGGGGTTTGTACCATTCGATTCCTTGAAGTTTTCTAGTCGCATCGAACGAATTTTGGACTTGATAAGTTATCCGTTCGGGCCTGAGGGACCGATAAAGCTGACAATGTCATTTTCCTATAGGTCGTAATACGAAAAAAATTTTAAAAATTCAGGAAAGCCTGCAGGTCAATTCTAAATCCGAATTCATATTAAGGAGATTGGAATTACTAAAGAGACTAATTTTCAGAAAGCTGAGACTCTAATTAACCGAGATAGTCGGAACTGGTCGAAGTCCAAAATTTTCGCCATAAAGGAAAATAAGGTACAAAAATGAATCTCGTCCGATTTGCCTGAAATTTAATGTCGCGACTAACTTTGAAGTGCAGAATTCATTTTTACCATTAATTGTTGGATTAATTATATTTCAATTGAAATCGCGTTCTAATTAAAATTTCAAAAAATATTTTCTGAGTTTACGGGTTCGCCACTTCAAGATGGTTCAAAATTCCGACTTGGGGTTTGTACCATTCGATTCCTTGGAGTTTTCTAGTCACGTCCAACGAATTTTGGGCTTAATTTTTCCATTCTCACTTATAAAATTCCACTTTTTTCCACCATTTTCGAAAACTACCTAAAGAAATGCCTTAGTAGATTTCGGCATCGAAAAGTTATTTCTGGCTTGATTTCTTCGAAAATTCCCAACCTTTTTCCAAAATCGCCCATATGAAATAAAGCAAAATTTGGAATTTTGAAAAAATTTTAACTTCAAAGAAAATATTTTGAGAATCTTGCCCGAGGTCATAAACATGCTCTACTTTTCCAATAAGCATCTCTAGAGATCTACATCCCAGAATTTTATGTTGATTTTAAGGCAGTTTTTCCATACCCTCTCCATCTATGAAATTTTTTCTCGGCTACCTTCGAAAATTGCCAAATGTGATTTTTACGTAGATTTCGACCTCTAAAAGTTATTTTCGGTTCATTTCAAACTTGGTAATTTTTATAATTAAAAAAAATTGAAATCGAATATTTGGGAAGTTTTTGTTGATTTTAAGGCAATTGTTCCAAACGCTCAATTTTTTCTGGCTTCATTTATTCGAAAATTTCCACCAATTTCCAAAATCGTCCAGACGTAATATTTAGGATTTTGAAAAAAAAAAAAAAAGCAAAGTGAATATTTCGAAAATCTTGCCCCAGGATCATAAACATGCTCTATTTTTTTAATCACTACGTCTTGATCTACATCTCAAATTTTTTCTTGATTTTAAGAGAATTTTTCCATATTCATTTATGGAAATTTTGACCTTTTCTCGACCATTTTCGAAAATTTCTTAATGTGATTTTTCGTAGATTTCGATCTCCAAAAGTTATTTGGAGTTTAACTTCTTCAAAAATCCATACAATTTGTCCAAAATCGCCAAAATTAAACTTGGTAACTTTTAGGATTTAAAAGAAAATTGACTTTGTAATAGAATTTTGGAATGTCTTGGCGCTATATTTTTCAAATCAGAATTTTTAGTTGATTTTTAAGCCAGTTTTTACAAACGCTCAATTTATTTACACTTCTCTCCCCTATGAAATTTTCTACCTCTTTTCGATCAAATTCGAAAATTCCGTAAAGAGACGTTTTTGTAGATTTCGACTTTTAAAAGTTTTTTCCGGCGTCATTTCTTCGAAAATTCCCACTGTTTGTCCAAACATTTTAGAATTTAGAAAAAAAAAATTCAAAGCGAATATTTCGAAAATCTTGCCCCTGTATCATAAATTTTATAATTTTAGGTTGTTTTTCGATATTAATCCTTTATGGAATTTTCCATCTATTTTCAACGACATTAGAAAATGACCTAAAGACATTTTTCGTAGATTTCAACCTCCAGAAATTATTTTCGGCTTCATTTCTTCAAAAATTCCTACCATTTTTCCATTATCATACCACCAAAAGTGAGAAAAATGTCAGAAAGTGGACGGCCAAAAATCCAAATTAAAGTGCCATCACAAAAAAAAGGCAAAAAAATCATGAAGATCCGTAGGTCAATTGTGAGTGTTCAGGAGATTCGATTTAGTAAAGAGACTAATTCTCAGAAAACCGTAACTGTAATTAACCAAGAGTCTATATCTGTGCTTTATGAATCCGCCCGTATTTTATTTATTTATTTTTTTTAACTGGCGAGTACCGATTGAGAGTAACTCACCTCCAACATCTGCTGTAAACTCAGCTGCGCCCCATACTTAATCGCCGACAGCGACTCGCTCTCATGCTGGCAGCACGTATCATAACAAGCCAACTCCGACCCCTCCGGCGAGCTCGAGATGCTCGAAAACAGCGACATCGTCTCGTAGCAGCTGTTGCTATTCTCCGACGTGTAGTCGTACTCCGGGTAATGATCACTCGACGACCCGTTAATAGTCTTGAAATTGACCGCCGCTACGTAATTCTCGCACCTATACGTGTTCTTCTGGTTTCGCCTCTCGTTCTCGCATTTACAGCCATCTATCCACAGTTTTCGCGTATTGCACCTCGAATTCTCCTTCTCTCCGCAATTCCGAGCACAGCCACACTCACTACCCAGGTCCCCGTACTTGAGCAGCCCGTCAGCCAGGAGCTCGCAGCTGTAGTTCAGGTTGGCCTGATTCTGAGAGCACGAATAATTCCGGTTCAGACAGTTCGCGTCCTCGTAGTCTTTTTCGCATTCGTTGCAGTTCTCCTTGCCTTCTTGCTCCAGCGCCTTGCCCTTCTTGCGTTTTCGCTTGATTTTTTTTTGTTCTTTTCGGAATTGCTTCTGTTGTTCTTCGAGAGCGATCTCGGCGTAGAGGAGCTCGAGTTGGGAGAAGCCGCGCTTGCGCTCGACGGCGGTTTCGAAACTTCTGCTTATTGTGTCCACGGCGACGGCCGCGAATACCTGACAGGTACATTCTTCTTCGCGCATGCGCATGTAGATGCGGTGCAGGCGCTCGTACATGCAGATACCGAGGCAGGTGAGGACTTCTTCCTGTGCGATTTCTAAAGTTTTGGCGTGGCGTTCTCTGCGACTATGAAAGTGACAATTAAAATACATACAAAGAATCACGATTAACATTAAATTTGACTTTTATCATGTACATACCTTCCTAGGAGCTCGGGCTCGGCGCGACTAATCAATTTCATTATATATTCGGTGTTTATCGGTAAGTGGATGTGCTTATCTGGTAAACACCTCTTAATTCCTGCGTATAGTGACGTCACGTAACCTTTTTCCTTACACGGCTCTGACTCCTCCATTAATAAAGTGTACGCTAAAAAACGACTGCTCAGCCACTTCAGACCACGAACAATCACTCAACGAACCTTTCAAGACTTTCGTTCTACATTCGCAACAAAACCTGTGTTTGCGCAGGTACGTCTCAAGTGTGGCGTGAAGACTTGGTGCCTCAATGATACAAACGTCCTTTTTACAATCCTGTTGCATGCAAGCCCACACATCCCTCCATACGGGGGTCAGGGGGCGACTGCGCTGCGAGTCTAACGAGTGCAAAAGACACCTCAGACTTTTTTTGCTTCTTTTTGGTTGATTTTCGATTAACTTGGCCAAACGAATACTACAAAACGCGATTTTAATTGACTTTTTTGTAAAATTAATCAAACTTACGCGTGGTCATGAAAAATTGAACAGAGTATTTGAGGCATCATTTGTTTTCCATCTCTGATTGTAATCATACCATCAGATTTCACCATTAAAGGGTCTAGAGTGGAATGTCCCAATTTAAATAACTGATAATAGAGTCTCTCAACACTGCAAAAGTGAAAAAACGTCTTAGCGTCTATAAAATTAATAAACAAAAGGACGAAAACGGGAGACCTATTTTTCATAGTGTATGAAACGTCACAAGTCTTAAAAATACGTCATGACTGGGAAAAAATCACAAAAACAAAAAATAACAAACACAAAACAAAAAATTATCTCGTTTTTTAATAAACTTCTCCAAACCCAACTCTATTTTTTCACCAAAAAACAGAGTTCTGTAATCACATAACCCAACCTTGAGGTAGCCCAAAACCCCCAATCCACTCACCTCCTACGACAGCCAACACATGGCACATTTTGGTTCAGTACATCCATCAGTTCCGACTTGGTTATCTGTATTGAGGACTGCAGTTCCTTCTCGGTTAAAATCTCGCACTTGCGAGTGAACTCCTCCAGTTCTTTGCCTCGTATGAGCGGGTTGTCGCACACAAGACCCGAGCGCCGCAAATCCATAACCAACTAAAACACCAAAAAACCCTCAAACACGCATACTGAGCCCCAATAAGCCAAGTTGGGCACGTCGCAAGTGACGCTGTTTTACCACGTAACTGCGACAACTTTTACGTTTTTAGTGAAAATCTAGTACTACTATTCGCATTACCGTTAAGTTTTCATCAACAACAAGAGGTAATTGCCTCCTGCCCAAGGAATTTGAAGAACGGTAAACATCAACTAGCTTTGGCAATTTTTCTTTGTAACTCATATCTTCTGAAAAGCAATTAACACCAGTCTTGCAAATATTTTCTGTGTGCATGTGCTAATGATTTGTATGGAAATAACAACCACAGGGAAAACTCATCACACTAAGCACACCATTTTCCGTAGGGTTTGACGTTTGAAAAAACACTTCAGCTGTCATTTGTGAAACGAGGAAGTTAGGATTGCGTCACATAGATGGCGACGGGTTTAATCATCAATTAAAAAAAACTAACTGGAAATAAATCAATCAAAAAAACGATTATTCAAAGTTCGGTCACACTATTATTCGTGAAACGCACTAAATTAAAAAAACACACACAAATATTACGTAAATCGGTAACGCAACAGCGTCACCTATCGTCACCTAGCTAAAACAAAAAACCGATAATGCAGGACTCGGTATTAGCGACCAGCTCACCAGCTGTCACTCGCGGTTCCGTTGACAATTTATCACTTGTTTTCACGTAAGACACATTTTGTTCTCCTCTGCCTGGTTTTGAAGTTAATAAATGCCCAAACTATGGAAATTGACTTAATAAATAAGTGTCGAGTGTGTTTGGAGGGCGACAAACAAATGCATTTTTTATTTGACGAGTTCGACCAAGGGATTACCCTGCAGGATATTTTGACCAGTACGACGGGATTCCAGGTAATAAGTCACCCGAACACGTTACATAATCCCTTCTAAGTGTCTACTTCGCCCCCAGATTCAAGAAAACGACGGCTTTTCGCCCTACATTTGCCAGAACTGCACCTCAATAATCGTCGAATTTTATAACCTCAAAACGATCTATGAAGAGAACGAAAACCAGCTGAAGTCGCTTTTGGCGACCACGGAAACTAATTCGCTTGAACCGGACGAGTCCAGTCTAGACAAAGACGACGAAAAGAGCGACAACGAAAGCGACTACATAACTATCAAAGTCGAGTCGTTTAGTAGCGACGAGTCGAACGATTTTCAGTCAAAAAACGACGATAACTATGTGGTTTCGAGCAGCGCGGAAGGCGAGCCCGAAATTGGTGCTTCAGTGGACTATGACTTCCAAGAAATCAATACGTTTACGTGTCCGGAATGCGGCGACTGTTTTTTGTACAAGAACGACATCCATGCCCACATGGTTGCAAAGCATGATATAACAGAAATTGACTATGACGAGGTCTCAGAACCGTCGCTTTTGAAAGTGGAAAAACACCCGTCGTCGTACGTGAATAAATGCAAAGTTTGTAATCAAGCATTTGCTTCGAGTGAAGAATACAAAGAACATTTAGAAACCCACAAGAAAAACGTTTGTGATATTTGCGGTGTTGGGTTTATTAAAAAATCGTACTTGAAGGATCATCAAGAAATTCATTGCACTGAAAAGCGGCACGTGTGCAACTTTTGTAATAAAGCCTTCAAGAGAAGAACAGTTTTAGTGAAACATAGGAGGATCCACACACACCCTAGACAGTGTATTTGTGAAGTATGTGGTAAAGCTTTTAATGACAAAGGTACTCTTAAAACGCACATTATGCTGCTGCATGTCAGGGAACGGAACTACATGTGTTTGATTTGTGGGATTAAATTTCCGCTTAAAGGAACGTTAGAGAAGCACATCCGGCGACACCAAAATAAGGAACGGGAATTTTTTTGTACACAGTGTCCTTTAGGGTATAGGGATAAGTCAAGTTTGGACAGACACATCTACGTTAAGCACAGTGGGAGAAATGTCAAGGCCACTTGTAGCGATTGTGGGAAACAGTACACCACTATTGGTAATTTATTCAAACATCAAAGAAATTGTCACAGTGCTTCAGGACAAACTGTGGATGAAGCCATCTAAGCAAATATATAGTAATATATTTTTGGTAAAGGTTTTATTCAAACAACCTTGCGCCCTATGCATACCCAATATGTATTTTTGCTAAATTCAAAGTTCAGAGTTCCCACTGACGTTGCTTTTAGAGCTGAAAACTGTTGTCATTTATTGATGTTCAACTTTTTCCGCATTTAAACTACAAAAATATTCCATTCTAGACATGTTTTAAGTTTTTTGTTGTCAAAATAAGTCTACACTTACTGAGAAAACAATCGAAATGTAAGCCCGCCCACCCACCCCCTCTCTATTGTAATGATTTTTTTTTTCGTTGTGAGTCAAGAGGGCGGAGTTTAACTGCAAAATCCTTATTTCTATACGAGTTTTTGAGTATCGTGTTCAAAGAATACTATGTATATTAAGAAAAAAATAAAGCCAAAGATTAGGTCCCACCCATACCCGTCCCGATCTAAATTCGCAATTGTGATGAATTTTTCCTTCGTTGTCAGATCGAGGGGCGGGGCTTAATTGCAAGATCCATATTTGTCTACAAGAATTTACCATTTTAAACATGTTTTAAGTTTCTTGCTCTGAAAAGACGACTACATGGTAAAATATAAACCCCGCCCATTATAGTGTTATTCAAGGAATAATACTATGTATATTTTACGAAAAAATTAAAGCCAAAGATTAAGCCCCACCCATACCTGCCCTGATCTAAATAGTAATGAAGTTTTCATTCGTTGGCAGACCTAGGGGCGGAGCCTAATTGCAAAATGCATATTTCCCTACAAAATGTGGAAATTGAAAATCTAGAAAGCCAAATCATCGACATTTAGAAAAATTGGAAAATTGAAAATTCGAGAAATCGATTGAGACAAATCGAAAAATTAAGAAATCGGGACCAGAAGTCGAAACACTGAAAAATCTAAATGTCAAAAAATTGAGAAATCCGAAAATAGAAACAGAACTCGAATTTTGAGAAATAGGGAAATCAAATAGTCGAAAAATCGGGAAATTAAAAAATCGTAATGTCGAAAAATAAAAAATCTTATCTAAAAACTGAAAAATCGAGAAACCGGGAAATCAAAAAAAAAATGAAAAATCGGGAAATCAAAAAATCGAAAAATTGAAAAATCGGATTGAAAATATTTTGATTTTTATCATTTTTCGTTTATTTAATTTTTCAATTCTTCGATTTTCCAATTTTTAAGAATTTTTCCCAAAAAAATTCGTTTCGTTTATGAAGAACTCGATATGATGACCTCGTGTGACAGTAAAAGTAGTTAGGTAAATTAATTTTAAATGTAAAAATACAAAATTTTAGACATAACTCTAACCTCCAATTCACCAATTAAGTATTCTATTGTTCAAAGAACACTACATATGTATATATTAAAAAAAAACAAAGTTGAAGCCCCGCCCACTCACCCTGCTCTCAATTGTGATTAATTTTTCATTCGTTGTCAAACCGAGGGGCGGAGCATAATTGCAAAATAAATATATTCTTACAAAAATTTGCCACTTTAAACCAGTTTTGAGTTTCTAAGAATAAAAAAATCATCACAATTGAGACTGGGTGGGTGGGCGGGGTTTATATTTTTGTTTTTTTTTTCTTAATATACATAGTGTTCTTTGAACAACCCGATACTCAAAAACATGTTTGTAATTTTCCGAAGAGAAGTAAGGATTTTGCAGTTAAACTCCGCCCCCTTGGTTCACGGCGAATAAAAAAAATCATCACAATTGAGACAGGGCGGGTGGGCGGGCTTATATTTTGCCTTTTTGTTCTAATATGTGTAGACATCTTTTCACAAAAAAGAAAAACTGGAAAATTCCACCCCCTAAATGCAAATGCAAATCCATATTTCCTTGCAAAAATGTACCATTTTAACCATGCTTCTTGCTGTGAAAAGATGACTATGTATATCAAGAAATAAATAAGGCAAAATATATGCCCCGCCCACCCGCCCTATCTCAATTCTGATGATCCTTTTTTTTATTCATCGTAAGCCGAGGGGCGGAGCTTAACTGCAAAATCCTTATTTCTCTACAAAGAATTAAAACATGTTTTTGAATATCTCGTTGTTCAAAGAATACAATGTACCCTAAGAAATGAGAAGCACCACCCATACCTGGCCTGGTCTAAATATGTAGTAATGAAGTTTTCATTCGTTGCCAGACCTAGGGGTGGAGCCTAATTGCAAAAGCCATATATTCTTACAAAAATTTACCATTTTAAACGATTTTTGAGTTTCTAAGAATAAAAAAAATAATCACAATTGAGATGGGGTGGCCGGGCGGGGTTTATATTTTGCCCGTTTTTCTTAATATACATATTATTCTTTGAACAACGCTATACCCAAAAACATGTTTTTAATTTCTCAAAGAGAAATAAAGATTTTGCAGTTAAGCTCCGCCACCTTGGTTCACGGCGAATAAAAAAAATCAGCACAATTAAGATAGGGCGGGTGGGCGGGCTTACATTTTGCCTTTATATTTTAATAACTATGTATTGACATCTTTTCATAACAAGAAACTTAGAACATGTTTAAACTGAAAAATGTGTATAAGGAAATATCGATTTTGTAATTAGGCTCCACCCCATAATTGCAAAATCCATATTTTCTTGCAAGATGTACCATTTTAACCATGTTTCTTGTTGTGAAAAGATGACAATGTATATTAAGAAAACAATAAAGCAAAATATATGCCCCGCTCACCCGCCCTATCTCAATTCTGATGATTTTTTTTATTCATCGTAACCCGAGGGGCGGAGCTTAACTGCAAAATCCTTATTTCTCTACGAGGAATTAAAATATGTTTTTCAATATCGCGTTGTTCAAAGAATACTCTATATACCAAGAAATGAGAAGCTTTCATTCGTTGCCAAACCTAGGGGTGGAGCCTAATTGCAAAAGCCTTCTTACAAATTCTTACAAAATTTACCGTTTTAAACAAGTTTTGAGTTTCTAAGAATAAAAAAATAGTCACAATTGAGATGGGGTGGGCGGGCGGGGTTTATATTTTGCCCATTTTTCTTAATATACAAAATATTCTTTTAGTAACCCGATATTCAAAAACATGTTTTTAATTTCTCAAAGAGAAATAAAGATTTTGCAGTTAAGCTCCGCCCCCTTGGTTCACGGCGAATTAAAAAAATCATCACAATTGAGATAGGGCGGGTGGGCGGGGTTTATATTTTTCCCGTTTTTCTTAATATACATAGTATTCTTTGAACAACCCGATACTCAAAAACATGTTTTTAATTTCTCAAAGAGAAATAAGGATTTTGCAGTTAAGCTCCGCCCCCTTGGTTCACGGCGAATAAAAAAAATCATCACAATTGAGATAGGGTGGGTGGGCGGCCGGGCTTACATTTTGTCTTTTTGTTTTAATATTTGTAGACTTCTTTTCACAAGATGAAACTTAAAACATGTTTAAAATGGAAAATTTGCATAAGGAATATCGATTTTGCAATAAGGCTCCGCCCCGCAACTGCAACGTCCCTGTTTCCTTGCAAAAATATACCATTTTAACCATGTTTCTTGCTGTGAAAAGATGACTATGTATATTAAGAAAACAATAAAGCAAAATATATGCCCCGCCCACCCGCCCTATCTCAATTCTGATGATCCTTTTTTTTTATTCATCGTAAGGCGAGAGGCGGAGCTTAACTGCAAAATCCTTATTTCTCTATGAAGGATGAAAACATGTTTTTGAATATCGCCTTCTTCAAAGAATACTATGTATATTAATGAATGAGAAGCCCCACCCATACCATTATTTGGTAATGAAGTTTTCATTCGTTGCCAAACCTAGGGGTGGAGCCTAATTGCAAAAGCCATATATTCGTACAAAAATTTACCATTTTAAATGAGTTTTAAGCTTCTAAGAATAAAAAAATAATCACAATTGAGGCGGGGTTTATATTTTGCCCTTTTTCTTTAATATACATGGTATTTTTTGAAGAACACAATACTCAAAAGCATGTTTTTAATTTTTTGTAAAGAAATAAGTATTTTTCAGGTAAGCTCCGCCTCCTTGGTTCACGATGCATAAAAAAAGTCATCACAATTGAGACAGGGTGGATGGGCGGGGCTTATATTTTGCCTTTTTTTCCCTTAATATACATAGCCATCTTTTCACAACATAAAACTTAAAACACTTAAAATTTGTATAAGGAAATATTGATTTTGCAATTAAGGCTTCGCCCCATAATTGTGAAAATCATATTTCCTTGCAAAAATATACCAGTTTACATATTTTTAAATTTCTTGTTGTGAAAAGATGGTTATGGATATTAAGAAAAAAAAGGCAAAATATAAGCCCCGCCCACCCGCCATGTCTCAATTTTGATGATTTTTTTTATTTGTCGTAAGCCGAGGGGCGGATACTAATTGCAAAATCCATATTGCCTTACAAAAATTTACTATTTTAAAAGTGTTTAAAGATTCTAAGAATAAAAAAAATCATCACAATTGAGATGGGGTGGGCGGGCAGGGTTTTATATTTTGCCCGTTTTTAATAATATACATAGTATTCTTTGAACAACCCGATACTCAAAAACATGTTTTTAATTTCTCAAAGAGAAATAAGGATTTTGCAGGTAAGCTCCGCCCCCTTGGTTCACGGCGCATAAAAAAAATCATCACAATTGAGATTGGGCGGGTGGGCGGGCTTACATTTTGTCTCTTTGTTTTAATATGTGTAGACTTCTTTTCACAACATGAAACTTAAAACATGTTTAAAATGGAAAATTTGTATAAGAAATATCGATTTTGCAATAAAGCTCCGCCTCATAACTGCAACATCCATATTTCCTTGCAAAGGTATACAATTTTAACCATGTTTCTTGTTGTGAAAAGATGACTATGTATATTAAGAAAAAAATAAGGCAAAATATATGCCCCGCCCACCCGCCCTATCTTAATTCTGATGATTTTTTTTTTATTCATTGTAAGCCGAGGGGTGGAGCTTAACTGCAAAATCCTTGTTTCTCTACGAGGAATTAAAACACGTTTTTGAGTATCGCGTTGTTCAAAGAATACTATGTATATTAAGAAATGAGAAGCCCCATCCATAGCTGCATATAATACGTAGTTTCATTCTTTACCAGACCTAGGGGGTGGAGCCTAATTGCAAAAGCCATATCTCCTCATAAAATTTTACCATTTTAAACGAGTTTTAAGTTTCTAAGAATAAAAAAATAATCACAATTGAGATGGGGTGGGTGGTCGGGGTTTATATTTTGCCCCTTTTTTCTTAATATACATAGTGTTCTTTGAACAGCACAATACTCAAAAACATGTTTTTAATTTCTTGTACAGAAATAAGTATTTTTCAGTTAAGCTCCGCCCTCTTGATTCACGGTGAATAAAAAAAATCATCACAATTGAGATTGGGCGGGTGGGCGGGCTTACATTTTGTCTTTTTATTTTAATATGTGTAGAGTTCTTTTCACAACATGAGCCTAATTGCAAAATCGAGATTTCCTTAGACAAATTTTAACCATGTTTTAAGTTTCTTCTTGTGAAAAGATGGCTACGTATATTAAGAAAAATAAGGCAAAATATAAGCCCCGCCCACCCGCCCTGTCTCAATTGTGAAGATTTTTTTTATTCGTCATGAGCCGACGGATGGAGCTTAATTATAAAATCCTTATTTTTTACGAAAAATTACCATGTAAAATATGTTCTTAAATAATCGTGTGATACAGAGAAAACTAAAAATATTCAGGGGATTTTCCTTCAAGTTGGCAGCACTGCACACTACTGCAATTTAATTGGTTGAAAACCCAACGTCAACGGCGAAAATATTGGAAACAGGTGAATTATCTAATTGCGGCTACAGTGGAAGGCGGAGCTTACAACACCCAATCGTAACGTCCAATTTCCTTTTATCTTCAAATGCGTCATTTTGTGAATTTCATCTACTTTTCGTTATCGCTAGTCTGAAAATAAAACAACAATTATTATCGCGGAAACACCTACTGGTTAATAAAAAACGGGCGCTAAACAATGCAATATATTTATATACAAATGATTTGGTATAAAAATATAATTAAAAATAATAATTTATTGCTTAACCCTAATATTTATATTGGCAATTCCACATGTAATGACACATTTAAAATCCCTCTAATTTTTTTTCCAATCTCGGAGCCTCGACAAAATTTTATTAGACTCATCAGATCCATACATCTCGATCTTCCTATCGAACGAGTTAAAGCATTCTGTACTACTTATCACAGAATCGATGAACGACGTAAACATCGTCGTTTCCGTAAACCACTTCAAAAATCTCCGAATCCCTTTGGACTTGGCGCTCTTGATGAAATTTTCTTTCTGTAACAAATGATTAAGTTTCTGGCGCAAGAACGCAACTATAGTGCGTACATCGAATCCATCACCGACGATATGACTTCTGTAATGCTTCAAAGCGACAATGAAGACTTTCACATAGGCGTCACTTAAGTAAACTGAATGCACGTACTCGTTGGGGGGTATTTTATTAGCTAGAGTGTATCCCTCGTTCCATGCTTTTTTCATGCTGTCGGACAAAATACTGTCTTCGTCGCCCTCCTCGCTAATTATACTGCATTCATCCAGGTCGACGACGATACCCTAAACAGATTTTGGTACAAAAAATGTCATCTAATAAGTTGATTGTTACTCACGTCCTCGATTTTGTGATCATTCACCACGGACACTGACAATATCCCGCATATTACGGGAGTGGGGGACTCGACGACCTCCCACAAACACTGCGGTAAAATCGGGATAAAGGTGTGCGGCCACGAAAACGGGTACAAAATACTCTGGAGAGCATCCACACAGGTTGACAACTTACTAAAACCCAAAAAATCACCCACGTGGCTACAATTACACCAACTTACCTTATCACGCAACTGATTAGTATTACCTTCCTCTCTAACAACAGAGAGGCGAAAATTTTCAAAAGTATATGCGATGGCAATTTGTGCAGCGGCTTTAAGTCGGCTTCTTCGTACCGCGTGTCATGGTGTAAAGTCACGGTCAATTCCGTCGTTTTCGCGCTCTCTTCCACTAAAACATCTCGAGTATTGGATGACGTTACTTTAGTTTGATTTATTGTACCATAACCCCCGTTCACGTTAACTTGCACAAAAGTGGATAAGTCGCACGAATCTCGATTGTTTTGTACTTGTAGGTGACTATTTTTTGGTACTTCGTTCGTGAAATCGCTTAAGTCGAGTTTGACGGATTCTCCAGGCCGAGGGAATTTGTTGTGGTAGAATTTACTTATTAGTTCGTCTCGGAGTTTGTCGGGGATGCCATGACGTGACTCTAATTCTGTTAATATTTTTTTATAAAAACGAGGCGCTCTGTGTTTACTTAGTAAACAGTAGGCTAAAGGGATGCATTTCGTTGAACCCTCTGGAATGACCCTGCGGCAGTACCCGAACGTGCGCTCGCCTTTATCATTCGTTATCACTAGAGTGTAACACTGAGCATTATCGGATATGTCTAAAGGACCACTGGCGACTTCCGGGTAACACAGATCTTCAATCCGGTGAGGAATCTTCACCTATAAACAATAAATAGATAAATAAATAAATAAATAGACACCAATTCCGTCATACATTCGCCGGATATCTGAACTTTATCTTCGGCTTGTCGCTCCACCCCACCACCAAACAACAATAAAACAACTGATTGTCCTTATTCAGTTTGGGTTTTTGATATTTTGGCATCGTTTTCACGTAGGTTTGGAATTTATTGATCATGAAATCCACCGGCGTCGACGGTTTTTCGATGGACTTTTGCTCGTTCCACTCCTTCGTGTCCGAATCGAAAGTCCTTTCCAACGTTCGCTGCAGCGACAGCTTCAGTTCTTCGATCCGGTGAGATCCGTCGGAAGCAACCTGGTTATCTTTTTTGGACGTGGTGGGCGTCTGCTTCGTTTCAAACGCGTTAATCAGGTGTTTGATTTTGGAAGGGCTTTCAGACGAGTCGGTCGCCCCTGGCGCGCCCATGTCGAGCGACGTGCCTGAAGATGTCGACGAATTGTCGCCAGAAACCTGCAACACGTTAATTTTTCACAGACACTCTGAATCTCTAATCTCGTTATGAACGAGCTCTTTGTTGACGTAAAAAACTATTATCGCCCGCGTGGAAGGTAGCGCTTGAGTTGTTGTCAAAAAAGGCGCGACCACAATGGAGCCTTTGAAATATATTGATTGTTTGACTTACGCTTACGTGTATGTTTACTTGTATTAATCTGATGTTGCAATAAATTAATAAAGTTTACTAGGAGTGTGCAATTAGTCACAGAGCGGCCAAATTTGGTCATAGAAAAAATTCCAAAACACGAAAGCTCCAAAACCATGTTTTTGTGTCTACTTACATACATCATGTGGAATTTACAACTTATAATTATAAATAACTTCACACATAATCACTCGGTAACCTTCCTACACGCAACCACGCACTAACAGTCCGATTAACCAAAAAAGCCTAATATACCAACACGAGACAATTAAGTCGCAAAATTATTAATAAACACTATCTTTCAAGAATACATTAAAACACTTCAGTAACAAGTAAAATCCGTACCGTGAATCAGCAGAACTCGTACAGAAAAATCATCAATACGGTTATTATAAACAGCGAACTTGTAAACAAATTTTAGCAGCGCGTTCGAAAAATAGAACACTTGGTAAGAGAACAACACTCACCTGATTGTTTAAATTTCCGTCCATATTCAAGCAACCATTGTTTTCTTCCTCACATAACAGTGGAGTGCTCTGAAACAACAGGAAACTGTCACATCTGACTTCACACAAACGATAAGATCCTTGGAAGCACTGTTAACATACGTCACTCAAGAGCTTCTCCGATTAGGTGATGCATTTCAGAAAATATTAAAATTATAGATGGGAATGTAACGTGGTAAATCCCCGTCTGGAGACTCTACACCTTTTGGTTTCGGTCAATGTTTTATGGGATTGTAAAAACCCAGATAAACCATTTATCTGTCAAAGCAAATAACTTCCCTTCACTGTTAGATAAAACGCAATTGATATTATGAAATTTGGTTGTTTATGTTTAAATAGCGCATCTTTTTGGATTTAGCGGAGTGGTTATATTGATAACGGGATTGTAGAGACTGGATTAGCTGAGGTTTGCTGTTGGCAATTATGATTACTTTTTATTACCCAATTTCACGAGTTGCAAACAAATGATCGAAATTTTTATTTAGAGGCGGAAAATTAATTCTGTTATGACATTTTGTCAGTATTAATTTAAGATAGAGTTTTTTTTTTTATAATCTAGTGATGTTTGCAAATTTCACGATTAGCGAATTCCTGGATTTCCCCAAAGAATTTGTTTATCGTCGGCGTGATTTCAGCACTGCGTTTATGAAGTAAAATTCGAATGCAAGAATAAATGAATAACCACTGGTTGATCAGTTTCAAGACCTCTGCGGTATGACTTCCGTTTTATGCGATTAAAATAAATAAGGAAATTTTATAAATACACATCTTTGTGAATTTTCAAAAACGAATTTTGGATTTTTATTGAATTAAATTGTTCAAAAAACAAAATCTTAAAAAAATTCGTTGAGTCTTAAAGTTATTTAGACACAAAACAAAGAAGTTGATGCGGCAAAGCACAACATGCTCAAATATCTAAATATCGAACAAATTTTTCTATGTCAGAAAATCAATTTTTATTTGATTTTTTTTGATTTCTCAATTTTTCGATTTGCAGTTTTTCGTATTTTCAACTTTTGGGTTTTTCAATTTTTGATTTTTGAACTTTTCAGTTTTTCGATTTCTCAAGTTATCGGTGTTTCGGATTTAGCATTTTTCAATTTTGGGATTTTTCAATATGTATTTCGATTTGTTGATGACTTCATTTCTCGATTCAGTTTTTCGTTTTTTTAAAATTGTTGATATTTCGATTTCTCGCTTTAAGATTTTCCGATTTCTCAAATTTTCGACATTCTAGTTTGAGAATTTTTCAATATTTCAACTTTTTTATGTTTTGATTTCTTGATTTTTCGATTCAGTTTTTAGATTCTTCAATTTTTAGACATTTTAATTTTTCGGTTTTTTTTTTAATTTTTAGATATTTCGATTTCTCAATTTTTCGGTTTTTTAGTACTTCAGTTTCCAATTTTCAGTTTTCCGAATTTTTAAATGTAACATTTTTTACTTTTTTGATGTTTCAATTTTTTGACTTCTCGATGCTTCTCGCTTTTAGATTTTTCGGTTTTTCAATTTTTCGACATTTTCGTTTGATGATTTTTCAATTTGTAGATTCTTCAAACTCTCGATTTTTCGAATTTTCGATTTCTCGAATTTCCCATATTTCAGTTTTCAAAATTTTTTGGCGTTTCGAAATTTTCGATCTTTCCTTTTCTCAATTTCTCTATTGAGCGATTTTTTGATTTTTCGACTTTTCGATTTCCCAATATTTCGATTCCACTCTGAATTCTCGATTTTTCAGTTTTAGGATTTTTCAATTTTGGGATTTGTGGATATTTCGATTTTTCAATTTTTTGATGTTTTGATTTCTCGATTTTTTAATCTTTCGATTCTTCAATTTTTCGACATTTTAATTTTTCGTCTTTTTAAATTTTAGCAATTTCTATTTCGTGATCTTCCGATTTTTCGACTTCTCGATTTTCGATTTTTCGGTTTTTCAATTTTTTGATTTTTAAAATTTTTATTTTTCAAGTTTTCAATTTTTCGGTTTTTAAATTTCGATTTTTCGGTTTTTCGACATTTCGATTGTACGGTTTTTCATTTTTTGAACATTTCAGTTTTGGGATTTTTCAATTTTCCGATTTTTTACTTTTTCGATTCTTCAATTTTTCGGTTTTTTAATTGTATATTTTCCGATTATGTATATTTCTAGTTTTTCGATTTTTTAAATTTTATGTCAACGATTTTTCCATTTTATGATTTTTTGATGTTTCGAATTCCCGATTTTAAACCTTTTAGTATCTATGTACATATACTGCAATTTTTCGAATTTTAAAATTTTTCGACTTTTAATTTTTTTGACTTCTCGATTTTTCAAGTTTTCGACATTTCAGTTTTTCGATTCTTCAATTTTCCGATTTTTCAATTTTTCGATTTTTTTTAATTGTAGATGTTTAATTTTTTTCCGATTGTTTAAATTTTATATTAACGATTTTTCCATTTTTTGATTTTACAATTTTTTATGTTTCGAATTCCGAACTTTTAGGATGTATGTACATATTTCAATTTTTCGAATTTTAAAATTTTTCAACTTTTCATTTTTTTGGTTTCTCGATTTTTCAATTTTCGATTTTGGGAATTTTTCAAAATCTCATTTTTTTCGATTTCGATCGATCTTTCGACTTTTCGGTTTTTTAATTTTCGATTTTTAAAATTTTTTAGTTTTTCGGTTGTTCGATTCCTCGGTATTATTTGTAATTTATCAAAAGATCGGATTTAATGGGCTGCACTTTAGGGACGAGGGAAGTTCTGTTGAAATAAACTTCAACCAATTTTTTAATTGTACCATGTTTCGATTTGCAAGTTTTTAGAGTTTTCAATTTTTCAAAATTTTGATTTATCAACATTTGATTTTTTAATTTTTTTAATTTATTATTTTTCGATTTTACAGTTAGCTGGATTTGTCAATTTCAAGATCGTTTATTCAGTTTTGGATTTTCCATTTTCTCGATTTTCATATACATATTCCATTTGTGAATTTTTGTTTCTTCAATTTTCGACTTTACAGTTTTCCGTTTTTAGGTTTTCTAGTTTTCCAATCTCTATTTTTCAGTTTTACAGTTTTTGGAATTTTTTTATTTCTTGATTTTGTAATTCTTCAATCTCCCAGATTTTTAATTTATTAAAACTGAAATACTCACGATTTTACAGTTTTTAGATTTTTCAATTTTACATTTAAATTTTTCTTAACTAATTAATTTTTAATTAATTTCACCGTGTTTTTTATTTATATTGTGTTGACTCAGCATTTTTGTAATAGCGCCCATTTTTGAGGTTTTGAAAATTCTTTAGTTTTCCGATTTTACAATTTCTCGATTTTCCGATGTTTGTTAGATTTTACAATTTTTCGAATGTGTTTTAAGTTTTTCAAAATTTCTATTTATGAACTCTTAAATTTTTCATTTACATTACGTTTCTTCAGTTTTTCGATCTACAATTTTGGATGTTTCGAATTTTTAAGTTTCCGATTTCTCAATTTTTCGTTCCTTCGATTTTCCGATTTTTCAATTTGTAGATATTTTAATTTTCCTTTATCAGAATTAAACGATAATTCAAATTTTCATGTCTTCAATTTTTTGATTTGCAGTTTTTCTAGTTTTCCATATTTAGTCTTTTCAAATTTTAGCTTTTAAATAATCAAGTTCTCGTTTTTACATTTTTAAATTATGAACAGAAAGAAAAAGCTTATTCAAACTAAAATTTTGAAAAATTGTATAGCAGGAATTTTTTTCATGTTGTTCTTGTATTTTCGATGTGTTTTTTCGAAAAATGGAAATATCCAAAAATATCAAAAAATTGGAAATCTAACAACTGAAAATACGAAAAAATAAAATATCGAACAATTGAGAAATCAAAAAATAGTAATAGAAGGAACCAATCTAAAAGGTGGAACAACGAAATATTGAAAAATCGAAAAATTCAAAAGTACAAAATCTAAAAATTAAAAAACTTAAAATGGAAACTTAAAAAATTGCGGAAATGAAAAATTAAAAATCGAAAATCTGAAAATTCGAAAAATTGAAAAAGCAAAATTTTAAATTAGAAATTTCAAAAAAATTGCAAAACCGAAAAATTCAAAAATAGAGTTTTCCTAGTTTTCCAGTTTTCAATTTTTCGAATTCTTAGATTTTAGATCTTCCAAATTTTCGTTTCTTCAGTTTTTCGATCTACAATTTTGGATGTTTCGATTTTTTAAGTTTCCGATTTTTCAATTTTTCGTTCCTTTGATTTTCCGATTTTTCAATTTGTAGATATTTTAATTTTCCTTCAACAGAATTAAACGATAATTCAAATTTTCATGTCTTCAATTTTTCGATTTGCAGTTTTTCTAGTTTTGCATTTTTAGTCTTAACAAATTTTAGCTTTTAAATAATCAAGTTCTCGTTTTTACATTTTTAAATTATGAACAAAAAGAAAAAGCTTATTCAAATTAAAATTTTAAAAAATTGTAAAGCAGGAATTTTTTTCATGTTGCTCTTGTATTTTCGATGTGTTTTTTCGAAAAATGGAAATATCCAAAAAAAAAAAATCTTACAACTAAAAATACGAAAAATTGAGAAATCTAAAAATAATAATAGAAAAAACCAAAAAATTTAAATTGGAAATTGAAAAAATTGCGGAAACGAAGAATTAAAACTCAAAAAACAGAAAATTCGAAAAATTGAAAAAAAAAGAAATTTAAAAAAAACGTGGAGTGAATTTTTTAACGACAACGCCTATATCGAAAAATCAAAAATACCACTATTTAAAAAGATGCGATGACTTCATTAACTTTTAGACAGAGTGGCGTTTTGTATACATTTTCAAATTTTAGCTTTTAAATAATCAAGTTCTCGTCTTTACATTTTTAAATTATGAACAAAAAGAAAAAGCTTATTCAAACTAAAATTTTAAAAAATTGTAAAGCAGGAATTTTTTTCATGTTGCTCTTGTATTTTCGATGTGTTTTTTCGAAAAATGGAAATATCAAAAAAAAAATAAAAAAAAATGGAAATATTTTTTTCATGTTGCTCTTGTATTTTCGATGTGTTTTTTCGAAAAATGGAAATATCCAAAAAAAAAAAATCAAAAAAATGGAAATCTTACAACTGAAAATACGAAAAATTGAGAAATCTAAAAATAATAATAGAAAAAACCAAAAAATTTAAATTGGAAACTGAAAAAATTGCGGAAACGAAGAATTAAAACTCAAAAAACAGAAAATTCGAAAAATTGAAAAAAAATATGAAATTTAAAAAAAAAGTTGAGTGAATTTTTTAACGACAACGCCTATATCGAAAAATCAAAAATACCACTATTTAAAAAAATGCGATGACTTCATTAACTTTTAGACAGAGTGGCGTTTTGTATATATTTTCAAATTTTAGCTTTTAAATAATCAAGTTCTCGTTTTTACATTTTTAAATTATGAACAAAAAGAAAAAGCTTATTCAAACTAAAATTTAAAAAAATTGTAAAGCAGGAATTTTTTTCATGTTGCTCTTGTATTTTCGATGTGTTTTTTCGAAAAATGGAAATATCCAAAAATATCAAAAAATTGGAAATCTAAGAGCTGAAAATACGAAAAAATAAAATATCGAAAAATTGAGAAATCAAAAAATAGTAATAGAAAGAACCAATCTAAAAGGTGGAACAACGAAATATTGAAAAATCGAAAAATTCAAAAGTACAAAATCTACAAATTAAAAAACCTAAAATGGAAACTTAAAAAATTGCGGAAATGAAAAATTAAAAATCGAAAATCTGAAAATTCGAAAAATTGAAAAAGCAAAACTTTAAATTTGAAATTTCAAAAAAATTGCAACGAAGAAAAACCGAAAAATTCAAAAATAGAGTTTTTCTAGTTTTCCAGTTTTCAATTTTTCGAATTCTTAGATTTTAGATCTTGCAAATTTTCGTTTCTTCATTTTTTCGATCTACAATTTTGGATGTTTCGATTTTTTAAGTTTCCGATTTCTCAATTTTTCGTTCCTTTGATTTTCCGATTTTTAATTCGTAGATACTTTAATTTTCCTTTATCAGAATTAAACGATAATTCAAATTTCCATGTCTTCAATTTTTTGATTTTCAGTTTTTCTAGTTTTCCATTTTTAGTCTTTTCAAATTTTAGCTTTTAAATAACCAAGTTCTCGTTTTTATATTTTTAAATTATAAACAAAAAGAAAAAGCTTATTCAAACTAAGATTTTTAAAAATTGTAAAGCAGGAATTTTTTTCATGTTGGTCTAAAAATAATAACAGAAAAAAAAACAAAAAATTTAAATTGGAAACTCAAAAAATTGCGGAAACGAAGAATTAAAACTCAAAAAACTGAAAAGTCGAAAAATTGAAAAAAAAAATTTGAAATTTCAAAAAAAAGTTGAGTGAATTTTTAAACGACAACGCCTATATCGAACAATAAAAAATACCACTATTTAAAAAAATGCGATGACTTCATTAACTTTTAGACAGAGTGAATCAATTTTAATTAATTACACTAAAAAAAAAAAAAACGGTTCGGAAATTCCAAGGCAAACTGTAAAATTCCCCTTTTTCCTATTTTTTACCACAATACGGTGATTGTGATTTTTTACATATAGTTTGAAACGGTAGTTAAATAAATAAAAATTAACACAAACAGACGGGAACGGAGGACCTACTTTTTATACTTTAGAAGTCGTGAAACGTCAAGAAAACACGAAAGTAAGCATTCGCCGATGAAGCCTATTACACTTAGCTTACGTCCGGGAACTAAAAATAATACGGTGTTCCCCATATTTTGATAAAACCGCAAAATTTTAATAACATTAATAATAATTGATTCATTAATTTAAATATTACATTATTAAGCGCAAACACATCCTTTAACAAAGATTTATTTAATAAATTTTGCAACGACCTCATTATCTCACATGACGTCATCAATTTTTTGAAAGGGATGAAGAGATGAATTCGAAACGTGTGCATAAAATATGTACATACAAAAGTTTATCGTATTGTTTTTTTTTCGAAAACCCAGATTATAGTAAGTTTAAAAATATGAAATTCAACGTGTTGGAAAAAATCGACGAGGATGGGATTCGAACTCACGCCCACTGACAACTTTTTGTAAATCAATTGTGATAAAAATCGGATTCATAAACCACAAGTATCGCAAATATAAAAAAAAATGTTTGTTCGAATCCTACGACAACATTCACTCATCGACCTTTATTTGACCCCCGAAATAACATTTTTTTGATTTTTATATCCTTAAGGAACACAATTTCGACCAACAAACGCGGAAATAGGGGACGGAAGCCGCAATTAAAAACCGGATGTATAAACTTTATTCACCTTGCATAAACAACACTTGTTTATAGATCAAAGACAGTGAAATTGACCACGCATTTTCGAATGTATTACAACTAAATTAGCCTCCGCGTCGTCGCGAAATCTTATTTTTTATCCGCTCATTTCATTAGTTTACAGCGCAAAAAAGCGAATGCTTTCTAAGTTCGGAGAAAGTCAATCACTAACAAAGTGTTATAAATTGATTCAATAAAGGCAACAAGTTTGTGTGATATTTTTTAACTCGTTCATTAATTTAGCGGAACGTTTCGACTCTTCTTGACCCGAAAATGGCATCCACGATCGAAATCGGAACGCGGAAAACAGATTGATAATTTAGTATCTCATAAACGAGTTAATGTCAAACGGTTTATTTAATTTTTTCTATCAACACACACGTTTATATCAGAAAATTTTCCAATACGATTGCATACATTCACGTTTCAATGACTGCGCCCACGTGCTTTCAATTATTAAATTAAATAAAAATCCACATACCAAGTAGTAGAGATTTTCCGTCGACTTTTCCTCGTTCCTGATATTCTTTAGCGCCTCAGTGTTAGAAGCTCGTGAGAAGTCAAAGGGCTCAGCATAGACAGGCTCAGGGGCACAGTTAACAAAGAAAGCTGAATTAGGCTCTCTAATTTTTTCGTACGTTGAGTGACAAGTCAGCCCGTTAAAACAGTTAAAATTGAAGGGATTATCATCACTGGGGGTGTCAGGAATGGGCGAAAAAGGCTTCTGTGATTTACTTTTGTATAAAACGCTGTCATCGCTGTCTTCACCGGAAGTCGTGGACGCCTCAAGTTTCACTGGTTTCTTCGTTCGGAGCTTATTATTCCTTAAAGCCGTTTCGAGTTTGTTCAACATGTACCTAGGGTCGTGTTTGTACACCTTTTTTGTATTTTTCACCACTTGGTGTTGATTTTTTTGATGATTATGTAAAAATGACACGTTTTTAGTGTCTTCTTTGACTGGAGTGTGTTCAAACGTTCTCGGGGGTTTTTGGGGCGCCGGCCCTGGGGGCAGCGGTCTTTTCAATGCCGCTTTTAGCGTGTCAGTGAGACCAACACTCTCTTCTACCTCCGTACTTTTATTAATATCTTCTTTGTCCAGATCATTACTAATCTCAATACCGTCATTTCTCACTATTGTCGTTGTATCTTTGTGTCTTAAAGCTTTAGGAATCGGTTTTGTATAAAAACAAGGGTCTTTAACATCGGGAATGTTCTCATTTGTCACGTTTTCTTTCAAATCGTCATTTTTCTCAAACTTTCGTCGTATTAAAGTAAAGTCAAGAGAGCTTTTAGACTTGACCAGAGGTGGCAACTTTGCACACTGGTTGCCCTGTTCGTTCTTTCTACAATCTAACTTGTCAGTCTTAATCACAGCGGTTTTCCTACCATCGTTGCTTTTCAAAGCAGTGTTATACTGCTGCAGTCTCTCGAAATAAAAACTTCTATTGCAAGCCGTGCTCCTCTCAAACGAGTTACCTTTTTCTGGGTTAATATCAATCCGGAACGCTGGCGATCTTTTGATGTTTTTTCGTGCCGGATCGCTCAGCTGCCTTGTCAGATTTTGCACAACCCAAGTAGCAGCCGCCGAATTGTTATTATTAGCGTTTAAATCTCGTTTCGGGACGTTCGGTTTGCTAGGTTCGACGTTTTCGAATCTTGTTTTGATGGATTTGACCCGATTACTGTTCTCTGGAGGTCGGTACATGGCTCTTTCTTATCACTTACATTGTGGTTTGTACATCAAAGAGAGCTTCGTCCAGCTTTCGGGGATTGGAATTGTGTTAGTATTGTTTAATATGGCAATAAAAAGTGGACGCAACAGGTAACATGAGTGAGGTTATTACATCTGAAAAAAAAGAATGCGATGGAACTTACGTTGTCGGCAATGCGGTTAAAGGAACTACAATAGATTAATAAATTACTTACGACTTTTGTGGTGAGTAAGATGTGCTGTTAATTGAACAACTAGTTTAAATTAAAGAAACCGTTTACAAACATTCACGAACATCGTCAAACTTCAAACTGGTCGGATGTCAGCCTACTTGACGCGAGATTAGCGGAATTAGGTGACCAATCATACGCTAGTGTATTTTGGGTTGCCTATCACATAAATTCCACCTGTAGCTGCACCTGCAGTGACTTTTATTAAAACTTGTTGCATTAACATTGATTCCAAGGTGAGTAATTAATGAAAGTATTTTAATGAGGGAGTTGATTGATATTTTATAATTGAGTGTGATCTCGGCCTAGAAACTTCCCCAGAAACAATGCCATTACATACTACAAAAATTTACCATTTTAGACATGTTTTAACTTTCTTATTGTCGAAATAAGTCTACACATATTCAAACAAAAAAGGCAAAATTTAGCCCCGCCCACCCACCCTATCTCAATTGTGATGATATTTTTATTCGTCGTGAGTCAAGAGGGCGGAGCTTAGCTGCAAAATCCTTATTTCTCTATCACAAGAAGTTTTCATTTGTTGGCAAACCTAGAAATTTACCATTTTAAACGTGTTTTAAGTTTGTAAGAATAAAAATCAGTACAATTGAGATGGGGTGGGTGGGCGGGGATTATATTTTGGATTTTGTTGAAAAAAAAAATTGAAAATTGAAAAATCTAGAAAATGCAAACCGAAAAACTGAAGAAATAAAGATAGAAAAATCTAAAAACTGAAAAATTTTAATGTGAAAACTCGAGAAATTGGAGAAACAAAAAACTGAAGAAACGAAAAATTAAAAAATTTAAGAAACATAATGTAAGATCGAAAAATCGAAAAATCTAAAAATTTAAACGTGAAAACTCGAGAAATTGAAGAAACAAAAAACATACAAATTAAAAAATTAAAACTTGAAAACTCGAAAAATTAAAATGAATTAATAAACGAAATATTAAAAAAAAAAAAAATTCAAACTGAAGAATAGAGAAATTTTCAAAATTGAAAACTAGAAAAAATGCAAATTGAAAAATTAAAGAAACAAAAAACACATAGATCGAAAAATAACAAAAATTAAACTCCAAAAATGGAAAAATTGAAAAATTTAAACTGTATAACTCGAAAAATTTAAACGACAAAACGGAAAAACTGAATAAACGAAACGTTAAAAAATCAAAAAAATCAGAAAAATTTTAACTGAAAAGTTGAAAAAATGCAAGTCGAAAAATTAAAGAAAATTTGAAAATTGAAAAATCGAGAAAATGCAAATCGAAAAATTGAAGACATAAGGAATAAAAGCTCGAAAACACTAAAAACTGAAAAATTTTAACGTCAAAACTCGAGATATTGAAGAAACAAAAAACTAAAGAAACGTGAACATTCGAAAAATTAAAAAAGTTAAGATTTGAAAACTCGAAAAATTGAAGACAAAAAACGGAAAAATCGAAAAACTAACTACACGAAACATTAAAAAAATCAAAAGTTGAAAATCAGAAAAACTTTATTTGGAAACTAGAAAAAATTCAAGTCGAAAATTAAAGAAACAAAAAACTGAAAAAAGAAAAATTAAAAAAATTGAAAAATCGAGAAAATGCAATTCGAAAAATTTTGACGAGAAAACTCGAGAAATTGAAGAAACAAAAAACTGAAGAAATGAAAAATTAAAAAAACAAAAAACAGACACATCGAAAAATTGAAAAATTTAAACTCGAAGAATTGAAAAATTTGAATTTAAAAACTCGAAAATTTAAAATACAAAAAACAGAAAAATTGAATAAACGAAACATTTAAAAAAAATCAAAACTTGAAAAACAGAAAACTTCTAATTGAAAACTAGAAAAAATGCAAGTCGAAAAATTAAAGAAACAAAAAATTAAAAATTTGAAAACCGAAAAATCGAGGAAATGCAAATCGAAAAATTGAAGGCAAGGAATACAAGCTCGAAAAACCTAAAAACTGCGTAAAAACTCGAGATATTGAAGAAACAAAAAAGTGAACGAACGTGAAAATTCGAGAAATTGAAAAAGTTAAGATTTGAAAACTCGAAAAATTGAAGACAAAAAACGGAAAAATCGAAAAACTGACTAAACGAAACATTAAAAAAATCAAAAGTTAAAAAACAGAAAAACTTTATTTGAAAACTAGAAAAATTCAAGTCGAAAAATCGAAACGTTAAAAAAAATTTAGACATGATAACTCGAGAAATTAAACAAAAACAGACAGATCGAAAAATTAAAAAATTTAAACTCAAAAAATCCAAAAAATTGGAAAATTAAAACTCAAAAACTAGAAAAATTAAAAAAAAGGAAAAATTGAATAAACGAAACGTTAAAAAAATCAAAAGTTGAAAAATAGAAAAATTTTAATTGAAAACTAGCAAAAATGCAAGTCGAAAAATTAACGAAACAAACAAAAATTTGAAAATCGAAAAATCGAGAAAATGCAAATCGTAAAATTTAAGACATAAGGAATAAAAGCTCGAAAAACCTAAAAACTGAAAAATTTTAACGTGAAAACTCGAGATATTGAAAAAACAAAAAACTGAAGAAACGTGAAAAATCGGGAAATTGAAAAAGTTAAGATTTGAAAACTCGTAAAATTGAGACAAAAAACGGAAAAATCGAAAAACTGACTAAACGAAAAATTAAAGAAACAAAAAACTGAAAAAAATAAAAAAATTGAAAAATCGAGAAAATGGAAATCGAAAAATGTAAACGTCAAAACTCAAGAAATGAAGAAACAAACACAGAGAGATCGGAAAATTGAAAAATTTAAACCCGAAAAATGAAAAAATTGGTAAATTTAAACTCAAAAATTAGAAAAATTTAAAAAACAAAAAAAAAAGGAAAAATTGAATAGACGAAACGTTAAAAAATCAAAAGCTGAAAAGCAGAAAAATTTTAATTGAGAACTAGAAAAAATGCAAGTCGAAAAATTAAAGAAATTGAAAATTAAAAATTTGAAAATCGAAAAATCGAGAAAATGCAAATCGAAAAATTGATACAAAAAACGAAAAAATCAAAAACTGGCTAAACAAAACATTAAAAAAATCAAAAGTTGGAAAACAGAAAAATTTTAACTGAAAATTAGAAAAAATTCAAGTCGAAAAATTAACGAAACAAACAAAAATTTGAAAATCGAAAAATCGAGAAAATGCAAATCGTAAAATTTAAGACATAAGGAATAAAAGCTCGAAAAACCTAAAAACTGAAAAATTTTAACGTGAAAACTCGAGATATTGAAAAAACAAAAAACTGAAGAAACGTGAAAAATCGGGAAATTGAAAAAGTTAAGATTTGAAAACTCGTAAAATTGAGACAAAAAACGGAAAAATCGAAAAACTGACTAAACGAAAAATTAAAGAAACAAAAAACTGAAAAAAATAAAAAAATTGAAAAATCGAGAAAATGGAAATCGAAAAATGTAAACGTCAAAACTCAAGAAATGAAGAAACAAACACAGAGAGATCGGAAAATTGAAAAATTTAAACCCGAAAAATGAAAAAATTGGTAAATTTAAACTCAAAAATTAGAAAAATTTAAAAAACAAAAAAAAAAGGAAAAATTGAATAGACGAAACGTTAAAAAATCAAAAGCTGAAAAGCAGAAAAATTTTAATTGAGAACTAGAAAAAATGCAAGTCGAAAAATTAAAGAAATTGAAAATTAAAAATTTGAAAATCGAAAAATCGAGAAAATGCAAATCGAAAAATTGATACAAAAAACGAAAAAATCAAAAACTGGCTAAACAAAACATTAAAAAAATCAAAAGTTGGAAAACAGAAAAATTTTAACTGAAAATTAGAAAAAATTCAAGTCGAAAAATTAAAGAAACAAAAAACTGAAAAAAAATGAAAAATCGAGAAAATGGAAATCGAAAAAATTTAAACGTCAAAACTCAAGAAATAAAGAAACAAAAATAGACAGACCGGAAAATTCAAAAATTTAAACTGCAAAAATCGAAAAATTGAAAAATTTAAATTGAATAAACGAAAAAATTTGAACTCAAATAATCAAAAAATTGGTAAATTTAAACTCAAAAACTAGAAAAATTGAAAAAATGCAAATCGAAAAATTGAAAAATTTTAACGTGAAAACTCGAGATATTGAAACAAAAAACTGAAGAAACGAAAATTAAAAAAATTCAGAACTGAAAAATGGAGAAACTGGAAATTAAAAAATTGAAGAAACAAATAACATCCGATCAAAAAAACAAAAAATCTAAAAATTTAAACCTGAAATCTCGAGAAATTGAAGAAACAAAAAACATACAAATCGAAAAACTAAAAAATTAAAACTTGAAAACTCGAAAAATTAAAATGAATTAATAAACGAAATATTAAAAAAAATTCAAACTCTGAAAAATAGAGAAATTTTCAAAATTGAAAACTGGAAGAAATGCAAATTGAAAAATTAAAGAAACAAAAACTGAAGAAACGAAAAATTAAAAAATTGAAATATCTAAAAATGGAAAAATTTAAACGAAACAAAAAACAAATAGATTAAGAAATAAAAAAATGTAAACTCGAAAAATGGAAAAATTGAAAAATTTAAACTGTATAACTCGGAAAATTGAAAAGACATAAAACGGAAAAACTGAATAAACGAAATGTTAAAAAAAAAAAATCAGAAAAATTTTAATTGAAAACTTGAAAAAATGCAAGTCGAAAAATTAAAGAAACAAAAATTAAAAAATTGAAAAATCTAAAAATCGAAAAAAAGTTAAAACTTGAGAAATTCAAGAAACAAAAAACAGATAGATCGAAAAATTCAAAAATTTAAACTCGAAAAATGGAAAAATTCAAAAATTTAAACTTTATAACTCGAAAAATAGAAAAGACATAAAACGGAAAAATTAAATAAACGAAACGTTAAAAAAATCAAAACAATTAGAAAAATTTTAATTGAAAACTTGAAAAAATGCAAGTCGAAAAATTAAAGAAACAAAAAATTAAAAAAAAAGAAACAGAATTGAAAAAAAAAACAAAAAAAAATAGAAAAATCTAGAAAATGCAAATCGCAAAATTGAAGAAACAAGGAATCAAAGATCTAAAAAAATTAAAACTAAAAATTTTTACGTGAAAACTCGAGGTATTGAAGAAACAAAAAAACTGATAAAAGAAAAATTTAAAACTGAAAAATCGAGAAACTGCAAATCGAAAAATTGAAGAAACAAAGAATATAAGATCGGAAAATCTAAAATTCGAAAAATTTAAACCTGAAAACTCCAGAAATTGAAAAAGTTCAGATTTGAAAACTCCAAACATTGAAAAGACAAAAAACTGAATAAACAAAATATTCAAAAAATTCAAAAGAACAGAAAATTTTAATTGAAAATTAGAAAAAATGCAAGTCTAAAAATTAAAGAAACAAAAACTGAAAAAAGAAAATATAACAAATTTTAAAATTGAAAAATCGAAAAATTACCATGTAAAACATGTTTTTTCAGTATAGTGTTATTCAAAGAATACCATGTATATTAAGAAAAAATTAAAACCAAAGATTAAGCCCCACCCACACCTGCCCTGATCTAAATAATGATAACTAATGAAGTTTTATTCGTTGCCTGACCTAGGGGCGGAGCCTAATAATTGCAAAATCCATATTTCCCTACAAAAATTTACCGTTTTAAACCTGTTTTAAGTTTCTAAGAATAAAACAATCATCACAATTGAGACGGGGTGGGTGGGCGGGGTTTATATTTCGCCTTTTGTTGAAAAATAGAAAAATTTTAATTGAAAACTAGAAAAAATGCAATTCGAAAAATTAAAGAAACAAAAAACTAAAAAAAAAATTGAAAATTGAAACATCTAGAAAACGCAAACCCAAAAATTGAAGAAATAAAGATAGAAAAACCTAATAACTGAAAAATTTTAATGTAAAAACTCGGGAAATTGGAGAAACAAAAAATTTAAGAAACGAAAAATTAAAAAATTTCAAAATTGAAAAATCGGGTTTGTAAATCAGCAAACTGAAGAAACGAAAGAATAAAGGATATAAAAATCATAAATCGAGAAATTTAAACGTCAAAACTCAAGAAATAAAGAAAAATCGTGGAAAAATCGAAAAATTGAAAAATTAAAACTGAATAATCGACAAATTAAAAAAAAAATCGACACTCAGACAAATCGAAAAATTGAAAAATTTAAACACGAATAATCAAAAAATTGGAAAATTTTATCTCAAAAACTAGAGAAATTGAAAAAACAAAAAAAAAGGAAAAATTGAATAAACGAAGCGATAAAAAAGTCAAAAGTTGAAAAACAGAAAAGTTTTAATTGAAAACTAAGAAAAATGCAAGTCGAAAAATAAATGAAATAAAAAACTGAAGAAAATTAAAGAAACTGAAAATTGAAAAATCGAGAAAATGCAAATCGAAAAATTGAAGAAATAAGGAAGAAAAGATCGAAAGACCTAAAAACTGAAAAATTTTGACGTGAAAACTTGAAATATTGAAGAAACAAAAAACTGAAGTAAATATAACTCAAAAAAATTCAAAATGGAAAAATCGAAAAATTGAAGATACAAAGAATATAAGATCGAAAAATCTAAAATTCCAACTAGAAAAATTAAAGACACCAAACGGAAAAATTGAATAAACGAAACATTAAAAAAATAAAAACATTGAAAATCAGAAAAATTTTTATTGAAAACTTGAAAATATGCAAGTCGAAAAATTAAAGAAACAAAAAAATTGAGAAAATGCAAATCGAAAAATTGAAGGCACAAGGAATACGAGATCGAAAAACCTAAGAACTGAAAAATTTTAACGTGAAAACTCGAGATATTGAAGAAACGAAAAACTGATAATCGAAAATATTAAAGCTCCACTTGATTCATGGCGAATAAAAAAATTATCACAAAGGAGATAGGGCGGGTGGGCGGGCATACATTTTGTCTTTTTGTTTTAATATGTGCAGACTTCTTTTCACAACAAGAAACTTATGTTTAAAATGGAAAAATTGTATCAGGAAATATAAATTTTGCAATTAGGCTCCGCCCCATAACTACAACATCGATATTTACTTGCAAAAATGTACTTAAATAGGTTTTAAGTTCCTTGTTGTGAAAAAATGACTACGTACGTTAAGAAAAAAGGGGCAAAATATAAGCCCCGCCCACCCGCCCTATCGCAATTCTGACGACTTTTTTATTCGTCTTAAGCCGAGGGGGCGGAGCTGAATTGTACAATCGTTATTTTTCTACGAGACATTACCAGATCATGTTCTTCAGTAATCGTGTTACACAAAGAAAACTTATAAATGTATTAATTAAAAAAGAAAACCAAAAGAGAAGCCCCACCCATCCGTCTCGATTTCAATTGTGATGAATTTTTCATTCATTGTCAGACCAAGGGGCGGAGCATAATTGCAAAATCTTGTTTTTGAGTATCGAGTTCAAAGAATACAATGTATATTAAGAAAAAAAAAAACAAGGCGAAAATTAAGCCCCACCTATATCCATCCCAAGCTCAATTGTGATTAATTTTCCATTTGTTGTCAAACCCAAGGGCGGAGCCTAATTGCAAAATCGATAAGTTCCTTAAAAAATTTACCATTTTAAACATGTTTTATCTTTATATAGAAAAAAACAAATCTTGTCGATTTAAACGTCCAAAAAATTATCTTTTAACAATGCGTAAGTAGTGAGAGAATTGTTGTCAGCCCTACTTTAGGCGACTTTCCTTCAAGTTGGCAACGCCGAACAGCAACGTCAGCGTCAAGTTTATAAATCGACCTTAACCCTCAGTAATGAAATATTTTTATTATTATAAGTATTTACAAAATAGGCTATACAAAAAAAATACACGTAGAATATTTTTTCTCAGCTGATTTATCACATGGTAGTCACTTCTCCTTCTTCAGGGCCCCCACATCCTCCAAGATCCTCTGAATATCCTCAGGCACTCTCCCCTCGTCGATTTCTTTGGCCCATACTTGAAACTAAAATTAGAAAAAACAGCAGTTACACCACAGTGATATAACTCTTATCCCTATCTAGCTACTTAAGTCGCAACAGATAAGTCAACCAACCTTTTCCAGCTCTTTTCGAAGCGCGAAAACCGCTTTCTCTCTATCCGCGACGAGTTCCTCCAAGTACTGATATCTCAATTTTTTTCTGGCTCTACATTCTCTAGCACTTTGACGGCTGCGCTCTAGAAAGCCACGCTGTAAAGTACCGTCTGTCAGCTTACGTGCTTTAAGCTCACCTAATTTAGCTTTCATGTCAATCTTATCACCCGATTTTCTACCCGGCTTACGTCCCCGTTTTCCGGATTCCTTACGGTGAGGGCCCTCCTGAAAAAAAAAACAAAATTTTACCAAACTGATTTAAAAATTCCGACGGACAGACACACGGAAATGGGAAGCGACGAATTAACGACGAATCGTTGCCACGCAAACACATAAGTAGCTTAATTAGTGGAAATTGAAGCTTCAGTGTGGTGCTTGCGATACGCACGAAGCTTTGATAACTGCGTTACGTAGCTAAAAAAATTCGCAGAGAAGTCCTAAAGCTTCAATAAATGCGAAACACACACTCGTGCTCTCCTTATCTTTTTTTTTTTTTAATTCAAGAAAACAACAAAAACATTGTTATCACTGGCAACAGGCTAGACCTCCTTTCAGCATATATTGCGTTTAACCCAATGTCAAGGCTAACCGGCTTAAAAACGCAATATTTTTAGCCGGCCGGTCAAAAAATATTCAGATAAATGTGTTAAGAAAACTATATTTTTTTCACAGACTAATTATAAATGACAACAACGAAGTACCGAAAAAAGGACGCCACGTTTCGCCCGACCGATCAAAAAATACCAACGCTTTTAAAATAAAATAAATAAAACACTCCTCGACTCAACCGAAAACCACGAACAAATCAAATTAAAAAATTAATCACCACTTAAAACAATAAACTAGATCGTCGCACTACAAATTCTTCATTCATAACGCGGAAATTCGGGGAAATTTCAATGTACAGGGAAACTGTGTTGACTGGGGTGCGTTTGAATTAGTTTTAAGGATTTCGGGTAGTGACAAAATGATTTGCTTACCGTTCTGCGATGTTCTAAATGCGTAGTAAACCCGGTATTCGTTTTCGTACGCAATGAAAGCAAGGCAAGCAACCCAGAACGACGTGACTGCTACAACGCCGGTTATTGCGCAGTACAACTGTTATTACCGTGAGCTGTGCTAAATAATATTGTTCGACTCCATGTCTACGACTCAGGTCTTGTACGAGTGGCGATTGCGTGGATTTTATGACTGGAGGTTTCGGAACGAGGCGCTAAATAAATAATGTTGGGCAATGAGTTTTGTGATCAATCAGATATTTTCTATTTTTGTTATCGCTGTCGAGATAAAGTTGGGAGAGGTGGTGCGATGGCACGATGTTGTGGAATGAATGTGGCGAGGTTCGCCGGTGACGATTTGGAATTTGGTGGTTCGGGGCGCTAATGGCTTAAATGTGACGATTGATTGCGACGTGGTTTTGGGTGGAATGTCAGCTTGTGAAAATGAACGAGGTGTTATCTCCATTCATGTGGTCGCGTGAACTGGTTTAAACTGGTGGTGCGGAGGGAAAAACGTAGTTATACATAGATCCCGCGATTCAGAATCGATAAAGTAAAATTTGTCAATTTGTGAGATATTTTAAAAATTTGGTTTTGGAATCGAATATTTTGGAAACCAGTTGCCACGTCAATCGATAGACGCATCATTTCTGCTTAAACGTGATTTTTTTCATAATTTTTGGCCACTCAGTTTTCCCGGAATTCCCATAAATACGCCCTTAATAAATAATGCCACGATTGCTCCACAATTTTCAATGATGGCCTTTCAATCTAGAACCGGGACCACGAAATATCATATTTTTGGATTCAATTCGTTGAAATCTATCTCCCAGATTTTTTTGAAAATTTTTAGACAACTTTTCCAAAAACTCCTTTTTTGAACAATTTTTTGACTATTTTCGAAAATTACCTAAATGAATTTTCTGGTAGATCTCCACCTCCGCAAACCATTTTCGACTTCATTTCCTCGAAAATTTGTACAATTTTTTCAGAATTGTCAAAAATGTGCATTTTTGAGATATTTTTTGGAAAGTTAATTTTGAAATTTAATATTTCGGAAACTAGTTGCCGTATCGATGTTGGATTATTTTTCCCGATAACGCATCATTCCTGCTTAAACATGTTTTTTTTTTCATAATTTTTGACCACCCAGTTTTTCCAAAATCATGGTAAATGGGTCCTTGAGAAAAATGCCACGATTGCTCCGGAATTTTCAATCACAGCCCTCAATAAGGATCAACATGTCATATTTTTGGATTCAGTTCCTCGAAATCTGCTTCCCGGAATTTTTGTGGAATTTTTTTAACTTTTACAAAAGCTCGATTTTTCAATTTCAAAAAATGAAAAATCGAAAAATTGAAGAAACGAAATATAAAAAATTAAAATTGAAAAATCGAATTTGCAAATCAATAAATTGAAGAAACGAAAAAATAAAGGATAGAAAAATAAAAAAAAATCGAAAAATTTAAACGTGATAACTAAAGATATTAAAGAAACAAAAAACAGACAGAAAAATTTTAAAAATCAAACTTGAAATATCGAAAAACTGAAAAAGTTAAGATTTGAAACTCGAAAAACTGAATAAACGAAACAAAAACAAATTATTAAAAACTAGAAAAAAGTCGAGAAATTGAACAAAAAACTGAAAAAGGAAAAATTAAAAAATTCGCAAAATGCAAATCGAAAAATTGAAGACAGAATAAAAAATCTAAAAATCTAAAAAGTAAAAAAATTTAACGTGAAAATTCAAGAAATTGAAGAAACCAAAAAATTGAAGGAACGAAGAATTTAAAAAATTGAAAACTGAAAAATCAAGTTGTAAATCGAAAAATTGAAGAAACAAAAAACAGAAAGATGAAAAAATTAAAATTAAATATGTATTGAATAAATGAAAAATTGAAACATCTAAAAATTGAGTAAACAAAACGTTAAAAAAATCCAAAGTTGAAAATAGAAAAAATTTAAATTGAAAACTAGAAAAAAATGCAAATCGAAAAATTCAAAAACAAAAACTGAAAAAAAATTGAAAATTGAAAAATCGAGAAAATGCAAATCTAAAAATTGCAGTAATAAAGAATAAAAGACTGAAAAACCTAAAAACTGAAAAATTTTAATGTGAAAAGTGGAAAAATGGAAGAAACAAAAATGTGAAGAAACGAAAAATTTAGAAAATTCAAAATTGAAAAGCGAGAAACTGCAAACCGAAAAATTGAAGAAACAAAGAATAAAAGATCGAAAAATCGAAAACTTTAAACGTGAAAATTCGATAAAATGAAAAAATAAAAACCAGACAAATCGAAAAACTGAAAATTTTAAAATTGAAAACTCGAAAAAACACAGAAAACGGAAAACCGAAAAATCCAAAAATTAAAAAAAATAATAGACGAAACCTTAAAAAGTTCAAAAGTTGAAAACAGAAAAATTTTTAATTGAAAACTAGAAAAAATGCAAATCTAAAAATTCATAAATAAAAACTGAAAAAACGAAAAATTAAAAAATTTAAAAATCGAGAAAATTGAAATCGAAAAATTGAAGAAATAAAGAATAAAAGATCGAAAAACATAAAAACTGAAAAATTTTTTGAAGAAACAAAAAACAGACAGAAAAATGAAAAAAAATCAAACTTGAAATATCGATAAACTACAAAAGTTAAGATTTGAAACTCGAAAAACTGAATAAACGAAACATTAAAAAATTCAAAAGTTGAAAAACAAAAAAAAAATATTGAAAACTAGAAAAAAGTCGAAAAATTGAACAAAAAACTGAAAGAGGAAAAATTAAAAAATCGACAAAATGCAAATCGAAAATTGAAGACAGAATAAAAAATCTAAAAAGTAAAAAATTTTAACGTGAAAATTCAAGAAACAAAAAAATTGAAGAAACGAACAATAAAAAAATGTAAAATCGAGTTTGCCAATCAATAAATTGAAAAAACGAAAGAATATAAGATAGACAAATGTAAAAATCGAAAAAATTTACTTGGAAACTCCAGAAACTGAAGAATCAAAAAACAGACAGATCGTAAAATTACGAATTCAAACTCGAAAAATCGAAAAATTTAAACTCAAAAACTCGAGAAATTGACGACAAAAAACCGAAAAATTGAATAAACGAAACGTTAAAAAAATTCAAAAGTTGAAAAACACAAAAATTTTAATTGAAAACTAGAAAAAAATGCAAGAAAAAATTAAAAAGTAGAAAAAAAATTAAAGAAACAAAAAAAAATTTTGATAACTGAATTCGAGAAAATGGAAATCGAAAAATTAAAGAAACAAGGAATGAAAAATAGAAAAACCAAAAAACTGAAACATTTTAACGTGAAAACTCGAGATATTGAATAAACGAATCGTTCGGTTTTCCGTTTTCTGTCTTTTTTCGAGTTTTCAAGTTTAAAATTTTCAATTTTTCGATTCGTCTGGTTTTTGTTTCTTCAATTTTTCGAATTTTCACCGTTTGAAGTTTTCGATTTTTCAAACTTTTATTCTTTGTTTCTGCAATTTTTCGATTTGCAGTTTCCCGATATTCAGTTTTGAAATTCCTTAACTTTTCGTTTCTTCAGTTTTTTGTTTCTTCAATTTTTCGAGTTTTTATATTAAAATTTTTCAGTTTTTGGGTTTTTCGATCTCTTATTCTTTATTAATTCAATTTTTAGATTTGCATTTTCTCGATTTTTCAATTTCCAAATTTTTTAATCTTTCGTTTTTTCAGTTTATGTTTTTTGAATTTTTCAATTTGCATTTTTCGATCTTTCATTCTTTTGTTTCTTCAATTTTTCGATTTACAATTTCTTGATTATTCGATTTTCAATTTTTTTAAATTTTCGTTCCTCAGTTTTTTATATCTTTAATTTTTCGCTTTGAATTTTTTCTAGTTTTCAGTTTAAAATTTCTTTATTATTCAGAGTCTGAATTTTTTTTTTAATGTTTCGTTTAATTCTTTTTAATTATTCGTTTTTTCGGTTTTCCGTTTTCTGACTTTTTTCGAGTTTTTCAAGTTTAAAATTTTCAGTTTTTCGATTTGTCTGTTGTTTCTTAAATTTTTCGAATTTTCACGTTTAAAATTTTCGATTTTTCTTTTATTCTTTGTTTCTTCAATTTTTCGCTTTAGTTTCTCGATTTTCAATTTTGAATTTTCTTAATTTTTCGTTTCTTCAGTTTTTTGTTACTTCAATTTTTCGATAAATCCAAAACAAAATACACGAAACGTTAAAACAAATCAAAATTTTGAATTGAAAACTAAAAAAAATGCAAAACGGAAAATTCAAAAACAAAAACTGAAAAAAAGGAAATTAAAAAATTTTAAAATTGAAAAATCGAGAAAATTCAAATCGAATTGAACAAATCGAAAAACCTAAAAACTGAAGAAACGAAAAATTAAAAAGAATTAATAAACGAAACAAAAAAAAATCAAATTCTGAAAAATAGAGAAATTTTAAACTGACAACTTGAAACTCAAAATGAAAAGTGAAAAATCCGAAAAATTGAAGAAACAAAAGACTAAAATATCGAAAAATCGAAAATTTTAAACCTGAAACTGGAGAAATTGAAAGATGGAAAAATTAAAATTAAATATTGAATAAACGAAAAATTGAAACATCAAAAGACTGAATAAACGAAATGTTAAAAAAATTCAAAAGTTGAAAATAGAATAATTTTAAATTAAAAACTAGAAAAAATGTAAATCGAAAAATTCAAAACCAAAAGCTGTAAAAACGAAAGACTAAAAAATTTGAAAATTGAAAAATCCAAAAATTGAAGGAATAAAAAATAAAAGACCGAAAACCTAAAAACTGAAAAAAATTATTGTGAAAACTCGAAAAATTGAAGAAACAAAAAACAGCCAAAACGAGAAATTGAAAAATTTTAACTTGAAAACTCGAAAAAAGACAAAACGGAAAAACCGAAAAATCGATAAATTAAAAAGAATTAATAAACAAAACATTAAAGAAATCCAAACTCTGAAAAATACAGAAATTCTAAATTGAAAACTATAAAAAATGCAAATCGAAAAATTAAAGAAACAAAAAACTGAAAAAAACAAATTAAAAAATTTGAAAATTGAAAAATCGAAAAATTAAGGAAACAAAGAAGGAACGATAAAAAATAGAAAAATTTTACGTGAAACTCGATAAACTGCAGAAACAAAAAACAGCCAAAACGAGAAGTTAAAAAATTTTAACTTGAAAACTCGAAAAAAGAAAACGGAAAAACTGAAAAATCGATAAATTAAAAAGAATTAATAAACAATCCATTAAAGAAATCCAAACTCTGAAAAATACAGAAATTCTAAATTGAAAACTATAAAAAATGCAAATCGAAAAATAAAAGAAACCAAAAACTGAAAAAAGAAATTAAAAATTTGAAAATTGAAAAATCGAAAAATTGAAGAAACAAAGAACGAACGATAAAAAATCGAAAAATTTTACGTGAAACTCGATAAACTGCAGAAACAAAAAACAGCCAAAACGAGAAGTTAAAAAATTTTAACTTGAAAACTCGAAAAAAGAAAACGGAAAAACTGAAAAATCGATAAATTAAAAAGAATTAATAAACAATCCATTAAAGAAATCCAAACTCTGAAAAATACAGAAATTCTAAATTGAAAACTATAAAAAATTCAAATCGAAAAAAAAACTGAAAAAAACAAATTAAAAAATTTGAAAATTTAAAAATCGAAAAATTAAGGAAACAAAGAACGAACGATAAAAAATCGAAAAAATTTATGTGAAACTCGATAAATTGAAGAAACAAGAAACAGCCAAAACGAGAAGTTGAAAAATTTTAACTTGAAAACTCGAAACAAGACAAAAAACGGAAAAACCGAAAAATCAACAAATTAAATAGAATTAATAAACAAAGCATTAAAGAAATCCAAACTCTGAAAAATACAGAAATTCTAAACTGAAAACTATAAAAAATGCAAATCGAAAAATTAAAGAAACAAAAAACTGAAAAAAATCAAAAATTTGAAAATTGAAAAATCGAAAAATTGAAGAAACAAAGAACGAACGATAAAAAATCGAAAAATGTTACGTGAAAACTCGATAAACTGAAGAAACAAAAAACAGCCAAAACGAAAAGTTGAAAAATTTTAACTTGAAAACTCGAAAAAAGACAAAACGGAAAAACGAAAAATCGATAATTAAAAAGAATTGATAAACAAAACATTAAAGAAATCCAAACTCTAAAAAATACAGAAATTCTGAATTAAAAACTATAAAAAATGCAAATCGAAAAATTAAAGAAACAAAAAACTGAATAAACTAAAAATTAAAAAAATTGAAAAATCTAAAAGATCAAAAAATCGAAAATTTTAAACGTGGAACTCGAGAAATTGAAGAAACAAAAAACAGAAAGATGGAAAAAAACGCTAAAAAAATTAAAAAATTGAAAATAGAAAAATTTTAAACTGAAAACCAGAAAAAATTCAAATCGAAAAAACTGAAGAAACGAATAATTTAATAAATTGAAAATTGAAAAATCGAGAAATTGCAAATCGAAAAATTGAATAAACAAAAAAAACAAAAGATCGATAAATCCAAAAATAAAAAAAATTAAACGTGAAACCTTGAGAAATTGAGGAAACAAAACACAGAAAGATCGAAATATTGGAAAAACAAAAAACGGAAAAATCTAAAAATGGAATAAACGAAAAATTAAAAAAATCTAAAAGTAGAAAATTCACACAATTTGAAATCGAAAACTAGAAAAAATGGAAATCGAAAAATTGAAGAATGAAAAAACGGAAGATCGGAAAACTGAAAAACGTAAAAATTAAATAAACGAAAAATAAAAAGTTCTTATAAATTTCGGATCACTTGTCTACCATTTTCAGAATTTTTTACATATTAAAAAAAAGTACCACGATTCCTGCAGCATTTTCAAAGATTGGCCTCAATCTCGAGACCTTGAACATGTCACACTTTTGAATCGAACTCATCGAAATTTATCCCCCAGAATTTTTTGTGAATGTTTAGACTTTTCGAAAAGCTCATTTTTAATTTTTTCAATAGAAATTTTCGACCTTGGGCACAAAATGCACTCTTTCTAATCAAAATAAAACAAAACGTGGCAAATTTTACGTTCCATTAATTCCAAATTAAATAATGTTGCTAGATGAAGACACCATTTTTTGTCCATCGCTATTACATAACACACAAAAAGAACAAACCGAAAAGCCTGAAGGTGAAGTCTTCTACGAAAGACTGACCCAGATTTACCCCGACACGATTTTCTTCAAAACCACGCTCTACAATCTCTAATCAATTCCTCGCCCTTGATATTCCAGTTTTAACCGCGCTTTTTCAAGCCCCGCGACCCATCCTCCTAGTGCGCATGCGCCCTCATAACCCAATTGTGCCTCTCAAATATTTAGGATATAAATTAAATCTTTTGTTCAACGATATCAAAAACCACAATCACAAACCCCAGTCCGTCCACATTTTAAACCATTTACACAACCAACACCGCGTGATGGTAAATCATGACATGCAATTATTCCCAGCATACAAACACAAAAATTACATTGTACAATGTTTTGTCACAAGGATTTCGCAAAGTTTCTCACCATTGTGCTTTGCTCCTCAATAACTGCCATCTCTTGAAAGTCCATCTCTGTATTCTGCTGTCACTGCTCTATTTTTTTACAAATTTTGGTCTTGAACCACCTCACTTTATCACACAAACAGATCAACGTGTCTGTGTGTTTACAAACATATGCAAGGTCATCCAATGTTACGTCAGAAGGAGAATGAAGGCGATCGATATCGCCGTCGGTAAAACAGAACTCTTCTCGATCTTTGGGAAAAATGGATCAGGTGGCAGCATGTTATTTCGGTTTCCGGAAAAAAAATAAGGCCGCAGTTTGTGCAACGTTGCAAACTAGATGGCGCCCCTAACGTTAATTTAAAATTCACCCATAACTTAAAAATTAAATTATTATCAAAAAATAAACTGTATACATTGTTTCGTACAAACTTAATGACTTTAATTGTTAATTTTTCTAAAAGTTAGGTTAATTCTGACACCCGGCGCATTCTTCCTAGGGGGCAGAGAATGATACCAAAAACTGTTAGTGGGTGGGTTCATTAGAAGAAGGCTTCCGTGCTGCAATTCCACTTCAACTGTAAAATTAAAACATATATCTGTGTATTTAGTAAAAAATTTGCCATACCTTTGGCGATATCCCGCTTAGCCGGACCTTTCTTTCTAGTATCTTGGTGCTTAAGCACAAACACCCTTTGTTGTCCTAGTGATAAAGAAGCTATAGGTGTGTTCTTGTCAAGTTCTGCTTCGTTATCTTTGTGTTCTCCAATGTGGTCTTTACCGTCCCTGTACCTGTAATCGATTTTTTAAATTGTCAAAAATTGTGGCTTAATCACTTACTTATTAATTAAGACAAAATTGTAAGTGAACCCAGTGACCTCTTTTATTAAATTTCTAACTAACTCGAGAGGTTCAGTCCACGGTTTGGCCGGAATAGTTACACCCGAAAATCGATAAACTGTGCCCTCATCTCCATATGCAGCTTGTTGTCTGGGTATTTGGTGCCACTTTCCAAAAACTTTTACCTTAGAGAATTCACCATCCAAGTACTCTATTGAGTCTTCTAACTGCTTCAGTAACTCAGTGGCCAACTCCTGTGGCAGAAGCCTAATATAGTCTAGATCTAGATTATCAGAAACTATTTTCTTTCTTTCTATGGAGGATGTTTTTAGTCGTTCAATGGAAGCTCCAAAATCAATTTTTCTTCGTTTTAACATGTCTAAGAAAAGAAAACTAGAATAAATAATCTGGGATTTATCGACTTTGGGTATATAAATCTTCGGAAGTTAAAGACTTTCTCCGTCTTACATAACAAAGCCAGGAGAAAGTACTAAGAATACCTGTGCTCGTGCATCTACATAAATTAGGTTTATACCATGACGTCACATTTGATTGGTCGCAGTCACATATTAAAATTTACAAACAATGAAGTTCCCGTTGTCCATTTTAGACATGTTTTAAGTTTCTAGTTGTCGAAATAAGTCTACACATGTTAAGAAAAAAAAAGTATAATGTAGACCCGCCCACCCACCCTATCTCTATTGTAATGATTTTTTTTATTCGTCGTGAGCCAAGAGGGCGGAGCTTAACTGCAAAATCCTTATTTCTCTACTACGAGAAATAAAAAGTATGAGTATCGTGTTGTTCATAGAATACTATGTATATTAAGAAAAAAATAAAACCAAAGATTAGGCCCCACCCATACCAGCCCCGATCTCAATTCTGAATTGTGATGAATTTTTCATTCGTTGTCAGATCGAGGGGCGGAGCTTAAGTGCAAGATCCACATTTGTCTACAAGAATTTACCATTTTAAACATGTTTTAAGTTTCTTGTTCTGAAAAGACGACTACGTATATTAAGACAAAAGGCAAAATATAAGCCCCACCCACCCGCCCTATCTCAATTGTGATGATTTTTTTTATTCATCGTAAGCCAAAAGGGCGGAGCTTAACTGCAAAATCCTTATTACTTCTCTACAAGAAATTATCATGTAAAACATGTTTTTAAGTATGATGTTATTCAAAGAATACTATGTATATTAAAAAAAATAATAATAAAGCTAAAGATTAAGCCCCATCCATACCTGCCCTGATCTAAATATATAGTAATGAAGTTTTCATTCCTTGACAGACCTAGGGGCGGAGCCTAATTGCAAAATCCATATTTCCCTACAAAATGTGGAAATTAAAAATCTAGAAAGCCAAATCATCAACATTTAGAAAAATTGGAAAATTGAAAACTCGAGAAATCGAGAGAGAAAAATTGAGAAATCGGGACCGAAAGTCGAAAACTGAAAAATTTAAATGTCAAAAAATGGAGAAATCCGAAAATAGAAACAAACTCGGGAAATCGAGAAATCAAGATATCGAAAGATCGAAAATTTGAGAAACCGGGAAATCCAAAAAAAATTGAAAAATCGAAAAATTGGGACAGCGGAACATCGAAAAGTTAAAAAATCGGGAAATCGAGAAATCGAAAACTTGAAAAATTGAAAAATCGGGAAATCAAAAACTCGAAAAGCCAAAAAATTGAAAAATCTGAAAACTGAAACATTGAAAAGTTGAACAATAGAGAAATCGAAAATAAAAAATCTTGAGTACTTACCTAAAAAATGAAAAATTGAGACACCGGGAAATCTAAAAATAAAAAAACATGAAAAACCGATAACTTCGGACATCGAAAAATTGAGCAATCGGAAAATCGAAAAATTGAAAAATCGTGAAATCAAGACAGATCGAAACGTAATACCGAAAAATCGGGAAATTGAAATTCGAGGAAAGAGAAATCGAAAGAAAAACGGAACAGTCGAGATATTGAGAATCGAAAAATTGAGAAATCGGGGAGTAGAAAAATCGAAAGAAAATCGAGAAATTCGAAAATCTAAATCTACAGACCGAAAAGTCGAAAAATTTAGAAACCGGGAAATCGAGAGATCGAAAAACTGAGAAATCGGGAAACCTTAAAGATGAAAAATTGAAAAATCGGAAAACCGAAATGTCGAAAACTCAAGAAATCGAAAAATGGAGCACCATTTTTGAAAACAAAAGTCGAAAAATTGAGAAAATGGAAAAGTCGAAAAATTGAAAAATTGAAAAATGTGGAAATCGAAGTTAAATAATCGGCATTTCGAAAAATTGGAAAGTTCGGGAAATCAAGAGAGAAAAATTGAGAAATCGGGACCGAAAGTCGAAAAACTGAAAAATCTAAATGTCAAAAAATTGGGAAATCCCAAAATAGAAACAGAATTCGGGAAATCGAGAAATCAAGACATCGCAAAATCGAAAATTTGAGAAATCGGGAAATCGAATAGTTGAAAAATCGGGAAATTAAAAAATCGTAATGTCGAAAAATAAAAAATCTTGAGTATCTAAAAACTGAAAAATCGAGAAAACGGGAAATCCAAAAAAAATGAAAAATCGAAAAACTGAGACAGCGAAAAATCGAATAGTCGAAAAATCCTGAAATTAAAAAACTGAAAAATCGAGAAACCGGGAAATCCAAAAAAAAAAAAAAAATAAAAAATCGAAAAATTGGGACAGCGGAAAATCGAATAGTCGAAAAATCGTGAAATTAAAAAATCGTAATGTTGAAAAATAAAAAATCTTGAGTATCTAAAAACTGAAAAATCGAGAAACCGGGAAATCCAAAAAAAACTGAAAAATCTGAAAATACAGGGGAAAATCGAAAAGTTGAAAAATCGGGAAATCGAAAAGTCGAAAACTTGAAAAATTGAAATATCGGGAAATCAAAAAATCGAAAAGCCGAAAAATTGAAAAATCGGAAAACTCAAACATTGAAAAGTTGAACAATAGAGAAATCGCAAATAAAAAATCTTGAGTACTTATCTAAAAAATGAAAAATTGAGAAACTGGGAAATCTGAAAATAAAAAAAAAAATTAAAAACCCAAATCTTCGGACATCGAAAAATCGAGCGATCGGAAAATCGAAAAATTGAAAAATCGTGAAATCAAGACAGATCGAAACGTAATACCGAAAAATCGGGAAATTGAAATTCCAGGAAAGAGGAATCGAAAGAACGACGGAAAAGTCGACATATTGAGAACCGAAAAATTGAGGGAAATCGGGGAGTAGAAAGAAAATCGAGAAATTCAAAAATCTAAATCTACAGACTGAAAAGTCAAAAAATTTAGAAACCGGAAAATCGAGGGATCGAATACATGAAAAAATGGAGCATCGAAAAATCGAAAAATCACAAAATGGAGCAACATTTTTGAAAACAAAAGTCGAAAAATTGCGAAAATGGAAAAGTCGAAAATTTTGGAAAATGCAACAAATATATAAAAACCGAGAAATGGAAACATCAAGAGATGGAAAAATTGAGAAACCGGAAATTCGAAAAATGTGGAAATCGAAAATCTAGGAAGTTCAATAATTGGCATTTCGAAAAATTGGAAATTAAAAATTGGGGAAATCAAGAGAGAAAAGTCCAAAAATCAAGAAATCGGGACACCGGAAAGTCGAAAAATTGAAAAATGCAGAAATCGAAATGTCCAAAAATTGAGAAATCCGGAAATAGAGACATACATATATAAATGGAGCAATCAAGAGATCGAAAAATCGGGAACTCGAAAAGTCGAAAAATCGGGAAATTAAAAATCGTAATGTCGAAAAATAAAAATGTTGAGTATCGAAAACTTGAAAAATTGAAAAATCGGGAAATCAAAAAATCGAAAATCCGAAAAATTGAAAAATCGAACAATAGAGAAATCGAAAATCTAAAAAGCCAAATCATCGACATTTAGAAAAATTGGAAAACTGCAAATTCGAGAAATCGAGAGAAAAAAGTCGACAAATCGAAAAATTGAGAAAACGGGAAACCGAAAAGCCGAAAAATTGAAAATTCTAAATGTCAAAACATTGGGAAATGTGGAAACAGAAACTAGAAACCGGGAAATCGAGAAATCAAGAGATCGAAAAATCGAAAAATAGGCAAATTGAATAGTTAAAAAATCGGGAAGCAAAAAATCGTAATGTCGAAAATAAAAAATCGTGAGCACTTATCTAAAAAATGAAAAACCGAAAACTTCGGACATCGTAAAATCGAGCAATCGGAAAATCGGAAAATTGAAAAATCGTGAAATCAAGAGAGATCGAAAGAGAAATCGAAAGACTGAAAAATCGAGATATTGAGAACCGAAAAATTGAGAAATCGGGGAGTAGAAAAATCGAAAGAAAATCGAGAAATTCAAAAATCTAAATCTACAGACCGAAAAGTCGAAAAATCTAGAAACCGGTAAATCGAGATATCGAAAAACTGAGAAATCGGGAAACCTTAAAGTCAAAAAATTGAAAAATCGAAAAACCGAAATGTCGAAAAATCGAAAAATGGAGCAACATTTTTGAAAACAAAAGTCGAAAAATTGCGAAAATGGAAAAGTCGAAAATTTTGGGAAATGGAACAAATATATAAAAATCGATAAATGGAAACATCAAGAGATCGAAAAATCGAGAAACCGGAAATTCGAAAAATTAAAAAATCGAAAAATGTGGAAATTGAAAATCTAGAAAGTTAAATAATCGGCATTTCGAGAAATTGGAAATTGAAAATTCGGGAAATCAAGAGAGAAAAGTCTAAAAATCTAGAAATCGGGGCACCGGAAAGTCAAAAAATTGAAAAATCCAGAAATCGATACATACATACATAAATCGAGAAATCAAGAGATCGGAAAATCGGGAAATCGAAAAGTCGAAAAATTGGGAAATTGACAAATTGTAATGCCGAAAAGTAAAAAAAACTTGAATATCTAAAACTGAAAAATCGAAAAACCGGAAAATCAAAAATAAAAATTTACTATCTTTAACGTGTTTTAAGTTTTTAAAAATTAAAAAATCATCACAATTGAGATGGGGTGGGTGGGCGGGGTTCATATTTTCCTTGTTTTTTCTTAATACACATGGTATTCTTTGAATACCACGATACTCAAAAACATGTTTTTAATTTTTTGTAAAGAAATAAGTATTTTGTAGTTAAACTCCGCCCCCTCGGTTCACGGCGAAGAAAAAAAATCGTCACAATTGAAAAGGGGTGGGTGGGTGGGGTTTATATTTAGCCTTATTTTCTTAATATACGTAATATTTTTTTAACAAGACGTTACTCAGAAACATGTTTTTAATTTTTTGTAAAGAAATAAGTATTTTGCAGTTCAACTCCGCCCCTTGGTTCACGGCGAATTAAAAAAAATCATCACTATGGAGACAGGGCGGGTGGGCGGGCCTACATTTTTCCTTTTTGTTTTAGTATAAGTAGACTTTTTTTCACAACATGAAACTTAAAACATCTTCGCCCCATAATTGCCAAATCCATATTTCCTTGCAAAAATGTACCATTTTAACCATGTTTTAAGTTTCCTGTTGTGAAAAAATGGCCATGTACACTAAAAAAAGGGCAAAATCTAGGCCCCGCCCACCCACCCTATCCCAATTCTGATGATTTTTTTTATTCGTCGTAAGCCGAGGGGCGGAGCTTAATTGTAAAATCCTTGTTTTTCTACGAGAAATTACCATGTGAAATATGTTTTTAAGTAATCGTGTTATACAAACAAAACTAAATGTATTAATTAAAAAATAAGACCATCCGTCTCGATCTCAATCGTGATGAACTGTTAATTCGTCAGCGGCAAGTTTATAAATCGACCTTAATTGTTATAATTGGAAATAATACGAATGAGAGAAATTTGATTGAATCCCCGCCCTGGGTGTTTAGCCACGCCCCTGGACAAGTACTGGTTTCAATTTTCCGGTGGCAATTTTATGATACAAACACTATGTACGATATTTCTTGATCTTTAAAGCACAACAGTCGTGACTTTCTAATATCCTACGTGTTATTCAATAGTTTATTAAATAAATTACGTTTCCTACCTGTGCTTTGTGCTTTTTGTTACATAAATGTCAGTCTGTAAGCCAGCACGAGGATGAACAAATTTAGCCCTTGACACACAACACTGACTTGAATTTATTTTATAGGTTATGTGTTGACGAAGGTGTGAGGCAGTGGCGTAGCTTCAATGATCGATACAAGGGGTTTTTTATCAGTAAAAACCACCGGCAAAACTTGTTTACTTATAGGGTTTCTACTCAGATCTAACGGAGATAATCCAAAAATCGGCGCTGACCTGAATGTGGAGGTCATCGTCGACGGCGCAGATGAACTCCAGTCTGGAGGTCGCCGCCGTGAATTTGAACCCAAAAGTCGTTGCCGTGGACTTGGACCTCGTCACGTCCCTGCCAAAATTTGTCTATTCATCCTCTCCAAAGAGCCATAAGGTCATCTAAAAATATCCTGAAGCTTTTTTGAAATTCGCAAGTCTGAACGAGGAACTTTGTCGGAGAATTACGTAACAGGAGAAATTTGTTGTTTGGTTTTGTACAGAAGTTAAACTGTTACTCTTCCTTTTAATCTCTGGTCCCCACCAGGGGCTTCCATTGTCCGATTTTATGCTTGAAGGGGAAAGGTATGTGATGGTGTGTAACAAGTTTCGTTGCATCTTTTTGCAAGACTGAGCATCAGTATTAATTTCGTCTATGGGAACTACAACACTCACAATGTCTCAAAAATTGTGCTCATTTTTTTTATTAATGAGTTTATATTTGAAAAATTCAAAATCAGGTAAGTTAAATAATTTTTTTCCATCCTGGATTGGTACGATATTGCCATGACGTCACTTTTCAGTGTTTTGTAAAAAGTAGATAAGTCATTTACGACAATGACGAAAATTTTGTTGCAGAATCTTACACTGGACACAGTCTAGTTTCACTCCAAAGCGAAGATTTCGCCACTGTTGAAACAATAACGAAAAATTTGCGTAAAAGGCCAAACTCAGCTCAAGAGGAGACAGATGAAATTTTCAAACAACTGAAACTAGAACTGAGTGCCAGCAACACCGAACGTATTTTGACAGCTAAGGAAGAAAAAGAAGAATCTGCGAAAATTTTTGACGAACTTTTTGAGGAAACCAGCAGTCCCAAACCAGTCGGACGAGGTAACCAAGAGTCGGAAGCGATTCACCGAATAACAGACACCATTGCCAAATTCGTATTTCGAGGAAGAAAAAGCGGTTCCGATAACTCGAACATTTTGAGCCTTATATCCAATGTATTTAACTACAGAAACAGATAGTTGTAGAAAAACAAACAAATAAATATTTTTTATTTTGCGTTTAAAAATTTATTGACACGACTGTGTATATTTTTTAATGAATTGTCGCAATAAATTCATTCTTAGTTGCATTAGTGATGCTGTCATTTATTTCTCAATGTTTTCACTTTCACTATCCAGTGTCAGGGACACAGTGTTCGTGTTCTTGGACACTATTTTCCCGTTTTTTTTTTTTTTAATTCGCTGTTTAACGATTAGGTCATCGATATATAAACCCACTAAACACTCAATTGTTTGAACTCGTTACATAACACGTGCAAATGCCTCTTTTACGTAATATTTTATTGTTTTTGCAAGGACAACCTTTGGTCATAATTTACCAGACGCTGCAACTATCTCTTGCATTTTATTTTGTAACGACTAAAGCGAATAGTTGACATTTCCATTTGTCACATCTCGAAAGCGTTTCCGATCTTCTCCACACCACCTCTTTTGAAAAGAGAAAGTAGGAACATGCATGTTTACTCAGGTCAGGTCAAGGATATGAATCTTCAACTTTCACCAAACATTTTACTCGGAAAATCGTCACTTTTATAAAAAATTTATTGAAAAGTTTACACAATTTTAGACACTACAAGATTGGCACTTTGCGCGGAAGAATATCAATGTTTACGTTCAGTGAAATGTGGAAAGAAAGCGGGGACATCGTGAAAAGACAGACTAGAACAGGAGAGTCGGGACAATGAAATTATATAATTCTAAATGGTGGAATAATTTAATTGCGACCAACTTGATCTATTTGCTGTTGTAAATTATTTACTACTTCCGTGGGGAACTGGTCGCCGAGGATTTCGAATAAATTAATCCTCTGGTTGCCGGGGATGCTCTCGTAGGCACCTATTTCGATACCTTCTTGGACCTAGAAGCGTCACGATTTAAAAAATTGTAAAAAATTGTCTGGATATTTTCGGGACTCACTTTTTGGATTTGGGCGTCTTTCGGGATCAGGAATGTATTCTGTGCTTGTCTGATGGCTTCGTTCGTGTATGCTCCACCTTCTTTTTGAGGAAACGCGGCGGAAATCGTCACCACAACCAACAGAATAAGAAATTTCATGTTTGCTGAATTGTACACACATACAAAAAATATTATAATTCGCTCAACAATGTAACTATTGATACGTACCTGGATTTAATAAATAATTTAATAAATACTTAAACTGAAGACACTACTTACTTTCACCCGTTTAATCACTCGATGGACTTTTATAGATTCTACGCAGTTTCTCTAACATTTCACTTATATAAGAGCTTCCATCACTCCATCGCCTCCCTCCTGATGTGTCTCTTAAAACGCGATGACCCGAATAATAGTTTTTTTCCAGAACTTCTTCAAAATAAACTGTTCTACTAAAACTAGTTGTGTTAAATATATAAATCTATAGACGTAATAAAACATAAAACAAACTTTAGGCAACATAATGCACGGTTGAAAAGATTCTTAGTAGGATATTTATATGGTAGTTAGTTTCATCAGTCGTCTTCAGACGCAGTGACTTATGAGAAAATGTTAACAATTGCGTAACTCGGGTTGGTTAATTCGTTACCCAATACAATAATAACACTGCTTAGTCTTGAAAGATCATTAGTTGAGAAAATTGACACAAAAGAAATACAATGCCTGCATGAAAGTCTAGGTAGTCATATATTAATTTTAGTCACGAATACGATGAAAGTTTGTCCGGAAATTCTCGCGGGTATTCTTACCTGGGTTTAGACCTTGCTTTTACTAGTGACGTTGTGGCGACCACAAAAGTCTAAAATTGTACCAAATTAGCTAATTAAATTCCTGCGATTTATGTGCAATTTAATTAAGGCTCGCGGCTCGTTGAACAGCATAATTTAAAATTATTTTCGACTGTATAGAATTTTTTTGCATTGGCATGTTTTAGGCTTAATAACCATATTTTATTTTCACATTATTCCAATGTTCTTAACAAAGGTTTCTAAAAAGTCTTTATAGTGTGATGTAACATTCTACTATGTTTTTTCTTTTTATTTTTTGTTAAGTATTTTCGATATCTGGAGTTGACTATTTCTGCAATTTTCGCTTTTTTTTTAAGAAATCTGCATTTTATTACTTCATCTTACTGCTTTCTTATTTTCTCTCTTTTTTATTAATTATTTTTTATACGATAAATTTTATAATTCCTGCATTTAATTTCAATTCGAAAAAGACTGAAATATCGATATTGAAAATTATAATATTTCACAATATTTTTAATATATGCAAATGTAACCTACAACTTATTATTATTGTTATTATTTTTTAATTGAATACCCAATATATTATTGTATTCTACGATTGGCCTCTGTTTAGGCTCTACAACCATATTTTATATTTGAAATTCCTATGCGACGCTGCCACATAATAATGTGATACCATATTGCATTTTTTTAGTGTGCATTGTTAATCAAAATCAAGTAAAATGAAAATAACGTGACAACGTTGCATAGAAATTTCAAAAATAAAACATGATCGAGAAGCCTATATTAGGTATATTTTGCCTCTTTTTTTAATATTTTATTAATTTTTCAGTTTTTCGATATTCCGATTTTTCAATTTTCGATTAAACGGTTTACTTTCGATTTTTTGTCTTATCGTATTTGGATTTTCCGGTTTTTCAATTTTTCGGAATTAATTTTTCAGTTTTTCGATTTCTCACTTTTTCGGTTTATCGTTTTTTTTTTTTAATTCAAATTGCAATTTTGAATTGTTCTATTTTTCAATCTTTAACCACTTCTATTTCTCAATTTTTCGATCTTTCGACTTCTCGGTCTTATGTTTCGTTATCTCGATTTTTCAATTTTTCGATTTCACGATTTCTGTTTTTCGATAATTTATCTTTTCGGTTTTTCGACTTTTCAATTATTCGATTTTTCAATTTGTCGATTCTTCAATTTTCGATTTTTAAGTCTTATATCTTTCCATTTTTAGATTTTTTGATGATTCGATTTCTCGATTCTTCGATTTTTCGATATTTTAACGTTTCTATTTTTTAAATTTTACACTTTTCAATTTTTCGTATTTTCCGATTTTTCAGTTTTTCAGATCTTCGATATTTAAATTTTTCAAGTTTTCGATATTTTCAAATTTTTTATCTTTCAGTTTATTGATTTCTCAATTTTTCAATTTTACGATTTTTTTTATCCCAATTCTAAGCATTTCGATGTTTGGATTTTAAAAAACTTTCGACTTTCCAATTTTTCAACATTTCAATATTGGGAATTTTCAATTTTTGGATGTTCTAATTTTTCGATTTTCAGTTTTTTCCTTTTGTCGATTTTGTATTATTTATTTAATTTTCTCGATTTATGGATATTCCGATGTTCCCATTCTTTGATTGTTCGATTTCTCGATAATAATTTGATTTCCCAATTTTTCGTCTTTTCAGTTTGGGAATTTTTCAATTTCTCGAGTTTTCAGTTCTTCAGTTCTTCAATTTTCCAATTTTTTAAATTTCGGCTTTTCCGAATTTTCGGCTTTTCGACTTTTTGATTTTCTAATTTTTCGATTTTCCGATTTTTCGTCGTTTCAGTTTTGGAATCATACAATTACTCGAGTTTTCAGTTTTTCGATTCTACAATTTTCTAAATTTTTAATATTGATTTCTCCGTTTTTCAATTTTTTGACTTTTTGGCTTGTCGATTTTCAATTTTTCGATTTTCTAAATTTTGGATTTTCCGATTTTTCGACTTCTCGGCTTTTGGCCTTCTTTTCACAAGAATAAACATGTTTAAAGTGGTAAATTTTTGTAAGTAAATGCGGATTTTGCAATTATGCTCCGCCCCTCGATGTGACAACGAATGAAAAATTCATCACAACTGAGATCGGGGCGAGTGGGGGATATCTATTTTTGGCATTTTTAATATACATTTTCGCATTTCGTACCGATTCTTTCGAATTTCGACCAATTTTTACATTTTCGAAACTTGTCTAAATACATTTTTTGTAGATTTCGAGCTCTAGAACGCACTTCCGGCATCATTTTTTTGATAAGTGCAACCTTTTTTCCATGATTGACTGTTGAAATATCGAAATTTTAAGAAATTTTCAAAATTTCGCAATTGATACCAATTTTTTCAAAAATATTGCTCCGTGCCCACCAACACACTACATTTTTGGAATCAGCATATCGAGGTCTATGTCCCTGAATAAATTTTAGATTTTTACATTTTTGTTGTTTCGATTTCTCAATCTTTCGATTTTTTGCCTTCTCGTTTTTATATTTTTCGATTTTTAAATTTTTCGGAATTAATTTTTCAGTTTTTCGATATTCCGATTTTTCAATTTTCGATTAAACGGTTTTCTTTCGATTTTTCGTCTTATCGTATTTCGATTTTCCGGTTTTTCAATTTTTCGGAATTAGTTTTTCAGTTTTTCGATTTCTCACTTTTTCGGTTTGTCGGTTTTTTTTTAATTCAAATTTTTCAATTTCGAATTGTCCCATTTTTCAATTTTTAACCACTTCTATTTTTCAATTTTTCGATTTCACGATTTCTGTTTTTCGGTAATTTAACTTTTCGGTTTTTCGACTTTTCAATTACATATTCGATTTTTCAATGTGTCGATTCTTCAATTTCCCGATTATTATTTAAATTTTGGATTTTTCGATTTTTCAACTTCTCGGCTTTTGGATTTAGCAATTTTTCGATTTTTAAGTCTTATATCTTTCAATTTTTAGATTTTTTGATGATTCAATTTTTCGATATTTTGATGTTTCTATTTTTTAAATTTTACACTTTTCGATTTTTCAGTTTTTCAGATCTTCGATATTTAAATTTTTCAAGTTTTCGATATTTTCAAATTTTTTATCTTTCAGTTTATTGATTTTTCAATTTTTCACTTTTACAATTTTTTTTATTCCATTTCTTAGCATTTCGGTGTTTGGATTTTAAAAAATTTTCGACTTTCCGATTTTTCAACATTTCAATATTGGGAATTTTAAATTTTTGGATGTTCTAATTTTTCGATTTTCAGTTTTTTCATTTTGTCGATTTTGTATTATTTTTTTAATTTTCTCGATTCATGGGTATTCCGATGTTTCCATTCTTTGATTGCTTGATTTTTCGATAATAATTTGATTTCCCAATTTTTCGTCTTTTCAGTTTGGGAGTTTTTCAATTTCCCGAGTTTTCAGTTTGTCAGTTCTTCAATTTGCCAATTTTTTAAATTTTGGCTTTTTCGAATTTTCGGCTTTTCGACTTTTTGATTTTCTAATTTTTCGATTTTCCGATTTTTCGTCATTTCAGTTTTGGAATCATACAATTTCTCGAATGAAAAATTCATCACAACTGAGACCGGGGCGGGTGGGTGTGTCTTTATTTTTGACATTTTTAATATACAGGTTCGCATTTCGTACCGATTCTTTCGAATTTCGACCAATTTTTGACATTTTCGAAACTTGACTAAATACATTTTTTTGTAGATTTCGAGCTCTAGAACACACTTCCGGCATCGTTTTTTTGATAAGTGCAACCGTTTTTCCATAATTGACCGTTGAAGTAGCGAAATTGTTAGAAATTTTCAAAATTTCGCAATTGATACCAATTTTTTCGAAAATGTTGCTCCGTGCCCACCAACACACTATATTTTTAGAATCAGCATATCGAGGTCTACGTCCCTGAATTTTTTTGCAACTTTTTGATCACTTTTTTAAAAATGAAATTTTTCCAATGGTCCCCCTTCTTCAAATTTCGGCCAATTTTTGACGTTTTCGAAATTCAACGAAATACATTTTCTTGTAGATTTCGAGCACTAGAACTTACTTCGGGCTTCGTTTCTTTGATAAGGGCAACCGTTTGTCCGGAATCGACCGTTGAAATATCGAAACTTTTAGAAATTTTCAAAAACTCCAATTTCATACCGATTTTTTCGAAAATGTTGCTCCGTGCCCATCAACATGCTATATTTTTGGAATCAGCATGCGGAGGTCTACGTCCCTGAATTTTTTCGTAATTTTTAGACTACTTTTCTAAAAGTGAAATTTTTTCAATGGGGCCCCCTTCTTCGAATTTCGGCCAATTTTTGACTTTTTCGATACTCAACTAAATACATTTTCTTGTAGACTTCGAGCTCTAGAACTCGCTTCGGTCCTCGTTTCTTTGATAACTGCAACCGTTTTTCCGGAATCGACCGTTGAAATATCGAAATTTTTAGAAATTTTCAAAAATTCGCATTTTATCCAGATTTTTTTGAAAATGTTACTCCGTACCCATCAACATGCTATATTTTTGGAATCAGCATGTCGAAGTCTACGTCTCTGAATTTTTTCGCAATTTTTAGATCACTTTTTTAAAAGTGAAATTTTTCCAATGGTCCCCCCTTCTTCAAATTTCGGCCAATTTTTGGCGTTTTCGAAACTCAACGAAATACATTTTCTTGCAGATTTCGAACTCTTGAACTCACTTCGGGCCTCGTTTCTTTGATAACTGCAACCGTTTTTCCGGAATCGACCGTTGAAATATCGAAATTTTTAGAAATTTTCAAAAATTCGCATTTCGTACCGATTTTTTCGAAAATGTTGCTCCGTGCCCATCAACATGCTATATTTTTGGAATCAGCATATCGGGATATATATCCCTGAATTTTTTCAGAATTTTTGGACAACTATTTCAAAAATGAAATTTTCCACAATGTAGCCTCCCTTATGCAAATTTCGACTCATTTTTGACGATTTTCGAAATTCAACTAAATACTTTTCCTTCGATTACTTCAACCATTTTTCCAGAATTAGTTAATTAATTCAGTACAACACGTGCAGAAAGAAGATCTTGCGTAATTTGTTGTAGAGAAATAAAGATTTTGAAATTATGCTCCGCCCCTCGACTCACGACGAATAAGGAAAACCATCACAATTGAGTTGAGGGCGGGTGGGCGGGGCTTATATTTTGCCCTTTTTTTTAATATCGGTGATCTTTTCACAACAGCAAAATGAAAACATGTTTAAAATGGTAAATATTTATAGAGAAGTATGGATTTTGCAATTTTGCTCCGCCCCTCGGTCTGACAACGAATGGAAAATTAATCAGAATTGAGATCGGGGTGGGTGGGTGGGGCTTCATTTTTGGCTTTTTTTTTAATACACACACATATATAGTTTTCTTTCAACAATAGAACCTTAATTAAAATATCAAATAGTGAATTTGAGGTTAAAAATTTGAAAAATTAAATAAACGAAAAATAATAAAATCGAAATTGAATAAATAAAGGAAATGAACAAAATTGTGATATAAAATCGAGAAAATCGGGAAAATAAGAACTAAAAACCAAAAACTTGAAAAATTCAACAAACGAAAAATTGCAAAATTAAACTTCAAAGAACAAAAAATTATGTAACCGAAAATTGAAAAATGGAAAAATTGAAAAACTAAAGAAAAGAAAACACTGAAAATTGTGATATAAAAAAAATTGGTCGATGGCAAATAAATCCTGATTTTTCGAAAAATTTTGATATAATTTTGCGAATTTTCTTTTTTTCGGATAATTCTTCTAAGTTAAAATAAAAACATTTTAACAATGGGATATATTGTGGAAAGATAAAAAAAACTACGCACTTTATTATGCCATCACTGGATTATAATATACAGAGTGTTTATAATAAAATAAATTGCAGCAATTGTCAAATATCAATCAAACCTGACCTGATGTGATGACTTGACCGACACTTTTTTTTTTTAATATTTTGATTGTTTACTGCAATATTCCATCAATAAAGAAGATAAAATTTTATGGATACTGGGATGGATTGCCGCTGTAAACTCAAACGAGTGCGGGAAATGGATCATTTTATACGAATTACGAACGATATAGCAAAATTTTCTCTACGACGATCACTTAGTTTCTATTTTGATTATTATCAGTGCAATTTAAACGCCCGGAAACTGTAGTGTTGCTTTTAATAAATTTTAGAAATAAATGGCATTTCATTCAAATTTTGTATTTATTTTTCGCCAAAAACCCCATTTCTGGCTATCTAAATTCCCTCAAAAATCCGTCTTCATTTTAGTCCTTAACCATGTACTTATATAGCGGTTTGGTCTTGCTCTGCTGATACCCAGCCATACAACGCATGTATGTGAGTTGATCTCGGTAGCGCGTGTCTGAAGAAGACCTCCAACAGATCAGTTCTTCGGCGGACCTCCGCCAACATGTTTCGTGTACAATGGCACAGACCCACACTATTCGTGTTGTGTTTTTTTCTGTTTTTATTATCAATGCCATGTGCTGTTGGAGGTGAGTCAAAAGTAAACCTGGTTGTCAAGCCAGCACCGAAAACAAAAACTTTACCAACCGTTGGAAACGCTCGAGTCGTACTTTGTTTAAAACGACCGATTGATCTCTTCGTAACAATAGAGCGCAAATGGCCACATTTAACGAATTTTCAGCTGATAGTCGACGAGTTACAGGGGAATAACAAGAGTTCATTATCGGGTTGAACAAAGCAACAATGGGTTTTTTGAACAGCGATTGGTAACCGTAAGAATCTCGTTTTGACATTGTCCTATTGTTATTTTTTTACGTTGACAAAAATTTGTACGAGATTCTTAAATAATGTTAAGATCGTCGCTCATCTTAAGTGTGTATAAATATTAATGCGTTTGTCGCTCAGGCACAGTTCGTGGGAGGGTTCAAAAAAATAAACTACGATTCTCGGACTGTTATATGTAAGTCTGCTTGCATTTCTTTGTGATGGTAATCGTTGTTAATGTTAATTTTTGCCCACAATTGGACATAGCATGCAACAAAACTAGGAATAGGACGTGAAACGTGTGGCACGCGTTAAATGTGCATGAACTGTCATTCACACTCCGTGTACCGGTAATTCGCTCTTAAGTACTAAGTACTATACGCGTACTGGCTGAAAATTCCTACTATACCGTAAAAAATAGTCGCATTTTTGTTGTTTCACGCACATAAAATTTTATTGCTCGTAATGACACATTTAACGAGGTTTTAATTTTTTCAGGATCGGGTAAAACGATCACTATTGGGTGCACGTTTTCAGGATATCCTTTTTTAGCGCTTAATTTTTCAGTAAATTATAATTATTACAGCGCTCTCATCGTAAGAGGCACACAGGTGAAGACATTACCATGTATGACCGATTAAAAATGCAGAAAATGTTGTGAACGGAAGTCGCTAATAATATAACAATGTATATTAATTATCATAATAGAATTAGTGAGAAAATACGGCTGTGTTATATTTTACCACGATAAAATTGGCATTTACCGTAATTTTATGCAACGATACACATATTCCAAGAAGCTGACATTTTCAGTTTTTTGTTTTTATCACTAAAAACGATCTATTTCTACGTTTACCTCAAAATCTCTGCTAACCTCAAAAACCTGACTTATTTAAACCGCTTGGTTTCAGAATGTTGGTACAAAGATGAGCTCCACGCCGAAGGCACCCAGGTAATCACACCCGAACCTTGTCTAAATTGCACTTGCAACAAAGGAGCTTTGCTGTGTTATTTGCGAGTTTGTCCCACGCTTCCAAACCCGCCTCCACCAGGATGTATTTTGCTCCACAAGTTCGAAACATGTTGCCCAGAACTAATTTGTTCAGGTAACGCCAACACCCAACCTAGTAATAATCAACAAGCCTATTTTATTTCAGTTCTTTTTTCTGGTACTACATAGCTAGATTTTTCCTTCTTTACTTACTAACACTTGGTTTGTAAAAATTCTTACTAGATTATTTTATAAGATGGCCACAACTACGTGGAAGCCCGTTCGGACCCAGACGAGTACCTTTTAGGGGAAAATTCCAGTCTAGAAGAAGGTACTGTTCCTGTTAGTGTCACGTCGTACTCTAACTCTTTATAGTTGCATGTGTTGTGAATGGGAGTGTTTATGGGCCCGGTTCTGCCATGGACTCATCAACACTGTGCGAGTACTGTTATTGCTTGGGCGGCAAACAAGTCTGCGTGAGCCCTAAGTGTCTCCTACCGATTGAGGATTGTCGCCCGAAGTACGACCCTAGTAATTGTTGTCCGACGCACTACGAGTGCAACCACTCAACCACCACCGTTAGTACCACGACCAAAAGTACCAAACTTATCGGGAAACACAAAGGTGAGTTGGTGTTAATAGTTACAAGTTTGACTGGATATTTCAGGGGGGTGTGTTGTTGACGGTGTTTATTACAAAGAGGGTGATAAAGTACTAGGCGCTGGTCACTCGGAGTGTGATAATTGTTACTGTCTACGAGGGGTGTTGAGGTGTGAACCATTAGCGTGTGCCCCGGCTCTCTTTGGTTGTGTTCCGGTGGTACGAAAAGGAGAGTGTTGTGCGGTTAGCTACAACTGCAGTAAGTGAATTATATTATAGTAGCAGCCCCGTAGCTAGAAAACTTATTCAGAGGGGGGGCAAGTTTGTCGACAGAGGGGGCTTCATGTAAATATTTATATTTTAATAATACACTCAGATAACTACTTTATTTTTTCTGAGTTTTTATATTTGAAAGAACATTAAAATAATTGGAAACGTCGATTTTTTACGTTAAATTTTCGTAAAAACCTGTCGAAGTCCAAAAAATTAGTACGGTACTTGGTTAAAATGCTGGTTAAAACAGAGAATGTAGATTCACAAACAACTGTACTGCATCCAAAAATTTGTGTAGTGGCCATATAGGTAACATCCAATTTATTTGAGTTTATTTTTTTGCATGTTTAGTACATATTTTAAAAATCCGACTTCGAAAGCAAATATTTCGAAAATTTTGGTACGGAACCATGAACTCGTCATGTTTTTTTAAACTCGTCGAGATGTGTATTTCAGATTTTTTTGTCAACTTTAACAAAAGCTCAATTTTTGGAAACCCATATAAAATTTTTGACTTTTCCAAAGCATTTTCGAAAATTACCAAAAGAATTCCTTTGTTCATCTCGATTTCTTCCAAAAATCGTTTTGGATTCAATTTTTTTGAAAATTCTTACATTTTTTGCAGAATCGACGGAAGAAAAATGGCAATTTTTGAGAACCTGTATCAAATTTTTGACTTTTTTCAAGCACGTTCGAAATTACCAAAAGGGATTCCTTTATTGATTTCGATCTCCAGATGTTGTTTTTGGTTGTTTTTTCGAAAATTCGTACAATTTTTCCATAATCGCCAAAAGAAATATGGTAATTTTTGAGAAATTTTGAAAATTCGAGCTCGAAACCGAGTATTTCGAAAATTTTGATCCCGAACCATGAACCTGTCATGTTTTTTTAAGCTCGTACATATCTGTATTTCAGAATTTTTTGTCAACTTTTACGAAAGTTCAATTTTTGAAAACCCATATAAAATGTTTGGCTTTTCCCAAGCATTTTCGAAAATTACCAAAAGAGATTCCTTTGTTCATCTCGATTTCCAGAAATCGTTTTGGATTCAATTTTTTTGAAAATTCTTACATTTTTTGCAGAATCGACGGAAGAAAAATGGCAATTTTTGAGAACCTGCATCAAATTTTTGACTTTTTTCAAGCACGTTCGAAATTACCAAAAGGGATTCCTTTATTGATTTCGATCTCCAGATGTTGTTTTTGGTTGTTTTTTCGAAAATGCGTACAATTTTTCCACAATCGCCAAAAGAAATATGGTAATTTTTGAGAAATTTTGAAAATTCCAGCTCGAAACCGAGTATTTCGAAAATTTTGATCCGGAACCTTGAACCTGTCATGTTTTTTTAAGCTCGTCCAAATCCGTATTTCAGAATTTTTTGTCAACTTTTACGAAAGTTCAATTTTTGAAAACCCATATAAAATTTTTGGGTTTTCCCAAGCATTTTCGAAAATTACCAAAAGAGATTCCTTTGTTCATCTCGATTTTCAGAAATAGTTTTGGATTCAATTTTTTTGAAAATTCTTACATTTTTTGCAGAATCGACGGAAGAAAAATGGCAATTTTTGAGAACCTGTGTCAAATTTTTGACTTTTTTTCAAGCACGTTCGAGATTACTAAAAGGGATTCCTTTATTGATTTCGATCTCCAGATGTTGTTTTTGGTTGTTTTTTCGAAAATGCGTACAATTTTTCCACAATCGCCAAAAGAAATATGGTAATTTTTGAGAAATTTTGAAAATTCGAGCTCGAAACCGAGTATTTCGAAAATTTTAATCCGGAACCTTGAACCTGTCATGTTTTTTTTAAGCTCGTCCAAATCTGTATTTCAGAATTTTTTGTCAACTTTTACGAAAGTTCAATTTTTGAAAACCCATATAAAATTTTTGGCTTTTCCCAAGCATTTTCGAAAATTACCAAAAGAGATTCCTTTGTTCATCTCGATTTCCAGAAATCGTTTTGGATTCAATTTTTTTGAAAATTCTTACATTTTTTCCAGAATCGACGGGAGAAATATGGCAATTTTTGAGAACCTGTGTCAAATTTTTGACTTTTTTTCAAGCACGTTCGAGATTACCAAAAGGGATTCCTTTATTGATTTCGATCTCCAGATGTTGTTTTTGGTTGTTTTTTCGAAAATGCGTACAATTTTTCCACAATCGCCAAAAGAAATATGGTAATTTTTGAGAAATTTTGAAAATTCGAGCTCGAAACCGAGTATTTCGAAAATTTTGAACCGGAACCATGAACCTGTCATGTTTTTTTAAGCTCGTCCAAATCTGTATTTCAGAATTTTTTGTCAACTTTACGAAAGTTCAATTTTTGAAAACCCATATAAAATTTTTGACTTTTTCCAAGCATTTTCAAAAATTATCAAAAGAGACTCCTTTGTTCATCTCGATTTCCAAAAATCGTTTTGGATTCAATTTTTTTCAAAATTCTTACATTTTTTCCAGAATCGACGGAAGAAAAATGGCAATTTTTGAGAACCTGTGTCAAATTTTTGACTTTTTTTCACGCACGTTCGAGATTACCAAAAGAGATTCCTTTATTGATTTCGATCTCCAGATGTTGTTTTTGGTTTTATTTGGTTGAAAAGTCGTAAAATTTTTCAGCAATCGCCAAACGAAATGTAATTTTTGAACTTTGAAACCGAATGTTTCGAAAATCTTGATCTGGGACCATCTAGACCTTGTGTTTTTTGATTGAGTTCGTCGAGATCAACATTTCAGATTTTTTTGTGGATTTTTAGTCAACTTCAACAAAAGCTAAATTTTTGAAAATCAATAAAATGTTTTTGACTTTTCCCAACCGTTTTCGAAAATTAGCAAAAGGGATCTCTTTATCGATTTCGATCTCCAAATGTTGTTTTTGGTTTTATTTTCTCGAAAATTTGTACAATTTTTCCAAAGCCGCCAAAAGAAATGTAATTTTTGAGAAATTTTGAAATGTCGACTTTGAAACCGAATTTTTCGAAAATCTTGGTCTGGGACCATCAAGAACTTATGTTTTTGGATTAAGCTCATCGAGATCTACATCTCGGAATTTTTTGTTGATTTTTTGTTAATTTCAACAAAAGCTCAATTTTTTAAAATCCATATACATTTTTTGACTTTTCCCAAGCATCTTCGAAAATTAGCAAAAGGGATCTCTTTATTGATTTCGATCTACAGATGTTATTTTTGGTTTTATTTTTTTGATATTTCGTCGAATTTTTCCACAATCGCATAAAGAAATAACTTTTTTTTAAGTCACTTTTGAGATTTTTTAGAAATTTTAGGTAGTAACCCAATATTTCGTAAATTTTGCTCCGGGAGCATGAACATGTTTTTCGATTAAGCTCATCGAGATCTACATTTCAGAATTTTTTGTCAACTCTAACAAAAGCTCAATTTTTGAAAACTAAATAAATTTTGACTTTTCTTAAGCATTTCCAAAAATTACCAAAAGTCATTCTTTTAGTTATTTCAATCTTCAGATGTTGTTTTTGGTTTTATTTGATCGAAAATTTGTAAAATTTTTCTAGAATCGTCAAAAGAAATAGGAATATAATTTTTGAGAAATTTTAAAAATTCGACTTGGAAACCGAATAGCAGCAAGACCTTATGTTTTTTTACTAAACTTGTCGAGATCTACATCTCAGAATTGTTTGTAGATTTTTAGCCAATTTCAACAAAAGCTCAATTTTTGAAAATCTATAAAAACAATTTGACTTTTCCCACGCATTTTCGAAAACTAGCAAAAGGGATCTTTTTATTGATTTCGATCTCCAAATGTTTTTTTTTTGGTTTTATTTTTTCTAAAATTCGTACAATTTTTCCAGAGCCGCCAAAAGAAATGTAATTTTTAGAAATTTTGAAATGTCGACTTTGGAGCCGAATTTTTGAAAAATCTTGGTCTGGGACCATGTTTTTTGATTAAGCTCATCGAGATCTACATCTCAGAATTTTTTGTCGATTTTTTGTCCATTTCAATAAAAGCTCAATTTTTAGAAAATCCATATAATATTTTTGACTTTTCTCAAGTACATAGTAGGCTATGGAATAAAATGTGACATGTTAATTTTTTTATACGGTCAACATCAACGGTAGTGTGATATTGCCAAATAATATACCCCGTAAAAAAATAAAGGTGGGGCGGGTGGGGCCAGTTAATATGCTTTCGGCAATCGGCATTATATTGAAATTTTATTACTAATTTGAAATTTATAATGTATAAGTCTTCCAGGGGGGCAACCACAACTGCTAAGGGGGGCTCAGCCCCCTCTTGCCCCCCCGTAGCTACGGGGCTGTATAGTAGTAGATTAATGATCATAGTTGTAACGCAGGTGGTACTATTGAAACAAACCCACAACCCAACTATGCAGACGTACCCATAGTGAGTCAACACTACGCCAAGTTCCACAAAGAATTCGACCAAGACGTGAACAACCAAACCGGTACTATTTTGAACTACGACGGAGATCTAACCCAAACCACGAAAATCCAACGAAACACTGACTCTGTCATTGACGACAGATTTAACAGAAAAATCGAATCTAACAATGTGTTAGAAGATCTGACTACTACAGCTGAAACGACGACCGACTATAGTCAAACGACGTTCGAGTACTCTACAGTTACAGACGATTTTACAGAAACTACGCTTAACTCAGTCGAGACTGATATTCCGTCCGAAACTACAGCGTACGTCGTTACTGTGCAGACAGTTCTTAATTCCACGGACTGCATTAAAGAAAACAATTCATTCGAAACGGAGTACCTTGAAAATGACACCAATACCCAGGAAACAATCGAGTACTCACCAGATGTCGTACTACAAACTAAAAACAATAAAGACGTTAATGCAACTGTAACAACTGTGGATTCGATTAACCACGAAAAAAACACAAGTACCGACATTTTCAATAAAAAAGACACGATTTCCGACTACGAGTACGACTACAACGAACCTTCATTACCACCGTCTTTGCCAAATTTGCGGTAGCTAAGTAGGTACGTACAAGTCTAAAAATTTTGTAACATATATGCTTTTCTAGGATCATTCCATTTCTTGCAGCAGATGCTCTAGATTTGAAAAATTCAGAAAATGGTGCTGTTTATTCGTCGAAGGAACTCGTGACGGATTCGTCGTACATGAACTACAATTTATTTTCGCCTCCAGTAGAGACGGAGGGTGGCTTTATTCCAAAAGAACCCCCCATTTTGGACAACGTGTTCGAAAACACCATCGCTTCCACCACGAATTTACCCAAACTACACGAAAGTAAGTACTGATCAGTACCACGATGTACTAATCGTTTCGTAGTAAGTTGTTTGCTAGAAAATTTGGAGATTCCGCATGGGGATACAGCGCCTGCGCAGTCACCCTGTGAAACATGTAGATGTTTTTATGGAAACGTCGTGTGTCAGAAAATTAAGTGTCCCGGGCCACAGTTTGGTTGCAAAGGGTCACTCGTGCAAGATTTAGCTTCGTGTTGCCCGCACTATGTGTGCGGTAAGAGCGACTTTTCCACATCGTCAAGAAATGAACTCATTACGGTTTTTGTAGACAACGAAGTACCAGATCGCACGAATCTCGCACCCCAAAGCTTTTACTTTGATAAGGTTATTCCAACAACAGAAATGACGTCAACGAAAATAAGCATGTCGTCTTTGGAAGATCTTGAAGTGAGCACGGATTCCACCAGTCACTACAGTACGACCCCGACTGTCTTCATAACCACTAATTTTAAGTCAGAGGGTAAACGCAGCGACGTTGGTCACCGGAATTCCGTGGACACCAATCCGAATCTAGCTGTTTTGAAACTAGCGGGTTGCAATATTTATGGAAGAATGTACAGAGTCGGACGCATCATTTCAGAATTGTCAAACCCGTGCCTGGAGTGCAAGTGCACGGAAATCGGTGTCCAGTGTAAGACTCTCAAGTGCTGAGTCGTGTCTCGAAAATTACAACTGATCTCATTCGCTATTTATTGCTTGTGGAAAGTCCACTGTGAAAGTAAGTTAGTAATAAAGGCACCCAGAGAATTTTGGTTAAATTTGGTCACAGTAGATTTTCCAACAGTACCGTCTGATCAACTGCGTTGGTCACACGGTACCACTTTTACATGTACATTTTTGCGGTGTACTTTGAATAAAAAATCGAAATTGACGCTTTATTTAATGTAAAAAGTCAACAAAAATAGACGTACTCTCTAAGCATGGCACTGACTGGAGTACACTTTTTGATTTGTACTACCACAACAACCAAAGAGATCAACAAAATAAGATACAGAGTGAGTCCTAGCCAGAACAGACTCAACTTTCGTAGTCTCGCTTTCTGGACTTCCTTTCGATAAAACACAAGTCCTAGGAAAAGTCCTGACGTTCCCCCGACGATGTGGGTTTCCCACGATATCACTGGATCCTTCTTCACGTGGAAGTGGATGACGTTGTAGACAATATCAGACACAACAATAATAAGAATGCAAAGGCCTCGATAAACCTTGTACCGGATGCTTTCGAAATTCTAAAACAAACCAATTGGGTTCTAGCTTGGTGTTTTTTTCACGTACCATGAAGATGTCGGAGATGTTGGATATCAGGAGAGTGTAGACTCCTCCGGACGCTCCGATCACCAAATCCGGGTGAAAACAGGAAGCTCCGAGGACGGCGGTGATTCCTCCGGTGAAATATAGTACCACGACGTAGACTCGGCAGTGTCTTAGTTCGAGGAAGTAGGCAAACAGAGTCTGCATTAACACGTTAAGTAACAAGTGAATCCAGTCTTCGTGTAGTAACATATAGGTTACAAACCGCCAAGCTTGGGTTAATTTCTTCGGTTCAAAACGTAACAGTTTTCGAAAATTTTCGTCAAAAGTAACGTGGCACAATATCTAAAACAAGTTCTTGGTTCAGTGATACCAACTGTGTTTGTTTATGCAGCGTGATGAGATGACGATGGAAATAGTCCATTTTTAGACGTTAAATAAGTAACGAAATGTTAAAAGGCTAAATCGGTTCCAAATGATATAAAGCAGGAGTCGAAATTTTTAGAATTTTAGTTGTTTGGAGTGAACAAATTTATGGCGACGTCTGCAACTAAATATAAACAAACGTTTTTTGATTTTTTTAACGAAGTGAGACATAGTTACCTGAAATAGGCTAATGGTGAGGATTCCGTAGGGTATGTGAGTTTTCAAGACACAAGTGGACGTTTTACGTTTGTTGTCGTTGGGTGTGTACTTAATTTCCAGTTTTTCATGCCCTGTAGGAACTACTACCGAATCGTCGGAATTCGGGGCGAGTTTACAACTTTCATTTTCTATGTCGTCAGAGTGTGACATCTCTAGCTAGAAAAATTAGAAAGAAAATAACTGACAAATTTTTGAAATTAATTAGCTTATTAAATCTTCAAGTTTCACGTGTGGGTCATAAACCCTGTCTAAAAATAAAACAAGTGCAGGGATAATACTCACCATTTTTCGTCGGGATTGCTGAAACTATTACAAAATAATTCAGTGTATGTGTAACGACATCTCTGAACTTTTTTCATTTACACATACTTTGCATATACTCCTCAACTTAGTCTAAAAGTGAACCGGCTATAAATAGGTAAAGTTAAAACACCAAGTATTTCACTCTCATGTAGTATGAAAACTACTAAAACACAGCACAGGCATGGTCAGATAGTTTGTAATTAATACAATTTAAAACAGTTTATTTCATGACGTTAACTGGCACGCTCCTGTTTTGTTGAGTATTTCGGTAAAACATTTATCAGACGTACTCGTGATAATTCGCTCAAACATCGTTATCTCGCCATAAAAATAGATACGGCTTTTAATTTATTTTTGTGCGTCTTATTACGTATGCACCAGATTCACTTGTTCGTAGAAATTGTCCAATTTTTTCAAACAAATTTATTAAAATCGGAACCAAGGACTGGTATTGCAATCGGTGACTAAGCACTATTGTTGCTAAGTGATCCCGGTCGCTTTCTTTAAATTTCATTCATTGCCAGCATTCAGGCAAGGTTATCAACTATCAACGTGCGAACTTGGGCGCCAAGTAGTAATAATGTTAACTGGGACGAATTGGAACAATGAAAGTAGGTAATTTGTCGGGCTGGAGTTCACAAAACAAGAGCATAACTGCTAATTATGTAATCTGTGATTTTATTAGCAGCATGGAATGGGTTATTGTGTCGTAAAAGCCACCTACGGAAGGTTAAATTAAGTTTATAATTCTTCGTTGTGGAGGTTGCAATCGAAGAGTAATACGTCGCCTGACTTGTTTGATCTGCAGACCAGAGTGCTTTCACGCCAATATCGACTCTAAGCGATTTATCTATAAAGTTCTTGAACATCTAACGATTTAATACAATCATTTTACAATTTTGTTATTTAAATATTAACAAAGTCCTGAACTTGTGGTTTATAAATACGCTATTGAGATTTTTCGGATTTTCGGGTTCTCGACTTTTGGGATTTTTCAATTTTTCCATTCTTCAAATTTTCGATTTGTCGATTTTTTTATTTTTAGATTTCTCAATTTTCTGATGTCAATTCTACGATTAATATTTCGATCTTTCAATTTTAAAAATTTTGACGTTTCTAAATTTTCAGTTTTCCGGTTTCTGAACTCATTTTTCGCTTTGTTTTGTTAGTTTTCTTTTTTGGATATATATCTTTCAGTTTTGGGATTTTTCAATATTTCGATTTTTCGACTTTTAGATTTTTGGAGTCTGGGATTTTTTGGTTTCTCGATTTATTACTTTTGGATTTTTAGTTTTTCGTTAAACTTCAGATTTTTCAAATTTTCGACTGTTTTATATTTAGATTTCTCAATTTTTCAACTTTTGGATGTTTTCATTTTTCAATTTTTAAGAGTCTAGGTTTTTCGAGTTCTCAGTTGTTCTATATTTCAATTTTTCAAGTTTCTGAATTTTTTTATTTCTCAATGTATCAATTTTTAACTTTTCTTCTCGGTTTTCCCTCGATTTCTCGATCCTCTGATTTTTCGATTTCTTGATGTCCAGTTTTTGAATTTTTCGATGTTTCGATTTTTGGATTTCCCGGTTTTTCGATTTCTCAATACGTTAATCTATTTTTGATTTTCCCATTTTTCGACTTGTCGAACTTTCGATTTTTCAATTCTTAATTCTTCGATTTTTCGACTTTGCTTTTTTGGTTTTTCGATTTTTGAATTTTCCAATTTTTTAATTCCTCAGTTTTTGAGATTTTCCAGTATTTTGATTCTTCGACTTCTGGATTTTTCGATTTTTTATTTTTTGGATTTTCAGTGTTTCGTTTTTTAAATTTTAGATTTTTCAATTTTTTGACTGTTTTATATTTCAATGTCTCAATTTATCAATTTCTCAATTTTTTAATTTTTTGATATTTTAACTTTTCAATTTTTAAAATTCTAGATTTTTCGATTTTTCGAATTTTATACTTTTTTTCCGAATTTTTAAATTTTCGATTTTTCAATTTTTTGAGATCTCCATTTATTGAAATTCGAATGTTTCGATGTTTGGATTGTTCAGTCTCTCAATTTATCTATTTTTCGATTTTTAACTTCTCAATTTTTCGATTTTGGCCTCTTTCAGTTTCTCAATTTTTCGATTTTTCGAGTTCTCGACTTTTCGACTCCTCGATTTCTCGATTTTTTGATTTATCGACTTCTCAGTTTTCCAATTTTTTAATTTAGAATTTCGAATTTTTATTTTTTGATTTTTCGATTTTTCAAATTTTGACGTTACTAAATTTTCAGTTTTGCGATTTCTCAATACTTTAATCTATTTTTGATTTTCCCATTTTTCGCTTGTTGAACTTTCGATTTTTCGACTTTGCTTTTTTGATTTTTCGATTTTTTAATTTTCCAATTTTTTAATTTCTTTCAGTTTTGAGATTTTTCAGTATTTTGTTTCTTCGACTTCTGGATTTTTCGATTTTTTGTTTTTTGGATTTTCAGTTTTTCGCTTATAAATTTTAGATTTTTCAATTTTTCGACTGTTTTGCATTTCGATTTCTCAATTTTTCAACTTTTCGATATTTTGATTTTTCAACTTTTAAAATTCTGGATTTTTCAATTTCTCGAATTTTCACTTCTTTTTCAATTTTTTGAGATCTCGATTTTTCTAAATTCGAATGTTTTGTTGTTTTGATTGTTCAGTCTCTCGATTTATCAATTTTCCCATTCTTAACTTTTCGATTTTTCGATTTTGGCCTATTTCAGTTTCTCAGTTTTCCGATTTTTCGAATTCTCGACTTTTCGACTCCTCTATTTCTCGACTTTCCTTTTTGGTTTTTCGATTTCTCAATTTTACAATTTTTTAATTTCTCAATTTTTGGATATTTCTTTCAGTTTTGAGATTTTCCAGCACATATTTTGATTCTTCGAGTTCGATTTTTCGAATTTTTGACTTCTGGATTTTGGATTTTTTATTTTTGGATTTTCAGTTTTTCATTTTAAAATTGTAGATTTTTCAATTTCTCGAATTTTCACTTCTTTTTTAATTTTTTGAGATCTCGATTTATCGAAATTCAAATGTTTCGATGTTTTGATTGTTCAATCTCCCGATTTATCAATTTAACTTTTCGATTTTTCGATTTCTTTTACTTCTTTTCGACTCCTCCATTTCTCGATGTTTCGATTTTTCAGTTTGCCGATTTTTCAATTTTTCCAGTTTTTTAAATTCTTGAGTTTCGATTTCTCGATTTATCGATTTTTCAAGTTTCAGATTTTTAGATTTTAGAATTTCGAATTTTTATTTTTTGATTTTTCAATTTTGCGATATTTTGATGTTTCAGTTTTTCGGTATTTCTATTTTTCAATTTTTCAAATTTGGACGTTACTAAATTTTCAGTTTTACGATTTCTCAATACATTAATCTATTTTTGATTTTTTTTTCTCGACTTGTCGAACTTTCGATTTTTCAGTTCTTCAATTCTTCGATTTTTCGACTTTGCTTTTTTGGTTTTTCGATTTCTCAATTTTCCAATTATTTTATATTACTTGCAGTTTTGAGATTCTCCAGTATTTTGATCCTTCGACTTTTCGATTTTTCGACTTCTGGATTTTTCGACTTTTTATTTTTTGGATTTTCAGTTTTTGGTTTTTTAAACTTTAGATTTTTAAATTTTTCGACTGTTTTATATTTCGATTTCTCAATTTTTAAATGTTTCGATATTTAAATTTTTCAATTTTTAAAATTCTAGATTTTTCAATTTCTCGAATTTTTACTTCTTTTCCGAATTTTTAAATTTTCGATTTCTCAATTTTTCGATTTTTCGAATTCTCGACTTTTCGACTCCTCCATTTCTCGATTTTTTGATTTTTCAGTTTGCCGATTTTTCAAGTTTTCCAATTTTTTTAAATTCTGAAGTTTCGATTTCTCGATTTATTGATTTTTCAGTTTTCCGATTTTTAAATTTTAGAATTTCGAATTTTTATTTTTTGATTTTTTGATGTTTGGATTTCTCGTTTTTTCAGTTTTACGATATTTGATTTTTCAGTCCTTCAGTATTTCTATTTTTCAATTTTTCAAATTTTGACGTTACTAAATTTTCAGTTTTGCAATTTCTCAATACATTAATCTATTTCTGATTTTCCTTTTTCTCCACTTGTCGAACTTTCGATTTTTCAGTACTTCAATTCTTCGATTTTTCGACTTTGCTTTTTTGGTTTTCCGATTTTAAAATTTTTGAATTTCGAATATTTATTTTTTGATTTTTTGAATTTTGACGTTACTAAATTTTCAGTTTTCCGATTTCTCAATACACTCATCAATTTTTGATTCTCCTTTTTCTCGACTTGTCGAATTTCCGATTTTTCAGTTTTTCAATTCTTCGATTTTTCGACTTTGCTTTTTTGGTTTTACAATTTCTCAATTTTCCAATTTTTTAAATTTTTAAGTTTTGGATATTACTTTCAGTTTTGAGATTCTCCAGTATTTTGATTCTTTGACTTTTCGATTTTTCGATTGTTTTATATTTCGATTTCTCAATTTTTCAATTTCTCTATTTTTCAATTTTTCGATATTTTAATTTTTCAATTTTTAAAGTTCTAGATTTTTCGATTTTTCGAATTTTATACTTTTTTCCGAATTTTTAAATTTTCGATTTTCCAATTTTTAGAGAGCTCGATTTATCGAAATTCGGATGTTTCGATGTTTGGAATGTTGAATCTCTCGATTTATCAATTTTTCCATTTTTAACTTTTCAATTTTTCCAATTTTTTAAATTCTTGAGTTTCGATTTCTCGATTTATCAATTTTTCAAGTTTCAGATTTTTCAATTTTAGAATTTCTATTTTTATTTTTTTGATTTTTTGATGTTTGTATTTCTCGACTTTTCAATTTTGCGATATTTTGATGTTTCAGTACTTCAGTATTACTACATATTTTTCAATTTTTCAAATTTTCACGATGCTAAGTTTTTTTTCAGTTTTGCGATTTCTCAATACATTAACCTATTTTTGATTTTCCTTTTTCTCGACTTGTCGAACTTTCGATTTTTCAGTTTTTCAATTCTTCGATTTTTCTACTTTGCTTTTTTGGATTTTCGATTTCTCAATTTTATAATTTTTTAATTTTACAATTTTTGGATATTACTTTCAGTTTTGAAATTCTCCTGTATTTTGATTCTTCGACTTCTCGATTTTTCGATTTTTTATTTTTTGGATTTTCAGTTTTTGGTTTTTTAAACTTAGATTTTTCAATTTTTCGATTGTTTTATATTTCGATTTCTCAATTTTTCAATTTCTCAATTTTTCGATATTTTAATTTTTCAATTTTTAAAATTCTAGATTTTTCTATTTCTCGAATTTTCACTTCTTTTTCAATTTTTCGAGATCTCGACTTTTCCAATCCTCGATTTCTCGATTTTTTGATTTTTCGATTTCTCGATATCTCAGTTTTTAAATTTTTCGATTTTTTACTTTTCCGCTTTTCGATGTTTCGATTTTTGAATTACCCGATTTTTCAATTCTCAATTTTTTTTCAATTTTCGCATTTCGATTTCTCAATTTGTTGATTTTTCGGTTTTTTGATTTATAAATTTTTTATTGATTTTCTCTTTTCTCGACTTTCCAAAGTTTCGATTTTTCAGTTCTTCAGTTCTTGAATTTTTTGCTTTTACAGGTGTTTTTCGATTTCTCGATTGTTTCATACTTCGATTTCTCAATTTTTCAACTTTTCGATATTATAACTCTTTCATTTTTAAAATTTTAGGTTTTTCGATTTCTCGAGTTTCCAGTATATTTCAATTTTTCAATTTTCTGAATTTTTAATTTTTCGATGTTTCAATTTTTCAATTATCCGATTGTTCAATTTACAATTAAAAAATTAATAATAATAAAATAAATGAATTGCCATAAAAATAGTAAAGTATTAAACATAATTCGTGACGTCTTTCAAAAATTGTATTAAACCTCACCGGCCTAAATCTGACGTTTACTTAAGACGAATAGTTTTCATATTAAAAAAATCTTTATATTTTTTGCCTCGGAAATATTTTCGGCTGATCCGCCTCTGTGTTAATTATGCAGCACACTTGACATGTGTGCGCATGCGCAGTGTTCATAACCTATTTTCGTGTGTTTATTCCGGTATTATTCTCATTTCAGGGATAAATAATTAAGTACATTACTCCGAAAATAAGAAATAAAACACTCTGATTTCGTTCAGCACTACAAGAAATTTTAAATCACGGTTTAAAGTGTTTTTCAGATTTGAGGTTAACTTTTTGTAATTTCTTCAATAAAACTCGAATCACAGTTAAAATGGTAAATAAGCTGAATAAACGGTTTTACAACACCGTTCTAAGCCAAACGTTCACGCCCTGTGGCAATTACTTGGTGGTTGGAGATATTTATGGCACAATTTCAATCTTCCAGTAAGTAGCAACCTTTATTTTACTCAAATTATACATTAAAGTATCCTTTTAGCCTCTCAAAGCTCGTTAATCAAGGAAGCACGATCACGCGCCAAGACCAAATCCCAACTAACTCTTTCACAATTAAGGAAGACATTCAAATTAACAGTTTATTGACAACCAAATCCCACTTGGTGGTTGGAACTGTGGGTGAAATCTTGGGCTACACGTGGAAGAACGTGAAACTTAGCAAAAAAGCGACACCGTCATGGACCATTGAAATCCCCAATGCAAAAGACAGTTTTGAGAAACCAGACGTGAATTGCTTGGTTTTGGAGCCCGAAAATAACGTGCTATTTGCGGCGTGCGGGGACAATAATGTGTACAGTTTTAACCTAGAAACCCGAAAAAATATCAAAACTTTCAAAGGACACAAGAATTACGTTCATTGTTTAACGCACTTGTGAGTATTGAAGTCATGCATACAGGAGTGAATTGTTGGTTGCATAACTGCAAATATTTTGTAGAAACAATAAATTGATCTCTGGAGGGGAAGACGGTTTGGTACTGATGTGGGATGCGAGAACTGCAGCCGCTGTAGGCAAAATTGAACCCTACACGCGAGACAAAGTTAGTCGGCCTGAACTCGGTCCCTGGATTGGTGGGGTTGGAATTAATGATGATTGGTTGGTAAGTGGGGTTTAGTGCCACTGTTGTCACTTTTTTATTATTATTATTGTTATTAATTTTTGTTTTAATTTAGTTGTGCGGAGGTGGACCACGACTTTCTTTATGGCATTTGCGCTCCCTAAACATTTCCACTGTTTTCCCTATCGACGACAAAGGGATTCACGTTGCGGAAATCTTCCACGACAAAATTTTCGCCGGGGGAAGGTCGCCCCTTTTTTACCAAATGAGCTTCAACGGCGACATTGTAATCGAAATTCCGACTGCCGCCGTCACCACGTATAGCGCCATCCACCAGGACGAGCCCTTCCAAACGCTCTGTATTGCAGGCTCCAGCCCTAAAATCGACGTTTGTAGCAACTTCATCTACAAAAACCTACAACTCTCTCTTTGTTGATCCAAACTCGTCAATTAGTTAAGTTTTATTTAAATAAATATAACTTATATACAGAGTGATTTACAAAAATCCGTGCCCCGCAATAACCGCCGGAATAAATCCTTCCTGTCCTTCGTTGTTTCGCACCCAAAACCAGTCCTTAACGTGCGTTCCTAGAAGGACCACGACTTCCCCTTTGTTTACGTGCAAGGAATTTTTTTCCTTGCCGTAGTAGTCGCCGTTGATTACTAGAAGGGTTTGTCGGAGTCGCTTGGTTTTTCTGGCTGAAGCTAACGCTTTCAGGTAGAGTCTGTCGACGCTTTGTTCTTCGCACGTACTGATGGCGTTGCGCGACCTTCGACTGTAACAACGTACGTCTTCGCTGCATTCGGACTTCGAGCTTAATTTTTCGGTGTCGGTCATGTTGCCGGAGGGGCGGGGGAAGACGTCGGTGCTTTTCTCCCAACAAGGGGCGGGCACGTCGTTGTCGGACGGCGGGATGATACCTAGGCGGATTCATAAACCACAAATACAATTTGAAAAAAAAATTAGTTTGTGACTAACCCAGCGGCAGACACGCAGCGTAGCTGACGTACCCCTCCTCGGCGTGCGGCGTCTGCACGTACAGCCAGTGCTGGTTTTTGAAAATGGCGTTCACGACCATTCCCAGCGGCAGCGCGATTTCGGCTTGGTAACCCCCAATTCGTGTTTGGTAGAGTACGCTCGGGAAGGCCAGCACGACAGGAATGTTGGCTGGTTTTTCAATCGTGGCCTGAAAATTTAACCGTAATTAGTCGTTTGAGAAAAAAGTAAACATGATCGAGATTAATAAGGAGATAGCACCGGCCCTATAATTATGCTTCGTGGGTGGATATTGGACAGGTGTTTTCCATGGTTTTGTACCCCTTGACCCAAAGTTTCATTCATTTAATTGCCCCTCTGACAAACTAAACACCACGTTTGCGGATGGAGGATGTGAGCTATGGATCGGTAACTATAGGCCGCACTCTCCTACAATGTACGTCTACCCATACGTATGAATTATAGCCCACGGATCGGAGAAACATCCGATTTCACAAGCGTATGCCTAAGGCAATTTTAATATAAGTATATTTAATCATTGGCTTGTATAAAATCTATTAATTTGGTAACGGAGGTACATGCTTTCGCGGTTTTTTAACCACAGCACAAAATTGAACCGAAACTCATACAATTTGTCAATAATTATGCAGATTCGCATTTCGCGCGATTTGAAATTACCAACTCGATTACTCGAAAAATGCAAGCACTAAAAATATCGTGATTGTAAGTGGCATTTAAGTATAAACTTGCTGTTGACGTTGCTTTTAGGATTTAACTTGATTACTACAAAAATTTATCATTTTAGACATGTTTTAAGTTTCTTGTGATCGAAATTAGTCTACACATATTAAGAAAAAAAGGTAAAATATAAGCCCCGCCCACCCACCCTATCCCAATTGTGATGATCTTTTTTTTATTCGTCGTAAGCCACGGGGGCGGAGCTTAACTGCAAAATCCTAATTTCTTTACGAGAAATTGAAAAGATGTTTTTGAGTATCATGTTGTTCAAAGAATACTAAGTACAGTAATGTTCGGTTATAACGAACCTCATGGGACTGGGAAAAGTAGTTCGTTATATCCGAAGTTCGTTATAAATGATCTCAAAAAAATCAATACATACTTTCATAAACTGAACTATATATTTCAGGATGCAACATTTAAAAGTATTACAAAAATTTAAACATGTGAAGATAACAATACAGTAGTACATATAAGAAAAAAAAACTTGATTAATAAAAAGTTGATTAAAAATAAAAGTTGTTACTTAAAATAATCTCAAATTTTACGTTGCTTCTTGTGAGAAAGATTAATTTAAGAGGGTTTTGGGATCGTTTCTTCTTTTTCTTCTTCTTCTTCGTTATCATCATCGTCTTCACTCTCATCTTCTGTTTGAATGTTGCATTGAACTAATTTTACAATAGCAGCATCATCCAAAATTTCAGACTTCACTAAAATATCGTCAAAATGGACGTATTCTTCGAAGTCGATATCAAATTCATCATCAGAATTGCTTTCGTGCTTTCTCAGCCATTCAGCCAATGGTAGTTCGTCTTCTGGGGTGGGATTTTATTTCTATAACGATAAAATATCGGTACCGATAAAATGTGGTCGTCTTTTTCTTTCGCATCTGAAATTTATATTTTCGTCCTTGTCATTCATCGCTTCGTATCGTATCGTATCGGTAGAAACAAAATCCCAACCCTGGTTCAAATTTTTCCTCACACTGGAGAAACCCAGCATGTCGAAAATAATTAGCAATTGTTTGTTCTGATACTTTTTGCCATGCCATACTGATAAAATTGACGGGATCTAATAGATTCACACAAAAGTGTTCCTGACCATTGTCGAGATAAAGCTGACTGGTGAAAAAGTTCGTTATAAACGATTTTTTTTTCTTAAATATTAAAAATTTGGTTCGTTTTATCCGAAAGTTCGCTATAAGCGGGTTCGTTATAATCGGAAAAAAATAACACGTATCTTATGGTACTTCAGTTCGTACTTTGCAAGTTGGTTCGTTATATTAGGAAGTTCGCTTTAACCAGGTTCGCTATAAGTGATCATTACTGTATATTAAGAAAAAAATAAAGCCTGCCCCCATTTCAATTCTCAGTTGTAATGAATTTTTCATTCGTTGTCAGATCGAGGGGCGGGGCTTAATTGCATGATCCATATTTGTCTACAAGAATTTACCATTTTAAACGTGAAATAAAACTGAACAATTCTGCTGACAACTCGAGATATTAAAGAAACAAAAAACAAATTAAAAAATTTCAAAATTGAAAAATTGAGAAACTGCAAATCGAAAAATTGAAGAATAAAAGAATAAAAGACAGAAAAATCTCAAAATTGAAAATTTTAAACGGAAAACTCAAGAAACTGAAGAAACAAAAAACAGAAAAATGGAAAAATTAAAATTAAATATTGAATAAATGAAAAAATTAAATAAACGAAGCAATAAAAAAATTCAAAAGTTGAAAATAGAAAAATTTTAAATTGAAAACTAGAGAAAATGCAAGTCAAAAAATTCAAAAAGAAAAACTGAAAAAACGAAAAATTAAAAAATTTGAAAACTGAAAAATCGAGAAAATCCAAATTCAAGACAAAGAATAAATCAATAAAAGATCGAAAAACCTAAAAACTGAAAAATTTTAATGTGAAAACTCGAAAAATTGAAGAAACAAAAAACTGAAGAAACCAAAAATTAAGAAACAAAAAACAGGAAGATGGAAAAATTAAAATTAAATATTTAATAAATGGAAAAATTAAACATCTAAAAATTAAATAAACGAAACGATAAAAAAACTTGAAAATAGAAAAATTTTAAATTGAAAGTTAGAAGAAATGCAAATAAAAAAATTCAAAAAACAAAAACTGAAAACGAAAAATTAAAAATTTTGAAAAGTGAAAAATCGAGAAAATCCAAATCGAAAAATTCAAGACATAAAGAATAAATCAATAAAAGATCAAAAAACCTAAAAACTGAAAAATATTAATGTGAAAACTCGAAAAATTGAAGAAACAAAAAACTGAAGAAACGAAAAATTAAAAACCTTCAAAATTGAAAAATTGAAAAACAGCAAATCGAAAAATTGAACAAACAAAGAATAAAAGATCGAAAAATCTCAAAATCGAAAATTTTAAACGGGAAACTCAAGAAATTGAAAAAAAAAACAGAAATATTGAAAAATTAAAATTAAATTTTGAATAAATGAAAAAATTAAATAAACGAAACGATAAAAAAACTTGAAAATAGAAAAATTTTAAATTGAAAATTAGAAAAAATGCAAATCAAAATATTCAAAAAACAAAAACTGAAAAAAACGAAAAATTAAAAAAATTGAAAACTGAAAAATCGAAAAAATCCAAATCGAAAAATTCAAGACAAAGAATAAATCAATAAAAGATCAAAAAACCTAACAACTGAAAAATATTAATGTAAAAACTCGAAAAATTGAAGAAACAAAAAACTGAAGGAACGAAAAATTTTAAAAATTGCTAAATTGAAAATCGAAAAACTGCAAACCAAAACATTGGAACAAGGAATAAAAGATCGAAAAATCGGAAAAATTAAACGTGAAAACTCGAGAAACTGAAGAAACAAAAAACAGACATCGAAAATTTGACAAATTTAAACTTGAAAACTCGAAAAAAGACAGAAAAGGAAAAAACCGAAAAATTGAAAAATTAAAATGAATTAATAAACGAAACATGAAAAAAATTCAAGCACTGAAAAATAGAGAAAATTTAAATTGAAAACTTGAAAAATTACAAATCGAAAAATGAAAGACAAAAAACTGAAGAAATGAAAAATTAAAAAAAAATTAAACTTGAAATGGGGTTTATATTTTGGCCTTTTATCTTAATCTATAAAGTATTCTTTGAATAACCCGATACTCAAAAACGTGTTTTTAATTTTTTGTAAAGAAATAAGTATTTTGCAGATAAGCTCCGCCCCCTTGGTTAACGGCGAATAAAAAAAATCATCACAATTGAGACAGGGCGGGTGGGCGGGGCTACATTTTGCCTTTATGTTTTAATATGTGTAGACTTCTTTTCACAATATGAAACTTAAATTATGCTTAAAATGGAAATATCGATTTTGCAATTGGGCTTCGTCTCATAACTGAAAAATACATATTTCCTTGCAAAAATGTACCATTTTAACCATGTTTTAAGTTTCTTGTTGTGAAAAGATGGCTATGTATATTTAGAAAAATACAAAAGGCAAAATATAAGCCCCGCCCACCCGCCCTATTCCAATTGTGATGATCTTTTTTTTTATTCGTCGTAAGCCACGGGGCGGAGCTTAACTGCAAAATCGTTATTTCTCTACGAGAAATTAAAAACATGTTTTTGAGTATCATGTTCAAAGAATACTAAGTATTCTTTGTATCATACCCGCCCCCATCTCAATTCTCAGTTGTAATGAATTTTTCATTCGTTGTCAGATCCAGGGGCGGGGCTTAATTGCAAGATCCATATTTGTCTCGAAGAATTTACCATTTTAAATATGAAATAAAACTGAAAAAATTTATCCAAACTCGAGATATTAAAAAAACAAAAAACTGATTAAATGCAAAATTAGAAAATTTCAAAATTGAAAAATTGAGAAACAGCAAATCGAAAAATTGAAGAAACAAAGAATAGAAGATCGAAAAATCTCAAAATCGAAAATTTTAAACGGAAAACTCAAGAAATTTCTCTGTTAAATAAAATTGAAGAAACAAAAAACAGAAAAATGGAAAAATTGAAATTAAATATTGAATAAATAAAAAATTTAAATATCTAAAAATTAAATAAACGAAACAATAAAAAAATTCAAAAGTTGAAAATAAAAAAATTTTAAATTGAAAACTAGAAAAAATGCAAATCAAAAAATTCGTAAAACAAAAAATGAAAAAACGAAAAATTAAAAAAATTGAAAACTGAAAAATCGAGAAAATCCAAAGCGAAAAATTCAAGACATAAAGAATAACTTAATAAAAGCTCGAAAAACCTAAAAACTAAAAAATTTTAATGTGAAAACTCGAAAAATTGAAGAAACAAAAAACTGAAAAAATTAAAAATTAAAAAAACTTGAAAATTGAAAATCGGAAAACTGCAAACCGAAAAATTGGAACAAGGAATAAAAGATCGAAAAATCGAAAAATTTAAACGTGAAAACTCTAGAAACTGAACAAACAAAAAAACAGACAAATCGAAAATTTGAAAAATTTAAACTTGAAAAGTCGAAAAAAGACAGAAAACGAAAAAACCTTGAAAAATTGAAATGAATTAATAAACGAAACATGAAAAAAATTCAAGCACTGAAAAATAGAAAAAATTTAAATTGAAAACTAGAAAAATTACAAATCGAAAAATGAAAGAAACAAAAAACTGAAGAAATGAAAAATTAAAAAAAATTAAACTTGAAATGGGGTTTGTATTTTGGCCTTTATCTTAATATATATAGTATTCTTTGAATAACACGATACTCAAAAACGTATTTTTAATTTCTTGTAAAGAAATAAGTATTTTGCAGTTAAGCTCCGCCCCCTTGGTTCACGGCGAATAAAAAAAATCATCACAATTGAGACCGGGTGGGTGGGCGGGGCTACATTTTGCCTTTATGTTTTAATATGTGTAGACTTCTTTTCATAATATGAAACTTAAATTATGCTTAAAATGGAAAATTCGTATAAGGAAATATCGATTTTGCAATTAGGCTCCGCCCCATAACTCCAAAATACATATTTCCTTGCAAAATGTACCATTTTAACAATGTTTTTGAGTTTCTTCTTGTGAAAAGATGGTTATGTATCTTAAGAAAAATAAAAAAGGCAAAATATAAGCCCCACCCACCCGCCTTCTTTCAATTCTGATGATTTTTTGTATTCGTAGTAAGCTGAGGGGTGGAGCTTAATTGTAAAATCCTTATTTTTCTATGAGAAATTACCATGTGAAATATGTTCTTAAATAATCGTGTTATACAAAGAAAACTAAGTAAATGTATTCATTAAAAAAGAAAACCAAAAGAGAAGCTCCACCCATCCGTCTCGATTTCATTCGTTGTCATATCGAGAGGCGGAGCCTAATTGCAAAATCGGTATTTCCCTATACAAATTTACCATTTTAAACATGTTCTAAGTTTCTTGTTGTGAAAAGATGACTACGCATATTAAGAAAACAAGGCAAAATGTAGCCCCGCCCACCCGCCCTATCTCAATTGTAATGATTTTTTTTTATTCGTCGTGAGCCAAGAGGGCGGAGTTTAACTGCAAAATCCTTATTTCTCTGAGATGAGTATCGTGTTCTTCAAAGAATACTATGTAAATTAAGCCACACACACACATGCCCGGCTCTAAATAGTAATGAAGTTTTTCTTCGTTGTCCGACCTAGGGGCGGAGCCTAGTTGCAAAATCCATATTTTCTTACAAAAATTTACCATTTTGAACGTGTTTCGTGTTCAAGTTCAAGAATAAAAAAATCATCAGAATTGAGATCGGGTGGGTGGGCGGGGCTTATATTTTGGCTTTTTTTTAATATACGTAGTATTCTTTACACAACACGATACTCGAAAACATGTTTTTAATTTCTTGTAAAGAAATAACTATTTTGCAGTTAAACTCCACCCCTTTGGGTTCACGGCAAATAAAAAAAATCATCAAAATTGAGACAGGGCGGGTGGGCGGGCTTACACTTTGCCTTTATGTTTAAATATGTGCAGACTTCTTTTCACAACATTAAACTTAAAACATGCTTAAAATGGAAAATTCGTATAAGGAAATGATCGATTTTACAATTAGGGTCCGCCTTATAATTGCAAAATCCATATTTCCTTGCAAAAATGTACCATTTTAACAATGTTTCTTGTTATGAAAAGATGGCTATGTATATTAAGAAAAAAAAATTAAAATATAAGCCCCGCCCACCCGCCCTATCTCAATTCTGATGATTTTTATATTCGTCAGAAGCCGAGGGGCGGAACTTAAGTGTAAAATTCTCATTTTTCACGAGAAATTATCATGTGAAATATGTTCTTAAGTAATCGTATTATACAAAGAAAACTAAATTTTATTACTTAATTAAAAAAGTAAACTAAAAGAGAAGCTCCACCCATCCGTCTCGATCTCAATCGTGATGAATTTTTCATTCGTTGTTAAACCGAGGGAGGAGGCTAATTGCAAAATCGATATTTTCTTACACAAATTTAAACATGTTTTAAGTAACTTGTTGTGGAAAGATGACTATCATATTAAGAAAAAAAAACGTAAAATAATTCGGCCAATCGTATTGCTATGAAAAACCGCGAAATTCAAACTACAAATGTACATAATTGATGATTGATAAAATTCAATTTAATTAACGCACTGCAGTCAGTTTTAAGGTGACGCCATCATTTGTTCGGAGAGAATAAAACCAAATTTTCGCTAGAATTTTGCCGTTTTCACAAAAAATACCCCGTTAAGTCTAATCAATTTCAAACAGTGTACAAAAGTAAAGCGGACCGCAGAAACTATTAAACCAATGAATAATTTATTGAAAAAAGGAGAACGGCTAATCGATATCTGAGACAAGTACAGGTGTACATTTTACGTTTGCTTCGACTGCAGACGTATTGATGAGTATTATAATTTTTTAATGAGTACTTACTTTACTTAGTGGGTGAATTTGTGTCTACATTAATTATTACGCACTTTCTACGTTTCGATTTCGGGACAGATATAGAAAACTACGACTCATTACCGAATCCGAGTATTAATTCGTGTTCCTTACCTTGCTGAGGAAATCGTCGACGTCCTGGATCTCGTACCCGAACTGCTGTATTCCTTCTTCCCATTCCTCGCTGAGCCTGCAGTTCTTTCGCCGGTGCTTGTACCTGTCTCTCCCACGCTCCGAGTTTAAATTTGGTTCTGATTTAGCTCTTAAAGCATTTTGGGTTTTAATTATTTTACATTTGATTTCGTTCACGTTGGTGTTCTTAACAACGGTTTTGTTACTTTGGTGCACTTTCAAATTGTTCAGAGTTCTTATGTTATTTATGTCACCGCAACTTCTGTTCCCGCTTGATCTGTTTTGGTTTTTATCCTCTTTCGACACATGTTTTCGTCGCGTTTTGTACTGAAATTTAATAGGCTGTTCTGGATGTGGATGGCATGTGGTTTCTTGACGTCGAAACAACCAAAAGAACGGTAACTGCGTTTTGTTGCCAAATCTGCCACCCAAAGAGGATGGCTTTTGACCCATGTCATGGAGAAATCTTCTTAGGGCATTTTCTTTCGGAGTATTTCATCCTAAAACTGGCGAAAATTTTTTAAAATAACACGAATTATTTTTAAGGAACTAATGCGTAATTATTACCTGTACAGTTGTTCTAAATATTATTATCCTGTGGATCAACTTCACAGCTTCAAGCACGCACACCTCAACAAAGAGCTTTGAGGAACAACTGCACCGCAGCACCAATCTTTTAAGACTGAGCTGAGCTTACTTTAAGTCATCCATGCTTAGTAAACGTCTGGATGGTCGTCTGATGAGATCCTTAGTTTTTAGATTTCTTTGTTTAGGAAGTGTGTAGTCGAAATGTAGACTAGTTAAATGAGCATTTCATATGTGGGCGGTTATTTTATGTTCAAGTCTTGTTTTAACACTTTTTTTTTTCGTTTTCAGAAGAGCCGCAGGACTCACTAAATTAGCGTCATATTTTAAAATTTACGTCCAAAGGTTATGGAAAAAGAATCAATTTTGTTGGAATATTTTGATAAAAAAATGTCCTTGCTTTTATGGGTGTCACATTATTTTACTAAAATAATGAAATCCACGTCTGTCGACCCTTTTGAGTGTTTTAAAATAGAATTTAAATTTTTTGTCCACAAAAAATCGTAATTAGAATTTTTATTTAATTATTGAAAAGGCAGGATCTAAGATGAAAAATGTGGCCGTGCATAACAAAGTAGGGATACCCTGACTGACAATTATTGATTTTTTTCTTGAAATATTAATTAACTATATTACTACTGGAAACCCTACTCTCAATCAATACTTTTTAATATTCCCATAAATTATTCTTTGTGGATAATATCTACTACTCAGCAAGTTCCTATTGATTGAAGTAGTAAATGAATATAACTGCGTTATATAACGCCGTTACGCCCTTCTCAGAACTCCTCAGCCCGGTCCTTTTTTACAAAATTACGTAATCCAAAACAACACAACCAATACGTCACGGTTACTTAGCGAGGCTTGGTATTGATGGTCCGTACGAGCGAGATGTTCAACAACTGCTATTACTGTCTCAACGAATACGGTTCCCACCAATTTACTCCACCTTATTTTTACTTGATTACCGATTCAGAGTGATCTTCGTGGAACCCTATATGGCGGTCTCGAAATTCACACGGTCGAATTCGCGACAAATTCTTGCTTAGAAATTCGTTTGTGTCCGCGAGCGAGCTTTCGAAGCGGTATGGTACGGGGGCCTTGGGGCGTTGTGGGCGGCTCATCCGAAACTTCTCCGTCCACTTGGTGGTTCCCGCAAACGAGCAAGTGCGTGCGAAAGGCGTGCCAGACGTGAATTCCAAAATGACCCTCGACCTCGGCTGGTGAGAACGCGATCTTCTGTACATATGGTCTTGGTGCTTAACTCACATTCCATTGGGAGTAGTGACAGTTGGGCACTGGGGACGTCGGGGTGGCACTTGATGGCGCGGTGGTTGGTGGGGGAAAGCGAAATTTCTGCTTGTAATTTTTTTTTGACGATTTTCGAAATTAAACTAAACACATTTTCTTGCACTATAACCGTTTTTCCAGAATCACCCATTTAAATATCGTAATTTTTAAAAATTTCAAGAAACTCGAATTTCGTAACGAATATTTCGAAAATACTGCTCCGTGACTATAAACACGCTTTACTATTTTTGGAATCAGCAAGTTGAAATCTATATCTCTGAATTTTTTGAGAATTTTTAAACAACTTTTTCAAAAATAAAATTTTTACTATATACCGGGTGTCTGAAAAATGGGTGAGTTTAGGGAAAATAGAAAAATTCCTTCTCACAATTTACCTAACGTAATTTGCAGCAAATTCCTGGCTCTGAGAATATGAAAAATTAATGCAAACATTTCTAGAAAAAATTGGTCTAAAGAGTTTCGACAGTACTTCCCTCGCTGTCGGAAACGTGACGACTGCATGCCTATTATGTTTTTTTTTTCGCAGTGGATTTCAAAGAATTCGGTTTTGTTGTTTCTGAGTAAATCAGTAAAATAAATTTACGCATTCATTAATTTTTTTGAGTCACCCTGTATATGCAAATCCAAAAAATATGAATGGAGTGATAGATCACAAGTACAGACTCATCATATTTTGTACATTTTAGATATGATTTATTCGGCAAACTTTCGAGCTGACGTCATCAATTTTTTGGAGGGGATAAGCAAATGTATTTTGACTAAACATTTATTATGCTCTTTATAACCTTAAAACATCTGCAAGATTTCAAAGCATTCGGTTTTGCAGTTCATGATTAAATCGAAAAAATAAATTTACGCATTCATTAATTTTTTTGAGTCACCCTGTATATGCAAATCCAAAAAATATGAATGGAGTGATAAATTACAAGTACAGACTCATCATATTTTGTACATTTTAGATATGATTTATTCCACAAACTTTTGAGCTGACGTCATCAAGTTTTTGGAGGGGGTAAGCAAATATTTTTTGACTAAAGATTTATGATGCTCTTTATAGCCTTAAAACATCTGCAACATTTCAAAGCATTCTGGTTAGCAGATTAAAAATTAAATTTCAAAATGTTGTTTTATAATTTTGATTTTTTTTCCAAAAATCTGGACGTTTCGGGTGAAAAGTCGATTCGGAGTTGTAAACTACATGTGTAGGACTATGTTATTTTATACAATTGAAAACCCATTTACTATGTACAATTTTGAAGTGACGTCATCGCATTAGTGGTGGGGATGATTAGACAAATTTTGGTTAGCGTTTTACCATCTACATGATATTCTTAATATAAGTACAAAATTTCACAACAATCGGTCGAGTACTTTCGGAGATTATCTGTCTAATAAAAATCCGGGACAACAGACGGACAGACGGACGGACAGACGGACAGACGGACGGACAGACGGACAGACGGACAGACGGACGGACAGACGGACAGACGGACAGACGGACGGACAGACGGACAGACGGACAGACGGACAGACAGACGGAAATGGGAGACCTATTTCTTCGTCTTCTAGGGGTCATGAAAGATCGAGAAAACGTAAAAGTAGAGAGTCGGCCGACGGACTCGATTACAATACTTCCTTTGCTTACGCTCGGGAAGTAAAAATACACTTTTTTTACAGATTTTTTTCTATTCTTTCAAATTATCTCAATATCCCTCAATATTCCCTCAGATTTCCTCAGAATTTTTCAGATCTTTACAAATTGTTTCAGGTCCTCTCAAATTTTTCACCATCGCTTTGGATCCCTTCAGTTCATCCAGTTTTTTTCGAGATTTTACTAGATTCTCTCAAATTCTCTCAGATTCTTCCTACATTCGTCTAGATTCTCTCAGGTTCTCACAGGTTTCCTCCGATTTTTTCCGAATTTCCCAATCTCTCTCAGATTCCCTCAGATTCTTTCAGATTCTCCCATATTCTTTAGATTCCTTCAGATCCTTTTCGAATCTCCCAATTTCTCTCAGAATCTTTCAAATTTCTCCAGATTCATTCATTTTCTTTCTGATCCTCTCTTTCAGATTCTTTCAAATTTTTTAGTTTCTCCCAGATTTTTCTAGATTTTACTAGATTCTCTTAAATTCTCTTAGAGTTTTCCAGGTTTATCTACATTCGTCTAGATTCCCTGAGATTCTTTCCGATCCTCTCTAATTCTTTCTAATTCTTTCCGATTCTTAGTTTCATATTCCCTCAGATTTTCTTGGATTTACTCAGACTCTTCCAGATTCTTTGAAGTGTTTTGAAATTCTTTCCTTTTGCTAAAGATTCTTCCTTTCGGACTCCTTTGGATTCTTTCGGATTATTCCGGATGCTTTTGGATGCTGTCGGATTATTTCGCATTCTTTCGAATTTTTTCCAGTTCTATTCAGATCGTTTTAGAATCTTGCAAATACTTTCAGATTCCTGAAAACACTTCTAAGTTCTCCCAGATTTTTCTAGGTTCTTCGAGATTCTTTCAGGTTCCCTCAGATTCTTTCCGAATTTCCCAATCTCTCTCAAATTCCCTTAGATTCTTTCAGATTCTCAAAAATTCCTTTAGATTCCTTCAGATTCTTTTCGAATCTCCCAATTTCTCTCAGAATCTTTGAAATTTTTCCAGATTCTTTCATTTTCTTTCTGATTCTCTCTCAGATTCTTTCAAATTTTTTTCAGGTCGTTTTAAAACCGTACAGATATTTTCAGATCCCTGCAGACTTTCCCAAATTCTTCCAGATTTTTTTAGATTTTACTAGATTCTCTCAAATTCTCTCAGATTCTTTGAGGTTTGCCTACATTTGTCTAGATTCCCTGAGATTATTTCCGATCCCCTCTGATTCTTTTTAATTATTTCCGATTATTAGTTTCATATTCCCTCAGATTTTCTTGGATTTACTCAGATTCTTCCAGATTCTTTCAGGTGTTTTGAGATTCTTTCCTTTTTTTAAAGATTCGTCTTTTCGGATTCCTTTGGATTCATTCGGATTATTTCACATTCTTTCGAATTTTTTCCAGTTCTATTCAGATCGTTCTAGAACCTTATAAATACTTTCAGATTCCTGAAAATACGTCTAAGTTCTTCCAGATTTTTCTAGATTCTTCGAAATTCTCTCAGGTTCCCACAGGTTTCCTCCGATTTTTTCCGAATTTCCCAATCTCTCTCAGATTCCCTCAGATTCTTTCAGATTCTTCCAGATTCCTTTAGATTCCTTCAGATTCTTTTCGAATCTCCCAATTTCTCTCAGAATCTTTGAAATTTTTCCAGATTCTTTCATTTTCTTTCTGATTCTCTCTCAGATTCTTTCAAATTTTTGAGTTATATTCAGGTCGTTTTAAAAGCGTACAGATACTTTCAGATCCCTGCAGACTTTCCCAAATTCTTCCAGATTTTTCTAGATTTTACTAGATTCTCTCAAATTCTCTCAGATTCTTTGAGGTTTGCCTACATTTGTCTAGATTCCCTGAGATTCTTTCCGATCCCCTGTGATTATTTTTAATTCTTTCCGATTATTAGTTTCATATTCCCTCAGATTTTCTTGGATTTACTCAGATTCTTCCAGATTCTTTCAGGTGTTTTGAGATTCTTTCTTTATTTTAAAGATTCGTCCTTTCGGATTCCTTTGGATTCATTCGGATTATTTCACATTCTTTCGAATTTTTTCCAGTTCTGTTCAGATCGTTCTAGAACCTTACAAATACTTTCAGATTCCTGAAAACACGTCCAAGTTCTTCCAGATTTTTCTAGATTCTTCGAAATTCTCTCAGGTTCCCACAGGTTTCCTCCGATTTTTTCCGAATTTCCCAATCTCTCTCAGATTCCCTCAGATTCTTTCAGATTCGTCCAGATTCCTTTAGATTCCTTCAGATTCTTTTCGAATTTCCCAATTTCTCCCAGAATCTTTGAAATTTTTCCAAATTCTTTCATTTTCTTTCTGATTCTATCTCAGATTCTTTCAAATTTTGAGTTACGTTCAGGTCGTTTTAAAACCGTACAGATACTTTCAGATCCCTGCAGACTTTTCCAAATTCTTCCAGCTTTTTCTAGATTTTACTAGATTCTCTCAAATTCTCTCAGATTCTTCCAGGTTTACCTACATTCGTCTAGATTCCCTGAGATTCTTTCCGATCCCCTCTGATTCTTTTTAATTCTTTCCGATTATTAGTTTCATATTCCCTCAGATTTTCTTGGATTTATTCAGATTTTTCCAGATTCTTTCAGGTGTTTTGAGATTCTTTCCTTTTTTTAAAGATTTGTCCTTTCGGATTCCTTTGGATTCATTCAGATTATTTCACATTCTTTCGAATTTTTTTCAGTTCTATTCAGATCGTTCTAGAACCTTACAAATACTTTCAGATTCCTGAAAACACGTCTAAGTTCTTCCAGATTTTTCTAGACTCTTCGAGATTCTCTCAGGTTCCCACAGGTTTCCTCCGATTTTTTCCGAATTTTCCAATCTCTCTCAGATTCCCTCAAATTCTTTCAGATTCTCTCAAATTCCTTTAGATTTCTTCAGATTCTTTTCGAATATTCCAATTTCTCCCAGAATCGTTGAAATTTTTCCAGATTCTTTCATTTTCTTCCTGATTCTATCTCAGATTCTTTCAAATTTTGAGTTACGCGCAGGTCGTTTTAAAACCGTACAGATACTTTCAGAACCCTGCAGACTTTTCCAAATTTGTCCAGATTTTTCTAGATTTTATTAGAATCTCAAATTCTCTCAGATTCATCCAGGTTTACCTACATTCGTCTAGATTCCCTGAGATTCTTTCCGATCCCCTCTGATTCTTTCTAATTCTTTCCGATTTTTAGTTTCATATTTCCTCAGATCTTCTTGGATTTACTCAGATTCTTCCAGATTCTTTCAGGTGTTTTGAGATTCTTTCCTTTTTTTAAAGATTCTTCCTTTCGGATTCCTTTGGATTCTTTCGGATTATTCCGGATGCTTTTGGATGTTGTCGGATTATTTCACATTCTTTCAAATTTTTTCCAGTTCTATTCAGATCGTTCTAGAATCTTACAAATACTTTCAAATCCCTGAAAACACTCCTAAGTTCTTCCAGATTTTTCTAAACTCTTCGAGATTCTCTCAGGTTCTCATAGGTTTAGATTCCTTCAGATTCTTTTCGAATCTCCCAATTTCTCTCAGAATCCTTCAAATTTCTCCAGATTCTTTCATTTTCTTTCTGATTCTCTCTCAGTCTCTTTCAAATTTTGAGTTATATTCAGGTCGTTTTAAAACCGTACAGATAATTTCAGATCCCTGCAGACTTTTCCAAATTCTTCCAGATTTTTCTAGATTCTATGATTTCGATTTTTTTTTATTCTATCCGCTGCTTTCGGATTGTTTCCAGTTCTTTGAAATTTTTTAAGATTCATTCAAGATTCTTTCAAATTTTTCAGTTCTATTCAGATCGTTTCAGACTTTTTCAGATCCCTACAGATTCTTCCAAATCCTTCCAGATTCTTCAAGTTTTTTTATATTCTTTTAGTTTTTTCTAGATTCTTTGAGATTCCCTCAGATTTCTCCAGGGATTGTGAGAGAATCTCGAAGAATCAAGCAAAATCTAAAGGAATCTGAAACGATTTGTAAGGATCTGAAACAATCTGAACAGAAATACAAAATTTTAAAGAATCTTGAGGATTTCTGATGGTTTTTGAAAAGTTCGAAGGAATCTAAAAAAAAATCGAAAAAATCCGAAAAATTCGAAAGAGAGAATCAGAAAGAATCCAAAGAATTTGAAAAAATCTCAAATTTTTTCACAATTTTTCACCTTTAATGTCGTTTCAGATTATTCAAATTTTTCCAGATCATTTCAGATCCCCGTAGATTCTCTCAGATTCTTTTAGATTTTCCCATATTCCTTTAGATTCCTTCAGATTCTTTTCGAATCTCCCAATTTCTCTCAAAATCTTTCAAATTTCTCCAGATTCTTTCATTTTCTTTCTAATTTTCTCTTTCAGATTCTTTCAAATTTTTGAGTTCTATTCAGGTCGTTTTAAAACCGTACATATACATTCAGATCCCTACAGATTTTTCCAAATTCTTCCAGATTTTTCTAGATTCTTTGAGATTCTCTCAGATTCCCACAAATTCCTCCAGATTTTTTCAAATGATTTCAGATTCTTTCATTTTCTTTTTGATTCTCTCTTTCAGATGTTTCCAAATTTTTTTATTCTTTCCGATGCTTTCGGATTGTTTCCAATTCTTTGAAATTTTTTAGATTCTTTAAATTTCTTTTTGATTCTCTTTTTCAGATTTTTTTATTCTTTCCGATGCTTCCAGATTGTTTCCAATTCTTTGAAATTTTTTAAGATTCATTCAAAGACGCCGTCAGGAATCCTCAAGATTCTTTCAAAATCTTCAGTTCTATTCATATTATTTTTTTAGATTCTTCTAGATTTTTGAGATTCTTCGAGATTCCCTCTGATTCCTCCAGGAATCTGAACAGAAATGCAAAACTTTTAAAAATCATAATAAATTCTTTCACAATTTTTCACCTTTTATATCGTTTCAGATTCTTTCAAATTTTTCCAGATCATTTCAGATCCCCGCAGATTCTTTCATATTCTCGTTTTTTCTAAATTCTTCGAAACATATAATAACATAAGAATAGCACTAATTTTTATTATTATTCTTATTAAAAATATAATATTCTTAAATTAACAATAATTTTTCAACCCTGAATTTTCTTATAAATTTCTTCGATAACTGCAACTGTTTTTCCAGAATCGCGCACTGGAATATCGAAATTTTTAAAATTTTCAAAAAATTTGAATTGTAATCCGAATAGTCCGAAACTATTGCTGCGTGACCTTAAACAAGCTACACTTTTCAAGTCAAACCATTTTTCATCCACCTTCGAAAATCACCTAAAAGCATATTTTTGTAAATTTCGATACCCACAAGCAACTTGTTTCAGCTTCATTCCTTCGAAAATTCCTACCAATCCTCATTTTCAAAAAAATCCAAACGGTTTTACCTATCTGATTGCAAAGAATGCATAGTTATCGAATCTGAAGTTATTTATCCACCACATTTTTAAACAAACGAGAACAATCGAAATCATAAATTTTAATTTTTAATTTGCGCTTGTATAAGGTGGTGATAATCACGCGGAAAATGATTTTCGCTTGTTGAGACATTTTTACATTAGATATTCAAATCAATCGGAGCAACGAAATTTATTGATTATTAATTTTCCGGAAAATCTGGCTTTATTGAAAACGAGTGTAATTGCGCGGGAAATGGTTTCATTGTTGATAGTAATTGTTTGTAGATTTTAAATGGGGAATTGTTTGACAAGTTGTTAACGGATTAGTTTTCAAAACGAAAATTTAAACGGTTCCATATTTTTGTCTGATCGTGTGTTTTAATGAATGAGTCAAGTTGAGCAAGTTTTTGCCTGAACTTTTGACATTTGAGTTGTTTACGCGTCAAGGGCGCCTTAACTTTTAACTGGTCTTGGTAACGCAGGAAATAAAAATGCCAAGAGAATTACTACATACACATTTTTTATTGAGTCATATTTCTTAGAGGAGTAATTTTACCTATATTATATAGTTATATAAATGTCATTTATACAAAACAAAATAAATTAGCTTCTTAAGCACCTATTTGTACGATATTTACAAAAACACGTTAAATCAACGTTGGAAATAGCTCTGAAACTCTGTCGTCCCATATGTCGTTCGTTTCGCTTAAACTGTCAGGCGATCCTATGGACTCGTACCCACAGTCCGAACTCGAGCTAGAAATCGGGGAAGCACTTCCCACCGACGTGGTGCGTGAAGGAACGGCCAAATGGTCACTTTCCACCAGAATTTCCTCATCGACGACCTCTTCCAGACAGCTCTCGTCTTCGACGATGATCGTGATGCAGTTCGTGTTTTCGTCGAAGGTGCCATACACGACGTCCGACTGACCCTGCAGCTCGGACACCGCCAAATCCACGAACGAAGCTAATTTATTTGAATTGTCCTCCGCTTTAGGTAAAATGTTCTTCGGTTTTTGCCTGCTGTTACACTTAGTGCTGGTGCGTGCTCGACTGCTTTTACATTTTCGATCGAGTGGTTTTGCGCTGTAGTTGTGATGTAGTAAGAGATACTGTGAGATATCTTTTATCAGTGGATCTTGGTTTTCTTTGATTAGCAGATCACTTCCATCGGATTCCAGCTGTTTTGGTGACGTCCCCACCACTTGTCCCGAATTGTTTTCTTGACTGCTAGCTTGTTCCTGCAACGTAGACAGAACTAGAAAATTGTCAATGCAATGATGAAACAACAATTGATTCGTGTTTCAGATGACAAGTACAAGACAAAAATGATAAGTGTGTTGTGATTATGTAGACTGCCTTTTTGGTTCATGCAAAGCTTGAATATATCTAGAACAGTAAGAGACAAGGACATTTTATCGAGATTATTCACCTTGTATCTTCATTTGTTTTTTTGCTTCTATCAATTGTTAAATCATCAAGGTATCTAGAAAACCCCAAAAGAAAATGTAGGTGAAATGTCATGATCGTCAAAAAAACGCAGCGAATAACGTCTGCCAAAATTATCTTTCTAGTCATTATTATTATTGTGGTCAATTTAGTCAAACACTTTTCGCTGCGACTAAGTATATGAAGCGCTAACTCCGCCGATGCTTACTTGAATATCTGCCTTTTCAGCAGCAGCCTCCAGGTCTCTGGCGATATCTTGAAGAAGGCTCTGCGTGAGTTGCTCGAGTGATGAGATGTCCACGTCGTTGTTGAGCTCGTCAAGGAGGTCCGGTAGAGAAGGCAGGCCAATACAATCTTCAACAGGGCCGTTGTTTGGTGCCTCAGAACCGCTGCTGAGTGTGTGACTGTTCCTTGCGGCCGAAGGAGGGACTCAGTTGATCCACTCTGAGCCTCACACTCGACAGTCCGGTTCTGGGAGCAACTCGAACACGACGTCAATCTCGTCCTGAGCTCTGCGTTCTCTACCGACAACCGCTCGTTCAAGCTCTTCAACTTGTTACATTCTTCGAGCAACACCTCGTTCTTGGAAAACAATTCTTGGATGGCCTTCTCCATTTGGTCCATTTTGGCCTTCTTGCGGTCGCGGGACGTCTGCGCAGCCACGCGGTTTTTCAGCTTTCTACACAAAAAATAGGTATTTTTTAAGTAATGACAGGTGTGTAGGTACTATGTACTATGATAAAGTATTGGCCGCTCTCTAGCTTCGGTGGTCTGAATGATCTCTTAATTGTTTTTTGTTTTATAATTAACAGCTAATGAATTACAGTAAACAATGATAAATATACAAAGTGTTGCATCACACTGTATATAATTATACACCTACGCATAAAAATAAAAGTAAACAATGACGCATCATATTTTGTTGTCATTACTTTATCAACCTTGAAAGATCTAGAACACTCGAACTATATCTATATAACCTATTATTTTAAGTAACTACTTAATCGCATTAGATAACAAAACTGGTTGATAATGCCCATGGAAACAACGAAACGAGGCCAACAAAAATAAAATCTACTCACTTCCGTTGGAGTTTTTCCTCCCATGACAAATGGTCCAGCCTCCGTTTCTTAGCTCTAACAGGTGTGTCCATGTTCTGGTCTATATTATAATTACTACTGTCACTTAAATATTTTAAAATCGCTGGGACCGCACTCGTCATTATGGAAAAACTGTTTTCCAACGGTAAAATAAATCTTCAACTCTTGTTTATTTTTTTTTTTCTTGTTTTGACCACTTTCTGAATACAGAAACCGTCGTTACACCGTGGCTGATCTTGAACGTCTGAATTATTCTAGAGAACAAACATATCCTTGAAGTGCCAACGTCACAACTGTGGATTCGGGTTATGTGGTGACTTGTGATTGGGTGAGTGTTGGCGAATCGATGCGCAGTAGCCAATCATAGTGATTATGCTCCCCTCACCACTGGAGTCTATTTTTGTGTCGGTAAATAATCGACTGGGGAGGAGGATGGGAATTATTTATGAATCATCGAAATTGGTAGGCTTGGAATGATGCAATGTATGCAACTAGAATGTAATGTTGCTTTTTTTTAGCAACCTAGATTTGTAAACAGAAAGCGGGTGTGTGATTAATGCGACTATTTTTTCTGATAATGTTATTGGTGGATGATAGCCACCTAAAACTGATTATACACCTTGATGTTTTTTTTAATTTAGATGAGTGTAACCTGATTAAAGAGTGTTACGCAAATTTTTAAAATAGTGTTAAATATCCGGCTAATTTCAAAAATAGTCTTAATAGGTGGATATTTATCCGGATATTTTCCGTCTATCTATGCGCTAATTCTACATCAATCTTGTATTAGGTATTTTTCTTTAAATACATATGATGCAGGATAGCAAAGTCCAACATTTGTTGTGCAATTTTACGACAATATTGTGAGACCTTTGTATTTACTCAGGCACAATTCATCGCAATTGAGAAGGGGTGGGTGGGCGGGGCTTATATTTTGCCCATTTTTTCTTAATATACGAAGTCTTTTTTGCCAACAAGAAACTGAAAACATTATCCTGATTTTTTCAATTTTTCTTCGATGTTTCAATGTTTCGAAATTTCGATTAGAGGATTTCGATTAATAAATTTTTTCATTTTTTCCACTTTCTGATTTTTCGATATCTCGATTTTTTACTTTTTCAATTTTTTAATTTTTAAATTTTAGTTTTTAATTTTTCAATTCTTCAAATTCAATTTTTTGATGTTTCGATTTTTCGAAATTTTTGTTTTTTTATTTTTCTTCGACTTTTAAATTTTTCGATATTTCAATTTTGAAATTTTTTAATATTTCAATTCTTCGATTTTTCGATTTCCCGATTTTCCAATTTGTCAATTTCTCAATTTACCGATGTTTCAATCTTGGGATTTTTCAAATTTTCGATTTTTCAGTTTTGCTTCGATTTTTCAGTTTTTAGATAGTTTACTTTGGGGTTTTTAAATTTTTCGATTCCTAAATTTTTCGATTTCTCAATTACCGATGTTTCAGTTTGGGGATTTTTTCAATTTTTCGGTTCTTCAATTTTTCGGTTCTTCAATTTTTCTTCGATGTTTCAATGTTTCAAAATTTCAGTTAGAGAATTTTGATTCATAATTTTTTTGATTTTTTCCACTTTCTGATTTTTCGATATCTCGATTTTTTACTTTTTCAATTTTTCAATTTTTAAATTTTAGTTTTTAATTTTTCAGTTCTTCAAATTCGATTTTTCGAAATTTTTGGTTCTTTTATTTTTCCTCGATTTTTAAGTTTTTAGATATTTCAATCTTGGGTTTTTTCAGTATTTCGATTCTTCAATTTTTCGACTTGGATTTTTCAACTTCGATTTTCGATTTCCGAAGTTTTCAATTTGTTGATTTCTCAGCTTATCGATGTTTTAGTCTTGGGATTTTCCAATTTTTCGAATTTAAAATTTTTGTTCGATTTTTTAATTTTAGATAGTTCACTTTGGAGATTTTTAAAATTTTGGATTCTTTGATTTTTCGATTTTTCAATTTACCGATGTTTCAGTTTGGGGATTTTTTCAATTTTTCGATTCTTCAATTTTTGCTTCGATGTTTAAATTTTTCAATTCTTCAATTTTTCTTCGATCTTTCAATTTTTCGATATTTCAGTTCTAGGATTTTTCAATATTTCGATTCTTCATTTTTTGATTTTTTTTGACTTCCTAATTTTTCGATTTCCCGATTTTTTACTTTTTCGATTTTTTTATTTTAGTTTCTAATGTTACTATTTTTCAATTTTTCAATGTTTCAATTGTTCGATTCCTCTATTTTTCTTCTATTTTTAAGTTTTTTGATATTTCAATTTTAGAATTTTTCAGTATTTTGAATATTCAATTTATTCGATTTTTCGACTTTCCGATTTTTCAATTTTCCGATTTCTCAATTTACTGACGTTTCAGTCTTTTCGAAATTTTTGGTTCTTTTATTTTTCTTCGACTTTTAAATTTTTCGATGGGTATTTCAATTTTGGATTTTTTAATATTTCAATTCTTCGATTTTTCGATTCCCCGATTTTTCAATTTGTCAATTTCTCAATTTATCGATGTTTCAATCTTGGGATTTTGCAATTTTTCGATTCTTCAATTTTGCTTCGATTTTTCAGTTTTTAGATAGTTTAATTTGGGGTTTTTAAATTTTTTGATTCCTCAATTTTTCGATTTCTCAATTTACCGATGTTTCAGTTTGGGGATATTTTAAATTTTTCGGTTCTTCAATTTTTCTTCGATGTTTCAATGTTTCGAAATATAAATTAGAGGATTTCGATTCATAATTTTTTTGATTTTTTACACTTTCTGATTTTTCAATTTTTAAATTTTAGTTTTTACTTTTTCAGGTCTTCAAATTCGATTTTTCGAAATGTTTGGTTCTTTTATTTTTCCTCGATTTTTAAGTTTTTAGATATTTCAATTTTGGGTTTTTTCAGTATTTCGATTCTTCAATTTTTCGACTTGGATTTTTCAACTTCGATTTTCGATTTCCGAAGTTTTCAATTTGTTGAGTTCTCAGTTTACTGATGTTTTAGTCTTGTGATTTTCCAATTTTTCGATTCTAAATTTTTTTTTCAATTTTTTAATTTTTAGATAGTTCACTTTGGGGATTTTTAAAATTTTCGATTCTTTAATTTTTCGATTTTTCAATTTACCGATGTTTCAGCTTGGGGATTTTTTCAATTTTTCGATTCTTCAATTTTTGCTTCGATGTTTAAATTTTTCGATTCTTCAATTTTTCTTCGATCTTTCAATTTTTCGATATTTCGATCCTTCATTTTTTGATTTTTTGACTTCCTAATTTTTCGATTTCCCGATTTTTTACTTTTTCGATTTTTAATTTTAGTTTCTAATGTTACAATTTTTCAATTTTTCAATTTTTCGATATTTCAATTTTGGAATTTTTTAATATTTCGATTCTTCAATTTTTCGATTTTTCGATATTTCAGTTCTAGGATTTTTCAAAATTTCGATTCTTTATTTTTTTATTTTTTTGACTTCCTAATTTTTCAATTTCCTGATTTTTTACTTTTTCGATTTTTTAATTTTAGTTTCTAGTGTTACAATTTTTCAATTTTTCGATGTTTCAATTGTTCGATTCCTCCATTTTTCTTCTATTTGTAAGTTTTTTGATATTTCAATTTCGGAATTTTTCAGTATTTTCATTCTTCAATTTTTCGATTTTTCGACTTCCCGATTTTTCAATTTGTCGATTTCTCAACTTACTGCGATTTTTCAGTTTTCCGATTCTTCAATTTTTCTTCAATTTTTCAATTTTTTAGATAGTTCAGTTCGGGGGTTTTGAAACTTTTCGATTCTCTAATGTTTCGAATTTTCGACTTTTCGATTTTTCGACTCCTCGGTTTTACATGTTTTGGTTTTTCATTTTTCGATTTTTAAAGTTTTGATTTTTCGATTTTGTAATTTATCGATCTTTTAGTTTTTAGATTATTTTTTGTCTGGCTGTCTTCCGTTATCGTTTCTCTTGGTGTCTATGTCGAAATTTTACCAGATAGATAATCACCGAAACTACCGGACTGATTCTTACACAATTTTATACGTCTGTTAGAAATATCGTGTAGATTGTAAAACGCTAACTAAAGGTTCAAAGTTTTTTAAAATAATATACTCCCCTACTTGTTGTTTATGAATCTGCCTAGTGCTTGCTAAGATAAAACGGATATTGTCAAATGGCATAGCCTCGAAAAAAATAAAGGGTGGGTGGGCGGGGTTAATACTTGCCAAGATAAGACTGATTTTGCCTCTACCCTGTATTGTCTTAGAGAGTATGTCATTGCCAAAATCAGTTTTCTCTTAACAAAGACTAATTTTTACAAAAAATAATCAAAATTTGGAAACATTACGAGCTGACTTGTATGAACAAGGGAGGAATTTTGAACATTCTAGTGTTTAGTTGGTTACGCTTTAATGAATTTTTCTTTTGTTGGTTTTGTTTTTGTTTATAATTCATAAATGTTTTATTATGTGTTTTTGTTTTTGGTTTATTTATTAATGAAAAATAACAACTTGTTTTATTAATAATAAAAGGTGGATTTCAGCCACCATCGTTACTAAGAAATCAGAAAGTAAGCACAGATTAGCTGTGTGTTGTGTTGCCAATTTTACTTTTATAAAATTATGTTTTTTTTCGTAATCTACATTTTAAAAAATGTGTGTATTATTGTTTTCGTACTGAAGAGTTATTTTCCAGACACCGGTATATCAAGAATGAATTAGTTAATTGACAAGGTTTTCTCCCAAAGAAATAGACCAACATTCGCATATTTTATTACAAAAAAAAAAAAAATTTAAGGCTTGTAGTTTTCAAGAGTCGGTTAAATTGACGCTCATAGAAACTGACGTCTGCGAACTGACGTAAGAATGACGTCAAAGCAATTTCGCGCCGATTTGGTATTAACATGTTACCAAGTAGAAAATTTTCGAAAAAAAACTACTGAATTTGGCATTTTCTCTCCATTTTAGTATTCAAATACTGAAGAAAAAGAAACCTGATTAAAAACGTTTAATAAAAAATTTTGAGGTTAAAAATGTGACGAATTGTTTTTAATCAGCTGCAGTTTAGAATTGGCGGTATGCTTATTTTGTTTCAAAGTTTTATGTTGCTGCAAATATTTTCTCTGATTGAAAACCAACCACCCTTAATGAAATCAAACATACACTATAAAAAATCATTTTAATCCACATCAGATAGTCACACTTCATAACCTAGTTTAGATAGCTTGTCACATGAGGGACAAGCGCTTCAAGAAAAAAAAATACATTGTTCCTACTACTAACTAAAGTAAAAATAACCAGACGAGATTCAATTCATTTCCATTAAAAGAGAAAACATTGATTCTAAGTGATACATCTGGATAATGAAAAGTAATTAATTTGATGATGTTCCATCGGCTGACGCTTTTGCAGTCTTGGCTCCATTTGCTTCATCCCCGTCCTCCCCTTCAGAGCTCTCGTTGCTGTCGTCCTCGCCCTCCATGTCCGGGTCCGGCAAATAATATTGGAGCGTGTTAGCCCAAAGATCATCTTTGATAATTTCAGCAATCTTGTCATTCGTGGGATCATCATTATTGCTAAACCACTGAAAGAACGACTTTGGCTCCTCGCGAGCGCGCTTCTTCCCTTGTCCTTTAGCAGCAGTCTTTTTCTGTGGCTTAATCCAATCAATCTTTGTACTCTCTGACGCCATTTTGTCCTGTTTATACGAAATCTCCTTAACCAGAAGATCGTTTTTGAAATATGGGTTCTCTTTGAAGTAAAACTTGAGGCTGTAGCCGGAGTTGTTGTCCGCGATATCCACTTCCACTTTGCGCAAGTGATGCAAACAATCCTCCTCCTCTTCTGTTAAAATGTTGCACAGATCCGGATGGCCCGTGAACACCGTGAACCAAAAATCGGGGATCCGTTCTATGACTTTGCTGCGTTTGTCGTAGCTCTCTTGCCTGAGTTTTCTGTACTTTTGATCCATCGCGATGACTTCCTCGTTTTCTTTTTCATTGAGTTTGTCGAGTTCGTTGTGGCACATCTCTAACTCTATGATCGCGGAGTCCATGTCGCCCTCTGCGTTAGAATCGTCCACTTTGTTGCCGTCTTCGCTGGTTTTTGGCTTCTTAGGCGTAGGTTTATCGGACATTTTCGCTGTGAGAATTAGAGGGAAAGTTAGCATCATAGGGAGACCAGATGTGGGTTGCGGTACGTACCTGCGTTTATGGTATAAAAAAATAGGTTTTGGATTTGTAGTGATGGTTCACAAGGTGAGATTTTTGTATATGTGTGGTTGCAAACGTTTCTAACTTAATATTCGGCTTGTATATAAACTACCTGTCAAGCTAAAGATGCGTCAATGAACCCGGCTTTTTTGAGGTTATGGCCGCTTTTGCCTCGTTTATGGCAAGGTTAAGAGGAGGCACGCACTTCAAGTAGATGCTACGTCGCTAGATGGCGCCACGATATTTATGTCATATAACAAAATTTAATTGTCCCAGGAGGAAATCTCATGAATTGTAAGTTGTAAGTCTTGTTTATATCATCCGTTGACATAACCGTTGAAAAGTTGGTACGCCGTTGGGGTGACCGGGGTTACGTTCGAGATAACCATGGACAATTTTACAATTGAAAGCACTAACTTCACGAAATCAAATTTTTGATAGAGATAATGAGGTCCATTAATATTAAGCCATTTAATTACCTGTACATAAGCATGGCTAAAGATTGTTCTCGACATTTAAATCAACAAGATTTATTTCTATTCGCCTCAAAAAAAGATTAGGTATTATAACTATAAGGGCTTACATTTCGCCCTTTTTTCTTTTTTTCACAACAAGAAAAATAAAACATGTTTAATATAGTAAATTTTTGTAGGAAAGTATCGATTTTGCCATTAGGCTCCGCCCTCTTGGATCACGACGAATAAAAAAATCATTACAATTGAGATAGGGCGGGTGGGCGGGGCTTATATTTTGCCTTGTTTCCTTAATATGTGTAGTCATCTTTTCATAGCAACAAACTTAAGGCATGTTTAAAATGGTAAATTTAAAATTTGTATAGGGAAATATTGATTTTGCAATGAAAAATTCATCACGATTGAGATTGACACGGAGGAGTGGGGTTTCTCTTTTAATTAATACATTTAGTTTCCTTTGTATAACACGATTACTTAAGAACATATTTCACATGGTAATTTCTAGTAGAAAAATAAGGATTTTACAATTAAACTACTCCCCTCGACTTACGACGAATAAAAAAATCATCAGAATTGAGATAGGGCGGGTGGGCGGGGTTCGTAGTTATCTTTTCACAACAAAAAACTTAAAATATGGGTAAAATCGTACATTTTTGCAAGGAAATATGTATTTTGCAATTATGGGGCGGAGCCTAAATGCCAAATTGATATTTCCTTATACAAATTTTCCATTTTAAGCATGTTTCAAGTTTCTTGTTGTGAAAAAAAGTCTACACATATTAAAATAAAGAGCCAAAGTGTAAGCCCACCCACCCGCCCTGTCCCAATTGTGATGATTTTTTTTATTCGCCGTGAAGCAAAGGGGCGGAGCTTGACTGCAAAGTACTTATTTCTTTACCAGAAATTAAAAAGATGTCTTTGAATATCGTGTTGTTCAAAGTATACAATGTATATTAAGTAAAAAGGCAAAATATTTACCCCACCCACCCACCCCATCTCAACTGTGATGATTTTTTGTGTTCTTAAAAACGTTTAAAATGGGAAATTTTTCTAAGAAAATATTAAACAACACGGTACTCAAAAACATGTTTTTAATTTCTCGTAGTGATTTTTTTTTACAAATTTCCATGTTTTCACATTAAAATTTTTGAGTTTTTAGATTTTTCGATCTTTAATTCTTTGTCTTTTGAATTTTTCGATTTGCATTTTTTTATCGTTTCGTTTATTCAATTTTTAGATTTTAAGTTTTTCATTTATTCATTATTTAATTTTAATTTTTCTATCCTTCTGTTTTTTGTTTCTTCAATTTCTCGAACTTCACGTTTAAATATTTCGATTTTTCGATCTTTTATTCCTTGTTCCAATTTTTCGGTTTGAAGTTTCTCGATTTCAGTTTTGAATTTTTTTTTAATTTTTCGTTTCTTCAGTTTTTTGTTGCTTCAATTTTTCGAGTTTTCACATTAAAATTTTTCAATTTTTAGGTTTTTCGAACTTATTGTATTGATTTATTCTTTATGTCTTGAACTTTTCGATTTGGATTGTCTCAATTTTTAGTTTTTTCAGTTTTTGTTTTTTGAATTATTCGATTTGCATTTTTTCTAGTTTTCAGTTTAAAATTTTTTTATTTTCAACTTTTGAATTTTTTCATCGTTTCGTTTATTCAATTTTTAGATGTTTAAGTTTTTCATTTATTCAATATTTAATTTTAATTTTTCCATCTATCTGTTTTTTTGTTTCTTCAATTTCTCGTTTAAAATTTTCTAATTTTAGATTTTTCGATTTTTTATTTTTTCGGTTCTTGATTTTTCAATTTTCAATTTTTTTAATTTTTCAATTCTTCAGTTTTTTGAACTTGCACTTTTTTCATGTTTCGTTTATTAATTCTTTTTAATTTTTCAATTTTTCGGTTTTTCCGTTTTTTCTCTTTTTTCGAGTTTTCGAATTTAAATTTTTCAAATTTTCGATTTGTCTGTTTTTTGTTTCTTCAGTTTCTCCAGTTTTCACGTTCAAATTTTTGGATTTTTCGATCTTTTTTATTCCAATTTTTCGGTTTGCAGTTTCCGATTTTAAATTTTGAAATTTTTTTAATTTTTCGTTTCTTCAGTTTTCTGTTTCTGCAATTTTTCGAGTTTTCACATTAAAATTTTTCAGTTTTTAGGTTTTTCGAACTTGTATTGATTTATTCTTTGTGTTGAACTTTTCGATTTGGATTTTCTCAATTTTTCGTTGTTTCAGTTTTTGTTTTTTGAATTTTTCGATTTGCATTTTTTCTAGTTTTCAATTTAAACTTTTTCTATTTTCAACTTTTGAATTTTTTTATCGTTTCGTTTATTCAATTTTTAGATGTTTAAGTTTTTCATTTATTCAATATTTAATTTTAATTTTTCCATCTATCTGTTTTTTGTTTCTTCAATTTCTCGAGATTCCCGTTTAAAATTTTCGATTTTTAGATTTTTTGATTTTTTATTTTTTCGGTTCTTGATTTTTCAATTTTCGATTTTTTTAATTTTTCAATTCTTCAGTTTTTTGAGCTTGAATTTTTTTCATGTTTCGTTTATTAATTCTTTTTAATTTCTCAATTTTTCCGCTTTTTCTATTTTTTCGAGTTTTCGAATTTAAATTTTTCAAATTTTCGATTTGTCTGTTTTTTGTTTCTTCAGTTTCTCGAGTTTTCATGTTCAAATTTTTGGATTTTTCGATATTTTTTGTTCCAATTTTTCGGTTTGCAGTTTCCGATTTTAAATTTTGAAATTTTTTTAAATATATCTCGTTTCTTCAGTTTTTTGTTTCTTCAATTTTTCGTTTTGCAATTTTTCTAGTTTTCAATTTAAAATTTTTATATTTTTCAGGGCTTGAATTGTTTTTGTTTCGTTTATTAATTTTTTTTAATTTTTCAATTTTCGTTTTTTCCGTGTTCTGTGCTTTTTCGAGTTTTCAAGTTTAAATTTTTCGATTTTTCGGTTTTTTGTTCCTTGTTCCAATTTTTCGGTGTGCAGTTTCTCGATTTTCAATTTTGAAATTGCTTAATTTTTTTTTTGTTTCTTCAATTTTTCGAGTTTTTCCATTGAAATTTTTCAGTTTTTAGGTTTTTCGATCTTTTATTTGATTTATTCTTTATGTCTTTAATTTTTCGATTTGGATTTTCTCGATTTTTCAATTTTCAGTTTTTTTAATTTTTCATTTCTTCAGCTTTTTGTTTCTTTGATTTTTAGATTTGCAATTTTTCTAGTTTTCAATTTAAAATTTTTCATTTTTCAGGGTTTGAATTTTTTTCATGTTTCGTTTATTAAGTAATTCTTTGTAATTTTTCAATTTTTCTGTTTTTTCGTTTTCTGTTTTTTCGAGTTTTCAAGTTTAAATCTTTCAAATTTTCAATTTGTCTGTTTTTTGTTTCTTCAGTTTCTCGAGTTTTCACTTTAAAATTTTTCGATTTTTCGATCTTGTAATCCTTGTTCCAATTTTCGGTTTGAAGTTACTCGATTTTCAATTTTGAAATTTTTTTAATTTTTCGTTTCTTCAGTTTTTTGTTTCTTTAATTTTTCGAGTTTTCACATTAAAATTTTTCAGTTTTCAGGTTTTTCGATCTTGTATTGATTTATTCTTTGTCTTGAATTTTTCGATTTGGATTTTCTCGATTTTTCACTTTTCAAATTTTTTCATTTTTCGTATTTTCAGTTTCTGCTTTTTGAACTTTTCGATGTGCATTTTCTATAGTTTTCAATTTAAAATGTTTCTATTAAATTTTTTTATCGTTTCGTTTATTCAAATGAATTTTTAGATATTTAATTTTATTTTTTCCATCTATATGTTTTTTGTTTCTTCAATTTCTTGAGTTTCCCGTATAAAATTTTCGATTTTGAGATTTTTCGATCTTTTGTTCTGTTTCTTCAATTTTTCGATTTGCAGTTTCCCAATTTTTCAATTTTGAAATTTTTGATTTTTTGTTGATCAGTTTTTTGTTTCTGCAGTATCTCGAGTTTTCAGTAGCATTTTTCAGTTTTTAATTTCTCGTAGAGAAATGAGGATTTTGCAGTTAAACTCCGCCCGCTTGGCTCACGACGAATAAAAAAATCATCAGAATTGAGACAGGGCGGGTGGGCGGGGCTTATATTTTGCCTTTTTTCTTAATATACATAGCCATCTTTTCACAATAAGAAACTTAAAATATGGTTAAAATGGTACATTTTTGCAAGGAAATATAAATTTTGCAGCCTAATTGCAAAATCGATATTTTCTTACAAAAATTTTCCATTTTAAACATGTTTTAAGTTTCATGTGAAAATAAGTCTACACATATTAAAACAAAAAGAAAAAATGTAAGCCCGTCCACCCACCCAAGCTCAATTGTGATGATTTTTTTTGAGAATTAAGATCGGGGCGGGTATGGGTGGGGTCTAATATTACCTTTATTTTTTTCTTAATATACATAGTATTCTTTTAACAACACGATACTGAAAAACATGTTAATTTCTCGTGGAGAAATAATGGTTTTGCAGTTAAGCTCCGCCCTTTTGGCTCACTGCGAATAAAAAAAATCATCACAATTGAGATAGGGCGGGTGGGCGGGCTTACTTTTTTTACCCTTTTTTTCTTAGTATGTGTAGACTTATTTCGACAACAAGAAACTTGATTTCCTCCAGTTTTCGATCTCAAATTCAAATTTTGGGCATTAATAATTCAGTTGTTGCCATCTACTGATTTCAAAATTGACTACTGTGAACTGGCATGATTACATTGCTGCCAATAATTCAGAATTACCTTTTATAAAACTATATGACTTTGGATTTGTTACAATTTACACCAATTTTGCGTTTTCACGATTTTCATTGATTTGTGTAATACTGTGGACACGACAGTCTATACTGATCACTTTTATGTTATTCTGTGTCATTGAAATTTGAAAGGTCACGTGACCCAAAATTAATAAAAAAATTAATTGAGGTTATGGTTCAACAACTAAAAAAACTGAGAATGCTCTTTACTTCCACACATTGAAAAAATCAACATAAAAAGCGTTAATCAAGACCCAAGAATGTTTCATGGCGACGTTTTAACAGCATGACGCAGATCTAGTCAAGATGAACAGTATTACAAGTTTTCAGAATTTAGTTACTCTGACATTATATGTTTTGGTTTCTGAAATAATTTCCACAAATTCTAGAACTTCCACCTTATGGAAATTAAACCCAGACCGAACGAAAATCATCGAAGGGGGCTCCTTTTACAAAGTCGTGTCTTACCGGGAAGACCAAGACCCCAGCGGCTTGCGGTTCATAACAGAAGACGATCCCGTTTTTAACATAATAACGTCGACAGTGCATTTGGGACGCTCATGGGTGAAAGAGAAAGTGGAATATTATTGTACGAATTGTCATAATTTGAAAGCCGTGAAAATGGACAAGTTAGTATGATTTATTTATGATGGGTAACCATTATTAGTGGTTTTACAGATATGGCAATAGCAGTAACATTGACAATGTAAAAGATGAGGTTTTAGATTGCGGCAAACCAGTTAATTTTACGTATTATGACAATTTAATTGGTATACTCAACAGGAGCAAACACCCTAATGTTCCTGAGCCACAAGTAGCGCTAATTTTTACTAAAAAATCAAAGCGGAAAAACTTGCAAGATTTTGACGTGGACGCTCTCGAGCGTAAATTAAAAAAAGCAAAGCGAGAAGTATGTACTACTACGTTTTTGCATAATTGTTGATTATTGGTGATTGTAGAAACCCAAATCTGTGCAACTGTATAATCAAATTGGAAACTTCTGGCGGATTAAAGGCGATGCGGAAAAAGCGATTGAGTGTTTTCGGAGGGCGCTCGCCGTGTCGCCGTATAACGCCGAGGTTTTGCTCAATTTAGCCCGGGTGTTATTCACGCTACAATATTTAGACGACGCTATTTACTTGACGAGGAGATCTCTTGAGGTGCAGCCCCCCGACAAGGGGGCTTGGCAGCAATATTTCACTCTAGGCGAAATATTAAAAGCGTATGGACACTATCAAGAGGCTTCAATTCACTTGAAACACACTTTAGAGCTAAAACCAGGGTTTGAGCCCGCCCAAATCGCACTCAAAGAAATGGAAAACGTGCCCACAGCCACTTTACACATTTATACATTAGTGATTATAATATGTTTGGTAAAGGTTGATGGTTTTTTGTGAACAAATAACGCGATTTGTTGTTAGGTTTTAGGTTGTCTTTTGGTAATTTTGTCGTCGGTTGATAACACGAGTGATACTGAATACGCCGAAGTTAAAATACCAAAGCACTTTAATAGATCTGCAACCACAAGAGCACTGCGGAGTTTTGGATTGTCTCAAAAACACACACGTCCAAAGAGAATACTTGCCTAACGAGAAGTCAAAAAAAGCTACGTTTTCTTGATAAAATAGACGTTATAAAGAAGGAAGCAACTCACTTTTTCAAACTAAGTCATTGCTTTAGCGTATTCTAGTCGTTAATTAATTAGTCAGGAGTTGAGGCTGACGTGAGTTGCTAGTCTTCATTATAGAAGCGCCTGATTGTTGAACAACAATACACTAACTTGTACCTGGAGGTTTTGCTCATTTACTAATAAAAGCGAGTAAAGTTTATAAAATTGTATTTGTGACTTATACAAGCATTTATTAATAATTAAAACAAGTAGAATACATGGGAGTGAATAATGTTTGCATATGAATCTCAAGTAAACTTAAGCTGTATTATGAATTCCCAATCTGAAAATGTCATGCTGAACAAAAAACGAGTTTCCTAAAGGTTTTAAAACAAATGTCTGGGAAAATGCATGTGGAGGATCTTCATCTGACTGAAACACCAAAATCACAATTAGAGCATGTTTCCGTCCGTCGCGTTAAAAAAAAAAAAACTATGTTAACATGCAGTGACTGAATAAGAACACATTTTAAGAAAATTAGTAGAAAACATTAGTGAAATGGCAGCAATAATAACGTGAACACGAATACATACTGCCTTTGGACTAAATTGTATCATGTAGTACAAGACGGAAAATATCATGCTGAACAAAAAAACTTCCTTCTATGGGTTTCAAGACGAAAGTTTGTATATAAGCATGAGGCATGTCTTCATCAGTCTATTAAAATTATACAGATTTCATTTCTCAGAAATACGTATAACAAAAATTACCTGTAATCTACCTAAGACGTTAATTAGCACCCCGCCGTCGAACATCGGTTGCGAATCCACCGCGGTAATAATTCTATTAATTTTTTGGAAAGATAGACTCTGAAACAAACCGGTCAAACTAAGCAACCCAAATCATAACCCCTCACTGTTAATTTTTCCATTATTTTCACAGATCCTTGTAGCTGCACTCCTTCGAACGTCATAAACGAACTCTCGATCTAAAAAAAGTGCCAAAGTCAACCCGGACGCTTCTACATTTGAATTACTCACATTATACATGTTAGCTAAACTAGGCCTTTGCGCTGGATCGTCAAACATTGCATAATATTGTTGTACGAATCCTTTTCCTATAGCTTCGTATTGTAAATTTAATGCCATCTTGGAAAAAGCGGCCACTTTTTCTTAGAATAATTTCCGCCAAAATAATATTTAACCCTAAATTAAGCGACAGAGAAACCGGAACGGTCGGTCATGCAGACAGCTGACAGTTGTGTCAAAATGTCACTACCAATCGACGACCTAAAGTTCCTAAAGTCACTAAGTTTGAAGTTTCAACCGTAGATTAATACAGATGCGACAAACAGGCTGATTTTGCAAAACCACCCTTATTGACATTGTTGAAATCGTAATAACCCAATGGATTTTTTTCGGGAATATGTTTTGGAAACACTATGTTCTGTTTTGTATGAATTTTTAAATGTTTTTAGTGACAATTTTTGTGGTTGTTTTCGATACACTGTATGATATTAACAGGGAGAAAAAAAAAGAAAAATTAAAATAATCGAAAATTCGAAAAATCGAAAGATTGAAAAATCGAAATATCGAAGAACTGAAAATCGAAAAATGAAACATCAGAAAATCGAAAAAATGTAAAATTCAAAATTCTAAAATTTAAAAACCGAATAACGAAAAATCGAGAAATCGAAACTCCCAAATTTAAAAAATCGGATAGCTGAAAAATCAAAAAACCAAGAGATCAAAAAATCGTCGAAAAGTCGAACAATTGAGAATCAAAATATCGAAAAATCCAAATCTCGATGAATCGAGAAATCAAAAAACTTAGAAATTCGAAAAATTGAAAAACTGAGAGATTGAAGGATTAAAAGAACGAGAAATCGAAAAGCGGAAAAATCAAAAAACGAAAAAATGGAAAACTCTAAAAACTGATGATTTTTTTTATTCATCGTGAGCCAAAAAGTGCGGAGCTTAACTGCAAAATCCTTATTTCTTTACGAGAAATTAAAAATTGATAAACGAAAAATTCAAAAATTTCGAAATTGAAAAATTGGGAAACTGCAAAACGAAAAATTGAAGAAACAAAGAATACAAGATCGAAAAATCTCAAAATCGAAAATTTTAAATGGGAAACTCAAGAAAAATTAAAACTAAATAATATTGGATAAATGAAATACTTAAATATCTACAAATTGAATAAACGACACTATAACAAAATTCAAAAGTTGAAAATAGAAAAATTTTAAATTGGAAACTAGAAAAATGCAAATCAAAACATTAAAAAAAAATTGAAAAAAACGAAAAATTAAGAAATTTCAAAATTGAAAATCGGGAAACTGCACACCGAAAAATTGGAACCAGGAACAAAGGATCGAAAAATCGAAAAATTAAACGTGAAAATTTGAAAAATTTAAACTTGAATATTCGAAAAACACAGAACACCGACAAACCGAAAAATTGAAAAATTAAAAAGAATTAATAAACGAAACAAAAAAATTCAAGCCCTGAAAAATAGAAAAAATTTAAATTGAAAACTATAAAAGATCGAAAAACCTAAAAACTGAAAAATTTTAATGTGAAAACTTCAAAAAATTGAAGAAACAAAAAACTGAAGAAACGGAAAATTAACAAAAATTGAAATTGAAAATCGAGAAACTGCAAACCGAAAAATTGGAACATGGAATAAAAGACCGAAAACTCGAAAATTTTAAACGTGAAAATTCGAGAAACTAAAGAACCAAAAAACAGACAAATCGAAAATTTGAAAAACCTACACTTGAAATCTCGAAAAAAGACAGAAAACGGAAAAACCCAAAAACTGAAAAATTAAAAAGAATTAATAAACAAAACCTGAAAAAACTCAAGCTCTGAAAAATAGAAAAAATTTAAATTGAAAACTAGAAAAATTGCAAATCGAAAAATGAAAGAAACAAAAAACTGGAGAAATGAAAAATTAAAATAATTGAAAATTGAAAAATCAAGAAATTATAAATCGAAAAATTGAAACGGGAAACTCGAGAAATTGAAGAAACAAAAAACATCATCTAAAAATTGAATAAACGAAACGATAAAAAAATGCAAATCGAAAAATTCAAAAAACAAAGAATAAAAGATCGAAAAATCTAAAAACTCAAAAATTTTAATGTGAAAACACGGAAATTTGTAAAAACAAAAAATTAACACATAGAAAAATCTAAAAATCGAAAATTTTAAACGTGAAACTCAAGAAATTGAAGAAACAAAAAACAGAAAGATGGAAAAATTAAAATTAAATATTGAATATATGAAAAATTAAAACATCCAAAAATATCTAAAAATGTAATAAACGAAACGTTAAAAAAATTCAAAAGTTGAAAACGGATAAATTTTAAATTGAAAACTAGAAAAAATGCAAATCAAAAAATTCAAATAACGAAACTAAAAAAAAACGAAAAATTGAGAAAATTTAAATCGAAAAGTTCAAAACATAAAGAATAAATCAATGAAAGACAGAAAAACCTAAAAACTGAAAAAATGAAGAAACAAAAAACTGAAGGAACGAAAAATTAAAAAAAAATTGAAATTGAAAATCGAGAAACTGCAACCAGAAAAATTGGAACAAGAAATAAAAATTCGAAAAATCGAAAAATTTAAACGTGAAAACTCGAGAAACTGAAGAAACAAAAAACAGACAATCGAAAATTTGAAAAATTTAAACCTGAAAACTCGAAAAAAGACCGAAAATGGGAAAAACTGAAAACTTGAAAAATTAAAAAGAATTAATAAACGAAACATGAAAACAATTCAAGCTTAAAAAACTGAAGAAATAAAAAATTTAAAAAATTATAAACGTGAAACTCCAGAAATTGATGAAACAAAAAACAGAAAGATGGAAAAAATTAAAATTAAATATTGAATAAATGAAAAATTGAAACATCTAAAAATATCTAAAAATTTAATAAACGAAACATTAAAAAATTCAAAAGTTGAAAATAGAAACATTTTAAATTGAAAACTAGAAAAAATGCAAATCGAAAATTTTAAGACAGAAAGAATAAATCAATAAAAGATGGAAAAACTTAAAAACCGAAAAATTTTAATGCGAAAACTCGAAAACTTGAAGAAACAAAAAACTGAAGAAACGAAAAATTAAAAAAAAATTCTAAATTTAAAATCGAGAAACTGCCAACCGAAAAATTTTAAAACGGAATAAAAGATCGAAAAATCCAAAAATTTGAACGTGAAAACTCGAAAAAAGACAGAAAACGGCAAAAAGGAACAATTGAAAAATTAAAAAGAATAAACGAAGCATGAAAAAAAAATCAAGCTCTGAAAAATAGAAAAATAACAAATCGAGAAATGAAAGAAACAAAAAACTGAAGAAATGAAAAAATTAAAAAATCAAAAAATCTAAAATTTGACAAAATGACAGTTGAAAAACAGAAAATTTAAAACCGGGAAGTCGAAAAATCAAAAGATTAAGAAATCGAAACATTTGAAAAATTCGAAAACTTGAAAAACTGAAATATCGAAGGACTGAAATGAAAAATCAAGAAATGAAAAATCTAAAATTTTAAAAATTAAAAAATCTAAAATTGGAAAATCGAAAAAAAAAACCGACACATCGAAAAATCCAGGAGTCAAAAAACGCAAAGTCGAAGAATCGAAATATTGAAAAATCCCAAAACTGAAATATCGAAAAACTGAAAAATGAAAGAAAAACTAAAAATGGGAAACTAAATCGGGAAATCAAAACATTGAAAAATCGAAAAATTTAAAACGACAATTGAAAACAGAAAATATAAAACCGGGAAGTCGAAAAATCGGAAGATTAAGCAATCGAAAAATTGAAAAATCGAAAAAAGTAAAAAAATCGACACACTGAAAACTCCAGAAGCCACAAATCGAAAAGTCGAAGAATCGAAATATTGAAAAACCCAAACCTGAAATATCGAAAAACTGAAAAATGAAAGAAAAACTAAGAAATGGAAAACCTGAAAAATCTGAGAACTGGAATATCCAAAAACTGAGAACCTAAAAAGTCGAAAAATTAAGAAATCGAAAAATCCAAAAAGTGAAGTCGAAAAATCGAAACCTTTAAAAAAACTAAAAAATGAAAAATCAAAAACCTGAAAAATCTAAAAATTAAAGAATTGAACAGGAAAATCGAAAAATTAAAGAAGTGAACAGGAAAATCGAAACACTCGAATTTCAAGATGTGGGAAAATCAAAACATCGATTAATTGAAAAATCGAAAATTTGAAAAAACGGCAATTGAAAAACAGGAAATCTAAAACGGAAGTCTAAAAATCGATAAATTAAAAAATCAAAATATTTGAAAAATTCGAAAACTGAAAAACTGAAATATCGAAGAACTGAATCCAAAAATCGAGAAATCGAAAAATCTAAAATTTTAAATATTGAAAAATTAAAATATCAAAAACTGAAAAATCTAAAATTTAAAAATCAAAAAATTGAAAAAACGACAATTGGAAAACAGAAAATCAAAAACCGGGAAGTCGGAAAATCGAAAAATTAAGAAATCGAAACATTTGAAAAATCGAGAAATCGAAAAATCTAAAATTTTAAAAATTAAAAAATCTAAAATTTAAAAATCGAAAAAGTAAAAAGTCGATACATCGAAAAATCCAGAAGTCAAAAATGGAAAAGTCGAAGAACAGAAATATTGAAAAATCCCAAAACTGAAATATCGAAAAACTGAAAAATGAAAGAAAAAGTAAAAATGGGAAACTAAATCGGGAAATCAAAACATTGAAAAATCGAAAAATTTAAAACGACAATTGAAAACAGAAAATTTTAAACCGGGAAGACGAAAAATCGAAAGATTAAAAAGCAATCGAAAAACTGAAAAATCGAAAAAGTAAAAAAATCGACACATCGAAAACTCCAGAAGCCAAAAATCGAAAAGTCGAAGAATAGAAATATTGAAAAATCCCAAAACTGAAATATCGAAAAACTGAAAAATGAAAGAAAATCTGAAAACTGAAATATCCAAAAACTGAGAGCCTAAAAAGTCGAAAAATTAAGCAATCGAAAAATCCAAAAAGTGAAGTCGAAAAATCGAAACCATAAAAAACCTAAAATGAAAAATCAAAAACCTGAAAATCAAAAAATTAAAGAATTGAAGAACAGGAATATCGAAACCCTCGAAAGTCAAGATTGGGAAAATCAAAACATCGTTTGATTATTTTAAATTAAAAATCTAAAATTTTAAATCTTGAAAAATTAAAATATCAAAAACTGAAAAATCTAAAATTTAAAAATCGAAAAATTGAAAAAACGACAATTAGAAAAATGAAAATCTAAAACCGGGAAGTTGAAAAATCGAAATACGGAAGAGCTGAAATGAAAAATCGAGAAATCGAAAAACCTAAAGTTTAAAATATTGAAAAATTAAAATACCAAAAAATTGAGAAATCTAAAATTTAAAAATCGAAAAAGTACCTAAATAGTCGACACATCGAAAAATCCAGAACTAAAAAATGGAAAAGTCGAACAACAGAAATACATATTGAAAAATCCCAAAACTGAAATATCGAAAAACTGAAAAGTGAAGGAAAAACTAAAAATGGGAAACTAAATCGGGAAATCAGAACATTGAGAAATCGAAAAATTTAAAACGACAATTGAAAACAGAAAATTTAAAGCCGGGAAGTCGAAAAATCGACAGATTAAGAAATCGAAACATTTGAAAAATTCAAAAACTTGAAATATCGAAAAACTGAAATGAAAAATCGAGAAATCGAAAAATCTAAAATTTTAAAAATTAAAAAATCTAAAATTTAAAAATCGAAAAAGTAAAAAAATCGACATATCGAAAAATTAAAGGAATCAAAAATCGAAAAGTCGAAGGATCGAAATATTGGAAAATCCCAAAACCGCAATATCGAAAAACTGAAAAATGAAAGAAAAACTGAAAAATGGAAAACCTGAAAAATCTGAAAACTGAAATATCCAAAAACTGAGAACCTAAAAAGTCGAAAAATTAAGCAATCGAAAAATCCAAAAAGTGAAGTCGAAAAATCGAAACCTTAAAAAAACTAAAAAATGAAAAATCAAAAACCTGAAAAATCGAAAAATTAAAGAATTGAAGAATAGAAATATCGAAACCCTCGAAAGTCAAAAACTGAAAAATTTAAAAATTGAAAAACAGAACATATAAAACCAGGAAGTCGAAAAATCGAAAGATTAAAAAATATGTATTGAAAAATTAAAATATCAAAAGATTGAAAAATCTAAAATTTAAAAATCCAAAAATTGAAAAATCGAATAAGTAAAAAGTTAGACACATCGAAAAATCCTAAAACTGAAATATCTAAAAACTGAAAAATCGAAAAATAAAAAAAAGTGAAGTCCAAAAGTTGAAACTTTAAAAAATCGAAAAATTGAAAAATCAAAAAATTAGAGAATTGAAAAACAGTAAAATCGAAACACTCGAAGGTCAAGAAATGGGAAAATCAAAACATCGATTAATTGAAAAATCGAGAAATTGAGAGTTTATAAAAGTCAAATTTGAAAAATAAAAAAATCGAAAATTTGACAAAATGGCAATTGAAAAACAGAAAGTCTAAAACCGGGAAGTCGAAAAATCAAAAGATTAAGAATTCGAATATTTGAAAAATTGAAATATCGAAAAACTGAAATGAAAAATCAAAAAATCTAAAATTTTAAAAATCAAAAAATCTAAAATTTAAACATCGAAAAATTGAAAAATCGAGAAAGTAAAAAAATCGACACGTCGAAAAATCCAGAAGTCAAAAATCGAAAAGTCGAAGAATCGAAATATTGAAAAATCGCAAAACTGAAATATCGAAAAACTGAAAAATGTAAAACCTGAAAAATCTGAAAACTGAAACATTCAAAAACTGAGAACCTAAAAAGTCGAAAAATTAAGCAATCGAAAAATCAAAACCTTAAAAAAACTAAAAAATAATAAATCAAAAACCTGAAAAATAGAAAAATTAAAGAATTGAAAAACAGGAATATCGAAACCCCTCGAAAATCAAGAAATGGGAAAATCAAAACATCGATTAATTATTTTAAATTAAAAATCTAAAATTTTAAATATTGAAAAATTAATACTATATCAAAAACTGAAAAATCTAAAATTTAAAAATCGAAAAATTGAAAAAACGACAATTGGAAAAATTAAAATCCAAAACCGGGAAGTCGAAAAATCGAAAGATTAAGAAATCGAGACATTTGAAAAATTGAAAAATGGAAGAACTGAAATGAAAAATCGAGAAGTGGAAAAACCTAAAATTTAGAATATTGAAAAATTAAAATACCAAAAAATTGAGAAATCTAAAATTTAAAAATTAGTCAAAAATGGAAAAGTCGAAGAACAGAAATATTGAAAAATCCCAAAACTGAAATATCGAAAAACTGAAAAATGAAAGCAAAACGACGAATCGAAAAACTGAAAAGTTCAAAAACTGAGAAATTAAAAAATTGAAAAATCGAAATACTTAAAAATCGTAGAATTGAAGAGAAAAACTGAAAACCGAAAAACAGTAAGCAGCTTGTAAGATTCTGGTAAATCTAGCGTCAATTTATAAAAAGTAAACCGCGTCGTTAAAAATATGACATTTCTTCTAGTTAATTTTATTCCTAGTTAGAACCAAACACTGTTGCCAACATACCTCAACCGTCATTTAATTTAAACTATGACGCTTCTCTACGTTCTCTGTTTCAACTCCAGTGAAAACAAATTTTAAAAACTCTACTATTTTATTGTCAACAATATAGTAACACACTGTACATACAAGTGCTTGATCGCCTCTTTGTCCGAGTACAAGTAAGTATAATTCACACGATATGGAAAAATCAATTTCAACAACTAGTGTACCACTACACTCTCTCATGTGTTTCTAGATCATGCTCTCGATAAAAATCTACCAATTTTTGTACACAGGCCGCCATTCGGCACGTGAAGACCCTCATGTCGCGCAAAACGTGTTCTTCTTTGTTGTGTTTTTCAAGCCCGAGGTGATAGAATAGTTGTTGTCGGTTTGGCGCGAAGCGCGACAATATCTAGAAAACAAAGCGGCGTAAACAATTTAATAGTTGTTGTAAAGTTACGTTGAAAAGTTGAGTCCCTAGCCAGCCGTGATATCTCTCCAGAGTTTCCTTGTAGGCGCTTTTAACAAACGGTGATAAGTCCTGTGTGTAGTTATTATTATCACTGTCTTCTATGATTGCTTGGAAAAAACACGACACGAAGTGGAGGGCTCTGGAACAATTATTTTTGATTTTTGGAAACAACTAGCAAGTTTGTACCTTCGCAGCCACTGTAGCGCGTTAACCACGACCAACTCCCCTGCTTCCTTCTGTTTTAGAATCATATCCTCCATAAACTCGTTTTTATCTTTGTCTTCTTCATATTTTCCCGTTATTTTCTACGGGGTTAAAAATAATACAAGACACTCTAATACAGTGAAACTTACACGTATATTTCCGTTCATATCATAGATCACCGGTGCGAAAACCTTCCCGAATTTTTCTAAAGCACTGGGTGTTAAAAGACAGAGACATGTTAATTTTAGGTTATGTACCTACTAAAGTGACAACTCCGGAAGAGGCGTCTATAAAGTCCCGTGTTTTTATTTTCTGGTTTTTGTTTTCAACAAGGTTCGGAAATTGGCCCGGAAGTGTTGAAAAAATCGTTGCGGATTCTTCCGAAGGTAAGCCACCGTTCGACACTGACATTTTTGCTCGGATAAATTTTGACTGCTTTTATATTTTGTTGTTTTATGGTCATCTTTGTTTATCTACCTATCTCATTATTACGAGCTACGTCATTATTTTTTAGATCGCAGCAGGCGACGACTAGGTTGTGGTTAAGACCAGTGGCGGCTCGTGCGGTATTATATTTGGTGTTTTTTTTTAATACTCACTCATTAATTATTATTGTGTGATGCGTAACTTTATTCTAATAAATAAATGAACATATGAAATTTTTATTACATAACATTAAAAAAAAAAAAAATCAGTTAAAATTAAATACATATAAGTACTACTAGACGTTCCAGTTCTCTCGACAGGTGTTGTTCCTGTCCCGTTTGCTCCCAAGGGGACAGTTCCTAGGGATATTAAACAGGGACAACTTTTCGGTCCCTTTTAGACACTCAACTGTCAAAGTGGTTGCGTTGACGCCAAAAATCCCACCGCCAACTTCGACCGGAAGACACGGTCCATTTGGTTTATCCAATTCATAACATTTACCCTTGTATCTAAAATTGTAGTCAAAATTTACACCCTCCACTATAAATTCAAAGGGGACAAACCTGGCGAAGCCGTCTTTACAAGGGTTGACGACGCACTCCGGTACCACTTTGTTGCGTTTCAGGATTAAGTGATATCCTTGACGACAAGGACCTTGTCGATAAGCACTGAAACATCCATCTTGAGGCGGGTAGTAAATGTACCCCGGTCCGCAGTCGCAAATCCAGTCATTTTTCTGGTTTCCGGGATACAGTAGCTGGTTTTCTGGACATTTGTCTGGAGCGTATAGAGGTACTCGCTCCTGAATCGTCACTTTTAATAATTGCTTTTTGGGAGTGTAATGACTGTACTTACGGATTTATTGTCGTCGTCTAGACGTTGTCCCGGATTTTCGGGGTAAGCGAAGTCTTGACAATTATTGCCAACAATGACAATTACTAACAGTGGAAGAAATTTGTTCATTGCGTTGGTTAAGTTAGAACGTGATCGATCAACTATTTTTAAGTTAAATATTAATGTTCGGCTTGAGATAATATTGGTTTTGTAAATATTGACGGTTGTAGTTCGATTTTGGTATGGAGGTAGTGGAAAGATAAGTTTCTATGGTAAATAAAATACAGTTGTTGGTTTGTTCAAAAATTGTTGAAATTCGTTATCTTGGTTTTTGGCATCTTAAAAGCGACGATAAGTTGTTGATTTTTTATCAAATTGTGTGTAAAAGTTTTGCTATTGGCTATTGGGGATGCGAACTTCCACCAGTCCTCGTGTTACAAGGCTGCAAAGAAATGAAAAACAGATATATGTAAAACATTGAATAGAATTAATTTTGTTAATGAAAATCAATTTTGTAATTAACTGTATAATTTTGCATAAAATTAATTCATTGTCGGTGAATTGTTGTGATAATTCTTAGGAATAATATAAATAATGTAATAGTAGCAAGAAAATCATTGTTTGCAATTAAGAGTGATTTATCTTCGCTTAAGAAGTTGTAATTTTGTTATACATTTATACGGGATGTATGTAATGGAATTTATACAGAATGTTCTTTGTCTTGCTAAAAATCAGAGAATTTAAATAATTTTAAAAATGTCAGAATTTTGGACTTTGGAGTTATGAAAGGACCAATCTCATTGTAATCCCCAAACCGTTCACCTTAACTTACTAAAAGTTCGAGAATTTAAACAGTTTTAAGACTGTCAAAATTAGAAAATTTTAGAATTCCAAATTTTGGAAAAGTTGGTTAATTTCGAAAAATTTTGGACCTTTTGAGGTTTATTTGTATAAAGACAATATGATCGCCTCAGTTTGCAAAAAATCTGGATTTAGGGAAACTCATGCAACTGGAAAATTTTAAATTTTCAAAATAACTAAAATTAAAAAAAATCGTCGTCAAAGTTCGAAGGGTTTTCTCTGATTTTAGAATGCCCATCAATGTAAATTTGGAAAGGACATTTTTATGATGATCCCCAAACTATTCTTCTTTGACTTACTAAAAATCAGAGAATTGAAATAATTTTAAATTGTGAAAATTCGAAAATTTTAGATTCTCAAATTTTGGAAATGTTGGCTAATTTCGAAAAATTTTGGACTTTGTAGGTTTGTTTGTATAAAAACAATTTTAAGTGTATAAGTTTGCAAAAAAAAACCTGATGTTATCGAAATTTATACATCTGGAAAATTGTCAAAATAACTAAAATTAAAAAAAATTCGTCAAAATTCGGAGGACTAGCTCTTATTTTAGAAAGCTTATGAATCTAAATTCTGAAAGGAACAATCTCATTATGATCTCCAAACTATTCTACTTCAACTTACTAAAAGTTCGAGAATTTAAACAGTTTTAAGACTGTCAAAATTAGAAAATTTTAGAGTTTCAAATTTTGGAAATGTTGGTTAATTTCGAAAAATTTTGGACCTTTTGAGGTTTATTTGTATAAAGACAATATGATCGCTTCAGTTTGCAAAAAATCTGGAGTTAGGGAAACTCATGCAACTGGAAAATTTTAAATTTTCAAAATAACTAAAATTAAAAAAAAATCGTCGTCAAAGTTCGAAGGGTTTTCTCTGATTTTAGAATGCCCATCAATGTAAATTTGGAAAGGACATTTTTATGATGATCCCCAAACTATTCTTCTTTGACTTACTAAAAATCAGAGAATTGAAATAATTTTAAATTGTGAAAATTCGAAAATTTTAGATTCTCAAATTTTGGAAATGTTGGCTAATTTCGAAAAATTTTGGACTTTGTAGGTTTGTTTGTATAAAAACAATTTTAAGTGTATAAGTTTGCAAAAAAAAACCTGATGTTATCGAAATTTATACATCTGGAAAATTGTCAAAATAACTAAAATTAAAAAAAATTCGTCAAAATTCGGAGGACTAGCTCTTATTTTAGAATGCTTATCAATCTAAGTTCTGAAAGGACCAATCTCATTGTAATTCCCAAACCATTCTCCTTTAACTTACTAAAAGTTCGAGAATTTAAACAGTTTTAAGACTGCCAAAATTAGAAAATTTTAGAATCCCAAATTGTAGAAAAGTTGGTTAATTTCCAAAAATTTTGGACCTTTTGAGGTTTATTTGTATAAAGACAATATGATCGCTTCAGTTTGCAAAAAATCTGGAGTTAGGGAACCTTATGCAACTGAAAATTTTAAATTTTCAAAATAACTAAAATTTAAAAAAATCTTCGTCAAAATTCGAAGGGTTGTCTCTGATTTTAGAATGCTTATCAATGTAAATTCGGAAAGGACCATTTTTATGATGATCCCCAAACTGTTCTTCTTTGACTTATTAAAAATCAGGGAATTGAAATAATTTTAAAATTGCGAAATTTTTCCAAAATTTTAGATTCTTAAATTTTGGAAATGTTGGCTAATTTCCAAAAATTTTGGACTTTGTAGGTTTGTTTGTATAAGAACAATATTACTTTCATAAGTTTGCAAAGAAAACGTGGAGTGAAATTTATACATCTGGAAAATTGTCAAAAACACTAAAATAAAAAAAAATCCTCAAAATTCGAATGTTTGTCAATTTAAATTCCGAAAGGACCAACTTTATTGTGGTCCTCAAACTGTTCTTCGTGGACTTAACTGAAAATCAGAGTATTTAAATAATTTTAAAATTGTCGAATTTCAAAAATTTTAGATTTCCAAATTTTGGAGAAGTTGGTTCATTACGAAAAATTTAGAACATTTTAGGTTTCTTTATATAAAAACGATATAATTGTTTAACTTCACAAAAAAAAACTTGAAGTTATGGAAATTCATGCGATTGTAAAATTTTCAAAATAAGTCACTTTTTAATTTCGAAAAATTTTGGACTTTGTAGTTTTTTTTGTGTATAAAAACAATGTGATTGCCTCAGGTTTCAGAAAACCTGAAGTTATGGAACTTATGTAACTGGAAAATTTTGCAAATAACTAAAATGTAAATAATTTCGTGCTCAAAGGTCGAAGGGCTCTGATTTTAAAATGCTTATCGAATTAAATTCTGAAAGGACTAACTTTATTGTGGTTCCCAAACTGTTCTTTGACTTGATAAAAATCAGAGAATTTAAAATTTAATTTCCCAATTTTTGGAAAAATTGATTAATTTTGGAGCCCTTTAGGAAAATCTTCCAAATAATTAAAATCTACAAAATTTCGTCGTCAAAGTTCGAAGGGCCCATTTCTTATTTTAGAATTTTATCAGTCTAAATTCTGAAAGGGCCAACTTTATTGTGGTCCTCAAACGTGCTTCTTTAATTTATCTCCTAAAAATCAGAGAACTGAAATAATTTTAAAATTCTCAAAATTCGAAAATTCTCTAATTTTGGAAAAGTTAGTTAATTTCGAAAAATTTTGGCCCCTTCTAGGCTTCGTTGTTAAAAACTATATAATTGCTTAAGTTTGCAAAAAAACACGTGGAGTTTTGGAAACTCGTACAACTGGAAAATTTTTCAAAATAATTGAAATTTAAAAAAATTTCTCGTCAAAATTCAAAGGCCTTTCTGTGATTTTACAAGGTTTATCGAATTAGATTCTAGAAGGACCAACTTTATTGTGGTCCCAAAATTGTTCTTTAACATGCTAAAAATCAAAGAATTTAGTAATTTAATACTCTCAAAATTAGAAAATTTTATAATCCCAAATAGTGGAAAAATCGGTTAATTTAAAAATTTTGGATCTTTTTAAGCTTCTTTGTATAAAAAAATATAATTACTAAACTTTGCGAAAAAACCTGGGGTTATGGAAAGTCATGCAACTGGAAAATTTTCAAAATAACTAAAATCTAAAAAATTCTGTCGTCAAAGTTCGAAGGGCCATCTTTTATTTTAGGATTTTATCACTAGTCGCTAAAAATCAAAGAATTGAAATAATTCAAAAATTGACAAAATTCGAAAATTTTAGATTTTCTAATTCTGGAAAAGTTAGTTTCGAAAAATTTTGGATCTTTCTACGTTTCTTGTATAAAAACTATGTTTCTTAAGTTTGCAAAAAAAACACCTGGAGTTTTGGAAACTCATGCAACTGGAAAATTTTCAAAATAACTAAAATTAAAAAAATTTCGTCGTCAAAGTTTGAAGGGTCATCTTTTATTTTAGAATTTTATCAATCTAAATTCTGAAAGGACCAACTTTATTGTGGTCCCCAAACTGTTTTTTTGACTGACTGAAAATCAGAGATTTGGAATAATTTTAAAATTGCCAAAATTCGAAAATTTTGGATTCTGTAATTCTAAAGAAGTTTGTTAATTTCGAAAAATTTTGGATCTTACTAGGCTTTTTTGTATAAAAACTGTATAATTATTTAAGTTTGCAAAAAAAAACACCTGGAGTTATGGAAACTCATGCAACTGAAAAATTTTCAAAATGACAAAAATTTAAAAAAAATTCTCGTCAAAGTTCAAAGGGCTTCCTCTGATTTTAGAGTGCTTGTCAATCTAAATTCGGAACTTGGCAACTTTATTGTGGTCTCTAAACGTTCTTCTTCAACTTATCTACTAAAAATCACAGAATTGAAATAATTTTGAAACTGCCAATATTTGAAAATTTTAGATGCCCAAATTTTGGAAAAGTTAGTTAATTTCGAAAAATTTTCGACCTTACTAGGCTTCTTTGTATAAAAACTATATAACTATTTAAGTTTGCAAAAAAAAAACACCTGTAGTTATGGAAACTCATACAACTGAAAAATTTTCAAAATTACTAAAATTAAAAAAAAATTCTCGTCAAAGTTCAAAGGGCTTTCTCTGATTTTAGAATGCTTGTCAATCTAAATTCGGAAATTAGCAACTTTATTGTGGTCTCTAAACGTTCTTCTTCAACTTATCTACTAAAAATCACAGAATTGAAATAATTTTGAAACTGCCAATATTTGAAAATTTTAGATGCCCAAATTTTGGAGAAGTTAGTTAATTTCGAAAAATTTTGGACCTTACTAGACTTCTTTGTATAAAAACTATATAACTATTTAAGTTTGCAATAAAAAACACCTGTAGTTATGGAAACTCATGCAACTGAAAAATTTGCAAAATTACTAAAAATTAAAAAAATGTCTCGTCAAAGTTCAAAGGGCTTTGTCTGATTTTGGAATGCTTATCAATTTAAATTCCGAAAGGACTGACTTTATTGTGGCCCCCAAACCTTTTCTTTAATTTATGTACTAAAAATGAGAGAATTGTCAAAATTCGAAAATTTTTAATTTCCAAATTTTAGAAAAGTTAGTTCATTTCGAAAAATTTTGGATTTTTTTAGGTTTCTTGGAGCAAAAACAATATGATAGCTCAAGTTTACAAAAAAATCTAGAGTTATGGAAGCTCATGGAGCTGGAAAATAAAAAAAAGAAATAATTTATAAAATTTCGTTGATCTAAATTCTAAAAGGACCAACTCCATTGAGGTCCCCAACTGTTCTTCTTTAATTTACTAAAAATGAGAGAATTTCAATACATACATAATTTTAAAACTATCAAAATTTCATGAAAAGTGAAAAATTTTGAAACTTTTTAGGGTTCTTTGTATAAAAACAAAACATTACCGACGAACTGTCAACACAGATCAGAAATATTATTAGTTACGAAGAATCAAGAGAAATAAGTCTTTGCCAAGACTTCTGATTATTGATTTAAGAAAATGGCTTTAATGTGGGCCAGACTTGGAAATGAGAGCAGAGAACGTCCTCGAAGCATTTCCTGATTATGTGATTTCCGAACGGGGCAATTCGAAGTCACTTTTTGTTATTTTTTTAGCAAAATTTAATTCAAAACTGAAGAATGTACATCATAACATGGAAAAACACACTCTAATAAAAAATTTTATCTTTGTAGACGTAATGGAAATTTAAGAAAGCTTTATTTACAACCAGTCCAGGTAAATCACCTTTTAATCGAAGACAGATTGCAACCTAAAAATCTCATTATGACTTTGTTTGATTATTCAGTTAGAACAGGAAGGAGACAACCTATGAATTATTTATATCCATTTTTACCTCAGGTGAATTATGGGAATTTGCTAAAATGAGTCATAATTTTTAGGAACTAATCAACACAAGATATAAATAAATAAACAAAAAGTAATTTTTCCAGCAATCGACAGCTACAGCAGCAAAATACTCCGAAATAAATTTCCGGTAATAATTAATGTGTGACATTGACTGTTGCAGTCGTGGGAATTCCATGCTAATATTTTTTAAATCGGCATTATTTTCTTCACAGTGTGATATTTTCTTGCTCAAGTTCTTGTATTCGGAAAAATTCAAAACATGTAATTGACGTCAGAGCGCTCATTTTAATTCAAATGAAACCATGTAGTGTGTAACCGATAAGAAAAAATTAAAATGACTGCGTGAGAGTGTTTTTTGGAATTTTTGCACAAGGGCGTAGTTCTAAAATTGTTACTAAAAATTGTCTATAATCTTACCTATGATAATTAAAAGTGCACCAAAACACAGCTCGGCACTATGAACGGGTAATAAATAGCGAGTGTGCGGTTTGTGGCTAACCGCAGATCTGCAGGACTGCTCGAAGAAGTTTAACTAAACACGTTTTTACCTTGACTGAAACTTGTCGTGTTGGTGTTTATGTGTATGCTGTCATTACCCTACTGCTACTTAGTGATGAGTAGTGTGAGTGGTTTAGATTTTTTCTGAGTTTTGTAGGTCTCTGCAAACCCAACAATGACTTAATGGCAGCTTGATTGTTGATTTGTTTAATGAGCAATTAACAAATTAGGAAGCGCCTGCATCCGCATTCACTCGAATTACTACTTCACAAGGCATTTAGTGGGTCAGGATGTCACTAGTCACCACTAATAAAATCATGCTGAGACTCTTTGATTCTAATTTTGCCCAATTACTATTGTGCTGGCGTTCACTTCTTCAAAGCAAGGCACAAGAGTGGATTTGCAATTTATTTTCTTATTTACAGTTACGTTATTAAATATTCATTATGTACATCTTTGGAAGGTTAATAAATACTTTGTAGAAAAAACTCCATCCTCCACCGCTACTCCCGCACTGCGCACCGTCAGACATCACCTACTTTATGGTTAACTTGTAAAGTTTGTGGATACTGTTCGTTAACGACGTGGTTGTTCTCGCACGGTTTCACGTTATCCAATTCCGTTTTGTTTTGTTCACTTTGCAACTTCTTCAGTTTCTGTTCGTGGAAAATCAGTCTGAGGTAATAGCAAGGGAACACTACACATTTGCCTGCGGGTTCTTCGGCGTCTATGGACACTCCTCGCACTAAGAGGGAGTTGGAACACCCCAAGAGAATGAGGAGAGTGAGGCTAACCCAGTGGGTTAACCAGCAACTAAGCTCGAGATTATCTACAATTCAACGACTTAGCGGTGATTCTTTCATTAGAACTAGTTACCTGGCAGTAGATACAGATTAAGAAGATTCCAAATTCCTCTCCACACGTTGACGGTGCCAACGAGGGACAGGATTAAGAACAAATCAGCAACCAAAACCCGGCTTACTCCAGTTATGCGGTCGCACAACCACTTCATGAAGGGTTGGAGCAGGAAGGCTATAGCTACGGCGCAGTAGCCCACGATCTGGAATGAGACGTTGAGGAAGTGATAAGGGGGTTGAAGGAAGTTACCAAGCTTCCCCAAGCTGACCATTTTTCGCTCTCGGGGAACAAATAGATGTCCACCAGAGCCCACGCTCCTCTCCAGACGAACACCACCAGCGTTCCTACGATTAATACTGAAAAGAGGCAATCGAGGATGTAGAGGGACGTCCTTTCACTCATCTAAAATAACAAGAAATTATTTGCTGACAGGTTTTTTTGTCAAAATTTGACGAATCTGGTTTACTAAAGTGCTCGTTACACAGTCGTACATCTGGCGAGTAATTCTGAGAAAATAATAATTAAATAGGGCAAGTTTAATTTATGACAGGTGGTAAACGCAATCAGTTTGATTTACTAGTTGCTTAGTGAATCGTGAATCATTCAAATGTCATAATCATTAATGATAATGTAATAAGCAGGTCCGAAGTTAATAAAAGTGGAAAGTTTGAAACAAAACTACGATTAAATTAATTAAATAACTTTGATGAAATCATGCAACGAGTGTTGGAAATCGCGATTATTATTAATATTGGAACGATTTTTGGTCTCGTGTGCAAAATTATTCACTCAAATCAGCTTTACTAGGTAGCGTAATGAGAACGTAAAGTTTTCGAATGTTTTAAGGTTCATTAATAAAATTTTACTAACAATAAAATGTTTCTTGTTATATATTTTTTTTAATATTAACGTCTAGAATTACGTGTAAATAAAAGTTGCCAGTTTTTGTTGACAGGCACTAGATCTTAAAAAATTAACACGGATTCATGAACCACAAATGTAGAGATTATGTTATTTTATAAAATTTAAATACCATTAACTATGCAAGATTTTGAGGTGACGTCATTATATTGTTAGTGGGGATCATTAGACACATTTTATTTAGCATTTTACCATCTAGTCTAGACGGTATTCGTAAAATATATCTAAAATTTGGTAACAATCGGGCCTGTAGTTTCGAAGATTATCGATCTAAAAAAATCGACACGGGAGATCTGTTTTTCACACTCTAATGGTCGTGAAATGTCGAACAAACAAAAAAATTGCCATTAATCCGATTTTTAATATTTACCATTAAAGAAAAATATTCATACAAAAAGAAACAGAAGTATTGTGGAAATAAATATTTTTCTGGTGTTGAATTATAAAAAATTTGATTCTTTTGTAAACAAATAGCTCCGCCCACCCACCCGGATTTCTTTTTGATCACTGATTTCATTGGACGAAAAATGGATTTTATATTAATTTAAATTAAGTAGTGCAATTTAGACAAAAAAGGTAAAAGTAACCCCACCCACATCCGCTTTTGTGTTTAATTGGCTTATTTTATTTACTGCGAGATGAATAGTGAATTTTGATTTGTCAAGTGGTCCAATTTTCGTTTAAAGTAGCCCCGCTCACCCACCCCGTTTTTCTTTGATCGTTCATTTCATTCGATGACAAGTAGATTTTATAGCAGTGGAATATAGAAAAAAAGGCAGAAATTACTTACTGCTAGATGAAGATTGAATTTCATTTATTTTGCCAAGTTGTCGCATTTTTGATTAAAAAAAAGTCAAAGTGCCCCGACCACCCACCCAATTCGTTTTGATCAATTATTTCATTGGAAGAAAAGTGGATATCTAGTGTATTGAAGAGTGGAATCTAAACAAAAGAAGGTAAAACTAACCCCACCCACATCCGCGTTTGTGTTTTATTGGCTTATTTTATTTACTGTGAGATGAAGATCGAATTTTAATTTGTCAAGTGGTCCAATCTTCGATTAAAAAACTTCAAAGTGGCCCCGCCCACCAACCCCGTTATTTTTTGATCGCTCATTTATGAACATTGAATTTTATTTTGTCAAGTGGTTGAATTTTCGATAAAAAAAATACTTGTAAGTAACCCCGCCCACCCATCCTGTTTTCTTTTTAATCATTCATTTCAGTGGAGGAAAAATGGATTTTATATTGATGACCAATGGAATTTGGACAAAAAATGTGAAACTTATCCCACCCATATCCGCTTTTGTGTTTGATTGGCTTATTTTTTTAGTGCGGGATGAAGAGTGAATTTTTTTTTTATTTTGTCAAGTGGTCGCATTTTCAATATTAGAAAAATTTTAACTGCACCACCATCCACCCAATTCATTTTGATTAATTATTTCATTGGAGGAAAAGTGGATATCTAGTATATTGAAGAGTGGAATCTAAACAAAAGAAGGTAAAACTAACCCCACCCACATTCGCGTTTGTGTTTTATTGGCTTATTTTATTTACTGTGAGATGAAGATCGAATTTTAATTTGTCAAGTGGTCCAATCTTCGATAAAAAAAAAACTTCAAAGTGGCCCCGCCCACCCACCCCGTTTTTTTTTATCGCTCGTTAATGAACATTGAATTTTATTTTGCCAAGTGATTGAATTTTCGATAAAAAAATACTTGTAAGTGGCCCCGCCCACCTACCCTGTTTTTTTTGATTGCTCATTTATGAACATTGAATTTTATTTTGCCAAGTGGTTGAATTTTCGATAAAAAAATACTTGTAAGTGACCCCGCCCACCCATCCCGTTTTCTTTTTGATCACTCATTTCATTGGAGAAAAAAATGGATTTTGTATTGATGAATAGTGGGATCTAGGCAAAAAATGTGAAACTAATCCCACCCACTTCCGCTTTTGTGTTTCATTGGCTTTTTTATTTACTGCGAGATGAAGAGTGAATTTTAATTTGTCAAGTGGTCCAATCTTTATTTAAAAAAGCTCCAAAGTGGCCCCGCCCACCCACCCCGTTTTTCTTTGATCGCTAATTTCATTGGATGAAAAGTAGATTTTGTATTGATCAGCAGTGGAATATATACAAAAAAGGTAGAACTAGCCACACCCACTTCCTGTTCTGAATTTCAGTGGCTTATTTTATCAACTACGAGTACTATATGAAGGGGTTGAATTTTATTTTGCCAAGTGGTCGAATTTTGAATAAAAAAATACTTATAAGTGACCCCGCCCACCCGTTCCGTTTTCTTTTTTGATCACTGATTTCATTTGAGAAAAAATGGATTTTGTATTGATGAATAGTGGGATCTAGGCAAAAATGTGAAACTAATCCCACCCACTTCCGCTTTTGTGTTTCATTGGCTTATTTTATTTACTGCGAGATGAAGAGTGAATTTTAATTTGTCAAGGGGTCCAATCTTTGTTTAAAAAAACTCCAAAGTGGTCCCGCCCACCCACCCCGTTTTTCTTTGATCGCTCATTTCATTGGACGAAAAGTAGATTTTGTGTTGATAAGCAGTGGAATATAGACAAAAATGGTAAAACTAGCCACACCCACTTCCTGTTCTGAATTTCAGTGGCTTATTTTATTTACTACGAGTACGATATTGGAAGGTTGAATTTTATTTTGCCAAGTGGTCGAATTTTGAATAAAAAAATACTTGTAAGTGACCCCGCCCACGCATCCCGTTTTCTTTTTGATCACCCATTTCATTGGAGAAAAAATGGATTTTGTATTGATAAATAGTGGGATCTAGGCAAAAAATGTGAAACTAATCCCATCCACTTCCGCTTTTGTGTTTCATTGGCTTTTTTATTTACTGCGAGATGAAGAGTGAATTTTAATGTGTCAAGTGGTCCAATCTTTATTTAAAAAAGCTCCAAAGTGGCCCCGCCCACCCACCCCGTTTTTCTTTGATTGCTCATTTCATTGGATGAAAAATAGATTTTGTATTGATCAGCAGTGCAATATAGACAAAAAAAGGTAGATCTAGCCACACCCACTTCCTGTTCTGAATTTCAGTGGCTTATTTTGTCTACTACGAGTACGATGTGAAGGTTGAATTTTATTTTGTCAAGTGGTCGCATTTTCGATTTAAAAAAAAACTTGAAAGTGCCCACCCACCCCGTTTTTCTTTGATCGTTCATTGGACGAAAAGTGAATTTTGTACTAATAAACATTGCAATCTAGACAAAAAAGCTAGAATTAGCCACACCCACTCACCCCGTTTTTCTTTGATTGCTCATTTCATTGGACGAAAAGTGGATTGTGTAGTGATAAAAAAAAGGTAGAATTAGCCACACCAACTTTCTGAGTTTTGAATTTCAGTGATTTATTTTATTTACTACCATATGAAAATTGAAGTTTATTTTGCCAAGTGGTCGAATTTTCGATAAAAAAATACTTGTAAGTGACCCCACCCACACCCCTTTTTTTCGATTTAAATAAGTTTCAAAATGCCCCGCCCACCCATCCAATTCTTATTAATCACTTATTTCATTGGAGGAAAATGGATAGCATGTATACTAAACAGTAGAATCTAGACAAAAAAGGTAAAACTAACCCCACCCACATCCGTTTTTGTGTTTCATTGGCGTATTTTATTTATTACGAGATGAAGATTCAATTTTATTTTGTTGTTTAATCTTGGATTAAAAAAAACTTCAAACTGGCACCGCCCACCCACCCCGTTTTCTTTTTGATCACTTATACCATTGAGAAATAATGGATTTTATGTTGGTGAACAGTGGAATTTAGACAAAAAATGTAAAACAAATCCCACCCATATCCGCTTTGGTATTTCATTGGCTTATTTTATTTACTGCGAGATGAAGATGCAATTTGATTTTGTCAAAAGGTCGAATTTTCCATTAAAAAAAATACTTGAAAGTAACCCCGCCCACCCACCCCGTTTTGTGTTTGGTCACTCATTTTATTGGACGAAAAGTGGATTTTATACTGTTAAACAGTGGAATCTAGACAAAAAAGGTAAAACTAACCCCACCTACATCCGCTTTTGTGTTTCATTGCCGTATTTTATTTACTGCGAGATGCGATTAAAAAAAACTTCATTGGAGGAAAAGTGGATTTTATACTGATTTTGCCATTTGAAGATTGAATTTTATTTTGTGAAGTGGTTAAATTTTCGAATAAAAAAGTACTTCAAATTAGCCCCGCCCACCCACCCGTGTTCTTTTTGTTCACTATTTCATTGGACGAAAAGTGGATTTTATACTGATAAACAGTGGAATCTAGACAAAAAAGGTACAACTAGCCCCACCCACATCCGTTTCTGAATTTGATTGGCATGTTGTACACACCATGAGAAAAAAATTGAATTATATTTTGAGAAGTGGTCAAATCTACAATTTATAACTTTTACTTATCGCTTATGTTTACTTCCTCAGCGTAAGCTAAGAAAAAAAAACTTGTCAAGTGTGCTTTGGAATTTTTTTTAAATTGTATTATCAAAATGGCGATTTCTACATTTTCGTATGAGCATTCTGTATCAAACATAAAGTCAAATTGAAAGAGTTAAATGACGTCAGTTACAAATAATGATACGTATGTATTTCTAATCATCCCCATCAACAATTTGATGTTGTCCCCTCAAAATTTTTTTAGTAAACACTAATTATACTTTTTGCACTTGTGGTTTATGAACCCGCCCTGACTTTTAAAATTCTCGCAAAAAACTGTATAATCTTTTGCAAGCGACGGTGGACACGACAATTATCTATATTTTATATTTTTTTATGTATAGAGGTTATCACAAATGTATGTATATATGTTAGGAAAATCTTGTTGACGGTAAAACGTTAACCAAAAATTATCTAATCATCTCGACGAACAATTTGATGACATCTTAATTTTGTTTAGTAAATGCCAATTATATTTCTGTCGACATTCTCATAGCATGACTCACTTTTATTCATCCCTCAGCTTTTCGACCTCGCATTGTCATACTGCTTTGTACTTAGTTTTATTTTCTAGAAGTGCCTATAAATCAAAACTGCAATCTTCTGCAAATAATTACAATTAAAGCTTACGAAAGCTCACTGTCTCAGTATTTGTTTAGTTCATTTTTGTATTTGCACTTTTTTAATTTACTGCAATTTTCGTGCATGATGTGATGAAATACGTAATTTTTAAACCTCTGTTCAAAACGTTGTATTACATTTAAAATTGCCACAGATTCTGTTTGTCAAGTTTGGAGATCAACCGTAACCAAAATCACATGACGTGCACAAAACACGGTTACCAACCGGATTTACAAAACCAAGTTTTTTGGTCGCACAGTATGCAGCTTCTCGAATTGAAAATCACTTATCTGTGGTTGGTTAAAGCCTTGTTCACGGAATTTGCGTGAAGGTCGTTACGACACTGTCAATGGGCTGGCGTAACTAATTGCGTTTTTGTACCTTTGGTAGGATAATAGTTCGATTTTTTACTTAATAATAATCAACTAAATTATTTGCTATTGTTACAAAAAATAAGACTATACAAACATAGTTTAGTCCTTTCTAAATTAAAATATTGAGAAGTTTTTAATAAATAAAGTAAAATAAAACGGCTGTTAGTTTTTTCCTTAAGTATAATTTTGTGGTACTACTTCAATTATGGTGAACAACTTAACTTCGACACAATGGGATAATTTTATGATGGCCATATAACCTGATAGTTTATAGACAACTTTACTTTCAATGCAATAGAGGGAATTAATTGGTTTTTGAGTAATGTTATTACAAACGTAGGTAGACAGCGTCATGGTCGTTATGGATGTCCGTAATTTGAGAAACCAAGATCGGTTAATAGCCGGAAACTACTTTTTTTGTCACGTGGTTGTTTTTATTCGCCGCGTGACGTAAAATAATTTGACATGCCATTTTATGTAATAATACAAGAACCTTTTCATAATGGAACTGTTGATTAGCTTTAAACGGTTTCTAAGTTCCCACAATAATGTGATTATAAGTGTGCGAATTTGAATACCAACAACCCGTGACGTCCATCTTTAGTACCCAACGAATTCAAAATCGGAAACTCCGTCGTGGTTCAAAACTTTTCACTCACCGCCACTCTGAACATAGTTGGAACCTCGAAATACCCCTTCGCCGTATCGAGGACCACCGCAAACGGCGCCGCCGACGCGTTCCTCAACCCCCTCATCGCCGCCAGAGCCACAATCCCCACGATGAAGGGCGTCAGGATCGACCAGAGCTCGTTCTTGGTGAACATCGCCAGCAGCAGCCACGGCCCTCTCCACCCGTTGACGCAGACGAACGCGAAACACACCGTATACACCCTGGACATCACGTAGAACAGGATCCGGCCCCGGTCCGGATGTAGGTACCTCTCGAACAGGCGCTGGAGCAGCGTGAAGAATAGGTGGCCCACGATCCCCAGGCCCGTGGAGATGCAGGCGCTCAGCAGCTCGTCCTCGGGGTAGACGTACACCCCCATGAGCTCCCACACGCTGCGCCAGTAGCCGATGACCAGGGGCGCCACGACGAGCGACGAGAACAAAGTGTCCAGGATCGACAAGACGGCATAGTATTGGGCGTTGTGCCGCACCCTGAGGGTTTCCGGGAGGCCGGCGGTGCTTCCCCTCATCTTGTGGAAGAGGGTGCAACACCCATGCGTTGGTGCACTAGTGTTCGGTTGTGGCAACAGTAAATAGTACTAAATCAAATCGGTGATAACAGTGGGCACCCTATGTTTGGAGTTCTTGGAGGGGATACCACGTGGTACAACAATTTAATTTGTTGGTGCGGTGATGTGCTGAGTTTACAGGAGCGAGATGCTGTGGAGTGCGGAGGCACCGGTAATTGCATTAGGAGCGGGTTGGAAGGTGGAATGGCAAATTCGGTGGCTGGTTCCAGGTTTTGGGGGGTTTGATTTTTGTAGAAACTTAAATAAAGTGAAGATATTTTTGCACGGACTTACATGTACGGTTTTTGCAGTAACAAGAGATCATCATTCAGCAGTTACTGTTACAATAGGCCGGCTATCACATTGTTAGCAAAACGATAACCAGTCTTTTATCGGTTATGAGTCAGTTAGTTGTCCCTCTATTATGTGTTCACGTGTTAGTATCCAATGCTCAAATTTTCACAAACATTATTCTGCTACTAACTGAACTAAGCTCTTATAGACGTAAGTACCAATTCTCACAAAAGAGCAATTTGATACTTCAAGAGAATCCGCGATAGTGTAAAAAATTAAGGTGGATTCATAGATCACAAGTACAGGACTATGTTATTTTATCAAATTTAAATAGCATTTTCCTAAAGTACATATCTCTAAAATTTGATAACGCCCATTCTAGTAGTTTCGGAGATTGTCTGTGTGATAAATATCGACACAGACCACAAAAGACCGACTGACGGAAACGGGAGATCTATTTTTTCACACTTTAGGCGTCACGAAACGTTGGAAAACATGAAAAATTTCGTCCGTGATCAACCAAAATTATTTTCCTGTTTTTTCAAATGGACCACGACTATATTTATTATCATTTTATTCCACCACTGTTAGTTAATTTAACTGAGTAACTAAATACGGCCCTGAAAATCGAGGTCATAACTATTTACTTGTCTTCAAGTGGTAAAATCATGCCACATATGTAGACAAAACATCCTTCAAAAGAGTTTCGATTTTTTTAAGGCATATCAGTTTTTTAAGGTTAAGAGCGATCTTGTCACAAATAGGTTACTGTTACACATTGAAACAATAGTATTGTAATTATCATGTTTTCCCGACGTTTCATGACGCCTGGACTAGGAAAAATAGGTCTCCTTTTATCAAATTAACAATTTAATGACGTCAACTCAAATTTTTTTAGTAAATGGTATTTAAATTTTATAAAATCACATACTCCTGTATTTGTCGTTTATGAATCCGCCTTGAGTTTTTACCCTAGGCATTCAGATTTTCACAAAAAAAATTATTTAATTTTACTTCAGGGGCGAGAGAAGGTCTGTCTAATAACATAAGACCAATTTTCTTTGTTATGACGCGACTAAACTTAATTAAACGTGAAACTGCCACCATTTCAAGTTCGTTGTTTTCTCTACGTTTCATAATCCTTATAGTATGAAAAAATTGGTCCCCCATTTCCGTATGGCTGTTGTATATAAATTTTGTAAATTAATATATATTTTTATATTCGTGTAGTTTATTAATCTGCCTTTGTTATTCACCTTCGTGGTTTAGATTTGTCTTTGATAGAATTTTCGTCTTGTCAGATTGCTGTCAATTTGAAAGTTTGAGCTGAAAATACAATGATCAAAGACAAACTTTCAAAAATTGGTGGCTGTCTTTAATTACTCACTCGGTATACCTTATTCTGGAAAAATGGTATCTAAGAAATGAGTCCGAAAGCAACTTCTGGAGGTGGTTCATAGGAGAGTGAAAATTTTGCTTATGAGAAAGTTCTCTAAAAAATCCCAAAAAATTCTGGTTTAGGTTTATGCTCTTGGACAAGATTTAAAAAATTACCGAAAAACTCCCAAAAAATTCTAGGATATAGGTTTCGTTGTACTGATTCCAAAAACAGCGTGTTTGTGCTCCCGGGGAAAGATTTAAAAATATTCAGTTTAGAAATAGAAATTTTTTTAAATCCAAAACAATCCAAACTTTCACTGGGCGATTCTGGAAAAATGGTGGAAACTAGCAAAGAAATGGGGCCAAAATTTTAACTTCAGGAGGTCGATATCTATAAGCACATGTCTTTGGTTAAATTTCGAACATTGGCGAAAATTGGCCAAAATTTTCATAGGGGGTTTTGAAAAATTTTCTTCATCAAACATTTACCGAAAAAAATCTCAAAAAATTGTAGGATATACGTTTCGTTGTACTGATTCCAAAAAGATGACATGTTTATGTTCCCGGGGTAATATTTCAAAATATTCAGTTTAAAAATGTATTTTTTTTAAATCCAAAATAATCCAAACATTCAGTGGACAATTCTGGAAAAATGGTAGAAATTAGCGAAAAAATGGGGGCAAAAGTAACTTCTGGAGGTCGATATCTATAAGAAAATGTCTTTAGTTAAGTTTCGAAAGTTGTCAAAAATTGGCCGAAATTTTCATAGGAGGGTGAAAATTTTACTCCTGAGAAAGTTCTCAAAAAAAAATCCAAAAAAATTAAGATTAAGATTTAAAAAAATTGACGAAAATTGGCTGAAAGAAATGAGGCCAAAATTTTAACTTCAGGAGGTCGATGTCTATAAGCAAATGTCTTTGCTTAAGTTTCGAACATTGGCGAAAATTGGCCAAAATTTTCATAAGGGGTTTTGAAAAATTTTGTTCATCAAAAATTTACAAAAAAAAAAAATCTCAAAAAATTGTAGGATATAGGTTTCGGTGTACTGATTCCAAAAACATGGGATGTTTATGTTCCCTGGACAAGATTTCAAAATATTCAGTTTAAAAATATATATTTTTTTAAATCCAAGAAAAATCCAAAAATTCAATAGACGATTCTGGAAAAGTGGTAGGAATTAGCGAAAATGGGGGCAAAAGTAACTTCTGGAGGTCGATGGCTATAAGAAAATGTCTTTGGTTAAGTTTCGAAAGTTGGCGAAAATTGGCCGATTAGGGGGTTTTCAAAAATTTTGTTCATGAAAATGTTCTCAAAAAATTCCTGAAAAATTCAAGGATGTAGGTCTCGCTGTACTGATTCCAAAAACATAGGGTGTTAGTGCTACCAGGGCAAGATTTAAAAATATATATTTTTTTAAATTCAAAAAAATCCAAAATTTCAATAGACGATTCTGTAAAAATGGTAGGAACTAGCGAAGAAATGAGGGCAAAACAAACTTCTGGAGATCGATATCTATAAGAAATAATGTCTTTGGCTAAGTTTCGAACATTGGCGAAAATTGACTGAAATTTTCATTTGGGGTTTTTGAAAAATTTTGTTCATCAAAAAATTACCAAAAAAATTCCAGGATATAGGTTTCGTTGTACTGATTTCAAAAACATAGCATGTAACCCGGGGTAAGATTTAAAGATATTCAGTTTAAAAATATATATTTTTTTAAATCCAAAAATTCAGTGGTCGATTCTGGAATAGTAACTTCGGGAGTTCGAAATCTATAAGAAAATGTCTTTGGTTAAGTTTCGAAAATTGGCAGAATTTTTATTGGGAAATTTGTTTCTCATCATGAAAAAGTCTGGAAAAATTTCCAAAAAATTCTGAATTGTAATCTCATCGTGTTGTTTTTAAAAACATAGCGTGTTTATGCTCCCGGGCCAAGATTTAACAACATTCGTTTTCAAAATATACAGTGTTTTTCTTTGTTCGTCGTGGCCAGAGGGGCGGAGTTTAATTGCAAAATTAATTAATTTATTTTTCTACAAGAATTACCATATAGACCGTGTTCTTCAGTGATCGTGATTCTCAAGGAAACTATATGTATTAAGTAAAAAAAGGCCAAAAGATAAGCCCCACCCATCTGTCTGGATCTCAACCGTGATGAATTTTTCATTGGTTGTCAGACCGAGGGGCGGAGCGTAATGCAAAATCCATATTTTCTGTTTTAAATAACAACAATAAACTGTTTTAATTTCTTGTTGTGAAAAGGATACTGCGTATATTAAGAAAACAAGGTAAAATATAAGCCCCACCCACCCACCCTACTTCTATTGTGATGATTTTTTTATTCGTCGTGAGCCAAGAGGGCGGCGCTTAACTGCAAAATCCGTATTTCTCTACAAGAAATTTCATGTAAAGTATCGTGTTGTTCAAAGAATACCATGTATATTAAGTAAAAAACAAAGCCAAAGCTTAAACCCCACCCATTCCTGCCCCGATCTCAATTCTGATGAAATTTTCACTCGTTGTCAGACCAAAAGGCGGAGCTTATTTGAAAAATCCATATTTTTCTACAAGAATTACCAGATGAAACGTGTTCTTCAGTGATAGTGCTACTCAAAGCAAACTATATGTATTAAGTAAAAAAAAAAAACAAAAGAAAAACTCCACCCACTCGTCTCGATGTCAATCGTAATAAATTTTTCATTCGTTGCCAGACCGAGGAGCGGCGAATAATTGCAAAATCCATGTATCCCTCCAAAAATTTACCATTTTAAAAATGTTTAAGTTCTTGCTATGAAAAGATAACTAAGTATATTTAAAAAAAAAAAATATTCGCCGTGACCCCAGGGGCGGAGCTTAATTGCAAAATCTTTGTTTCTATACAAGAATTTACCATATGAAACATATTTTTGTTGTTGTTGACATTGTAGGGGAGAGGGGGTTACAGAGCCTCCTTTTTCTCAAAATGATCTATTTTAAACATTATGATAATAGTTAAAACATGTTTTGCTGAAAAATCACAATGGAGATTGGAACGGGTGGGCGGGGCTTAATTTTTGACTTTTTTTTAAACGTATGTGGTTTTCTTTCAACATGATACTTAAAAACATGTTTCACGTGTTAGTTTCTTTTAGACAAATAAAAATTTTGCTATTAAGCTCCGCCCTTCGGCTCACAACGAATAAAAAAATTGTCACAATTAAGATGAGGGCGGGTGGGCGGGGTTTAAAAGGGTAAATTTGTAGACAGGTGTCTGGGGGATACAATTTACTATTTTAAATATGTTTTAAGTTCTTGTTATGAATAGATAACTAAGTATATTAAAACGAAGACAAAATGTAAGCCCCGCCCACCCACCCTATCTCAAATATGGTGATTTTTTTATTCGCTTTGACCCCAGGGGCGGAGCTTAATTGCAAAATCTTTGTTTCTCTAGAAGAATTTACTGTATGAAACATCTTTTGTTGTTATTGATAATAGTGAAAACATGTTTTGGTGAAAAATTCATTACAATGGAGATTGAGACGGGTGGGTGGGGCTTCATTTTCTTTTTTTTTTTTTAACGAATGTGATTGTCTTTCAACATGACACTTAAAAACATGTTTCACGTGGTAGTTTCTTTTAGACAAATAAAAATTGTGCTATTAAGTTCCGCCCTTCGGCTCACAACGAATAAAAAAGTTATCACAATTAAGACGAGGGCGGGTGGGCGGGGTTTGTATTTTGCGTTTTTTTCTTAATATATAGACGTAGTTTTCTTTTCACTACAAGAAACTAAAAACATTAGTTACTATGTTATACACAGTTCTCCACATTGTGTCATAGAGTTGATATTCCATTTTTTCAGCACCCTGTATATTTTTTAGCGATTTTAGATTTGTTGAACCTAAAAATACGCACCGATCCGCGAACTAAAAACAAGCCAAACCTTTTAATTACTCCCAGATTCGTTTTTAGAGCACACAAGTAAACTAGGCCCGTTTTGGTCTGTTGAAAATATGACATACTTCTCGGTTGATAAAAGCGTAAAATTACACCATCGTGATTAAAAGCCATGTAAAACCAGTTTTATTACACAATTTCGCTTAATAAAAAGAAAAATTTCACTTATAGTTTTTGCTTACCTTCGTCCTAAACCTCGTAAGAATAACGAACGTCTTGCTCTTCCTGTCCGTGCAGAAGAGAAACGGCGGCGCGACACAATTCCTCAGGCTCCGTAAGGCCATAATCAGCAGCAAACATCCAGCACAAACCGTTAACATAACTCCGCTTCCTTTTTTTAGTACGGTTCCGGATTTGGTCAGTTCCACGTTCAAGTACTTGTCCATAAAAGCCCATCCGCCTCGCCAGTACATGATCGACGAAACGGCGAAAATGGAAGTGTACGTGCGAGTTATCAAAAAGTTGAAAATTTTGCTTTCTGTAGTGGAGCTTTTTTTCTTGACTATGTCGTTCAAGGAATCTTGGACTATGATGAAGACGATGTAGGTGCAAAGACCCACGGATAAGCACATCCAAGCTGGGACGTAGTCGTCGTAGATTTCCAACAACACCCAAACTCCTCTCCACACTCCAACAACGCACGTAGAAATCAAAAATAAAGAGACCAGAGTGTCAAAAGTGCCGAGTAGAGGCTTCCTAACTTCTTTCTTTTTTATGAGGGCGAGGTACTTAGACGACAGAGGTTTGTTGTTGTTATGGACGAAAATTTGGATCGATTTTCCGGTGTCGGTCTTCAATCTGGTTTCGTCGTTTTCGAATTTGTACTTTAAAGGCGCCTCTTCGTCCATTTGTGTTGATCAAGTGTCCCCTAAAAGTGAAAAATGACAGTGATAAAGTGGAGTCGAATATTTAGAAATTTCCATTGGGTGTTGTAAAGATACTTGAAACTATAATCGTAATTTCGTAATGAATTAATGAATTGGTGTTAAAACGAAATTTCCATTGTTTTATATTTTTATGTTTCTTTGTGTAGACAGTGTCAAGTTTACATAGATGAGTAAATTTAACTAGATAGTGCAATCAAGCTGGATTTAATTAAGCGTCTAAAAATTGTTAACAGGTAATTTAGAAATTATTTTATTTTTTTCTATTGTAGATATAATTTGTGTACTTACTTTTGAAACTATCGACACCACACAGTGTTTTCGGCTGTTTGTTGTCGCACTCCAACGTGATAACTCGATAAAGTGCACCTATTTTTCCTTGTCCTATATTTTATTTTCTCGTTGAACGAAACGAGATGTGTCGATACAATAACTAATAATTGGATAAACTTGTCTGAAGATTGTTATTTGTCATTTACATTACGTACATCATATTTGCGCAAACATTTATGGCACTGTATTGATACGACTATTTAGAGGACTAATTTGCAAAAAAAAATTATACTGAAATTAATTTTTCATAATTGTGTGTTATTTTTGAGTTTAAGCGTTTCTGACGTGTGTGAAAGTGAATAAACTGCAAAAGTTAAGTGCTTGCTTTATAGCCTTACCACTGACATAAAATGAATACGATAGCCCAAATGACCTTATTATTACAGTCGTCAGGTTGCTTCCATTTTGTTTGTGTAAATTTTCAAACTGAACCCGATTTTTCACCGCATTAACTGATAACACCTTCTTAAATCACTGAGGTTATAGATACTATTTGTCATTATATGTAAAATCAATAGATAATAAAGATCACTGACATGATTTAATTATAGTATACACAGTATTAACAACTACATTTTAGTTCATAAAACTTAACAAACCAAATATTTAAATAAATTAAGAACCCTACGGTTAAGTCGGTGACGGACTACTTTGCCTTCGCATCTCATTCACAACCTTACTCTCCCCAACACTAACATCATTAGGATACAGATTCAGATGAATCACCATCTTCTTCGTCTTGCTTTCCGGCAGCCGAAGCCTAGGCGTCAGATTTTCAATCCTATGGTGAATCAGCTGCCGAAGTCCAAATTTTTGCTCCCGTTCTTCCTTTTCTCTATTCGGAAAAATGTTCAAAGTTAGAGACAAGGGTTTCGGTGGGTTCACGGTCTCTTGCCTTTTGATATTGTCGTACTGTGGTGGACCATGAACCCTGTTGGGTTTTAGGTTGCTCCATATGGGTGGTGCGAAGCGGAAGCTGGCCGTTGCTAGAAGGTTAATTTCGCCAGGGTCTTGTGGCTTGTACAGGTAAAAAGGGTCGCTGTCGGTGAAGTTTTTGGCAGACGGTTTGTTCTGTGGAAGGTACTGGCTGGAAGAGTGCTTGTAGCTTCGCACGGGCTGGTGGTACCTGGTGGCGTACCCGATCACGTCTTGGATGTTGTTGGGGTAGTACCGGTGTCGGAAACTACTAACTTGAGGGTAGTTCAAAGTGGTGATTTTTTCAGTGGTGGAACTGAACTCGGACGGCGTTGGTCCTCGATATGTCGTCTTGAATGGTTTCGCTGGAGTGAAGACTTCTCGTCTGACGGATTCAGCGACTACTAATTTTTCTGCTTTAGACGATGATGATGATGATAATGGTAAAGTCGGTTCTGACGACGTGATTAGGTGCATCGACACATATATTATCTAAAATTTTGACACTTATTGATCAGTCAACTTTTTAATTGACTTACCACTAGAAGAAATATCGCCGCCAGTGTTGCCACCACCACGAATTTAAGCGATCTTAAGTTGTTTTCTTTTTGTCTTTCTTTGTATAAGCCGAAGTCGGAAGACGCTTTGGGGGACATTCTTCACCCGAGTTTTAAAGAACACTGAGTGTCAACGGTGTCTAGCGTGTCTTGAAAGTCGTTTTGGTGGTGCTTTTAGCGTGAACTAATTAGCTCATGAACAATGATAAGTACGTGGTGAAGAGCTAATCGTGTCGTTGTCACAAAGTAGCAGACGATGAGAAATTTTTCACCTGGAAATATTCCGCAAAGCCGATAATTCTTTTGAGTGAGTAATTCCTGGTTTCTCTTTAGTTGAACGATAATCAGGGGGTATTGTGATTTCAACGGTGACTTGGTACCGGTTGTGGAGTACCGAAATGTCTAGTTTTGGTCAATTTGTCTGGGTTGTAAATGTTTAAGTACCGTGAAGCCGATTTAATTTGTGTTATGTTATCTTGTTTAATTTCTCAGTACTGGATTTAATAATTACCAAACTAAAATATTGCGTTGTATTTTAAACTGACGTCCAGCTTCAAAATGTTTGATATTTTTGTTACTGCGGACGTGTTAATTGCATGAATAATCGATTTTCAGTCTGTTTGAAAATTGACTGGCAACTAGATTCCAAAACATGTGCTCGAAACTCGCAGATTGTGCAAAAAATTAGAACTTTTGGTTGAACATACGTGGGTTCGTCGTCTTTTTTATAAATTCAATGTAAATAATGCTATCACTAGAGTCCGGAGTTATATGCACATTGTTTTCTGAAATGAGCATAAGTATGCACCCCAAAAAGTGCGCCATTTCTTCTACGACGAGCGAATTGTGCAGAAAGCCGCAATTCGCCTCCACCCGAGACGAGATGATTGAGAAGATTTCACTGACTTATTTTATTTAGTGTAAAATGGAAATTGAAAAATAACAGTATTGTATTCCCAAAATTTTTTGGGAAAATGGAGTGAGTCGTTCCTGATTTAATCAATTAAATAAATTGACACTGTAATAACCCAAACATTGTTGACATGTGAAAAAAATTGAAAGCCCGCGAAAAATTAAAAAATTCGAAATTTGGCCTTAGCTTTGATCGTCTAACAAAAATGGAACCCTACGTTGTGTTTTTGAAAAATGGCGGGATGCGTTCAGATGCAAGTGGAGGACGCCAAGATTGGAAAAACACCGCTAAATAAAAGACCAAATTAATAGAAGGCACAAAATTATTTATTCTCAGCTACAAAAAAAACTTTGAATGACTTGGAATGAAATCAAATTAAACGTTCTGAATCAATGCAGATATTTGAATATCACAAATTTAATAAAAACAAAGCAAAATCTGAATTAAAATAGTGGTGTGTGGCGGCAAATTTAAAATTATGACAGTCAACAAGAGAACAAAATTTTAATAAAAAGCAATGCAGCGGCAGCGGCACCAGAGCGCTATAAGAGTGTGGCGATCGAACTATGTCAATTTCATTCTAGAGCACAACAAAAATACCCCTAGGAGGCGTTGTAGCGCGAGCGGAGTTTGGGGCTCCTGGTCGTGGCTGTTCTCCTACCCACGACGGTGATTCTATCTATCGCAAGCACTGTCGCCCAGCACCCCAAGAGTGCGTAGACGATCAGATGGCGCGATAAACCCCGCAGCTCGACTAGGAACCGCGCACTCCGCTTCCATCACGTGTTTCTGTGTGTATTTAACCTCACTTAAATGTTCAATTTCTTATGACTCTGATATTAACGATAACTAAACAAGTGTTAAAGTTTCAAAAAGAGCAATAAACAACAATAAAAATATTTGCAATTAAGCCCCGTCCGACGATCTGACATCGAATGAAAAATTCATCACAATTAAGAATTGAGATCGGGGCGGGTATGGATGGGGCCTAATCTTCGGCTTTATTTTTTCTTAATATACATGGTATTTTTTGCACGATGCTCAAAAACATGTCTTTAATTTTTCGTGGAGAAATAAGGATTTTGCAGTTAAGCTCCGCCCTCTTGGCTTATGAAGAATAAAAAAATCATCAGAATTGAAACAGGGTGGGTGGGCGGGGCAAAATTTTGCCTTGTTTTCTTAATATGTGTAGACTTATTTTGAACAAGAAACTTAAATCATGTCTAAAATGGTAAATTTGTGTAATAATCAACTTCAATACGGCAAAAGTTGAACATGAAAGTCACTATCAACGGCAATTTGGCAACGGAGTTTATAAATGACAATTTTCAGCTCTAAAAGCAACGTCAAACAAAATGTATACAAATATGGATCTTGCAATTAAGCCCCGCCTCTCAGCTTACGACGAATAAAAAAAAATCATCAGAATTGAGATAGGGCGTGTGGGCGGGGCTTATATTTTGCCATTTCTGTCTTAATATACATAGCCGTCTTTTCACAACAAGAAACTTAGAACATTGTTAAAATGGTATATTTTTGTAAGGAAATATGGATTTTACAGTCATGGGGCTAATTGCAAAATCGATATTTTCTTATACAAATTTTCCATTTTAAACATGTTTTAAATTTCATGTTGTGATAAGAGGTCTACACATATTAAAACAAAAAAGCAAAATGAAGGCCCGCCCACCCACCCTATCTCAATTGTGATGATTTTTTTATTCGTCGTGAACAAAGAGGGCGGAGCTTAACTGCACAATACTTATTTCTTTACAAGAAATTACAGAGTATCGTGTTGTTCAATTGTATGTAAATTAAGAAAAAAAGGCTAAATATTAACCCCGCCCACCCACCCCATCTCAATTGTGATGATTGTTTTTATTCTTAGAAACTTAAAACACATTTAAAATGGTAAATTTTTGTAAGTAACTACGGATTTTGCAATTAAACTCCGCCCCTTTGGCTCACGACGAATAAAAAAATCATCACAATTGAGATAGGGCGGGAGGGTGGGGCTTATATTTTCCCTTTTTTCTCAACATACGTAGTCGTCTTTTCAGAAAAAGAAAATATATAAATATATTTTGACATTTTTGTTTTAATATACATAGCCGTCTTCCTTTTACAAATTTTACATTTTAAACATGTTTTAAATTTCATGTTGTGAAAAGAAGTCTGCACATATTAAGAAAATAAAAGGCAAAATGAAGACCCGCCCACCCACCCTTTCTCAATTCTGAATATAACATGTATGAAAATTTACGTTCAATTTAAATTATACATCACAGAAAATTACTGAAGTTAAAATTGTGAGATATAGAAAAATTTCACAAGGTGAAAAACTGCAAATCTAACAAAATTACGTGAGGTTAATGTTTGCCACACTTTAGCAACGATTAAAACAAAGAGTTTACATTATGTTAAATTATGCCACACTTTATCAACGATTCAAACAAAGAAATTTAGAAATCTTTAATCCCTCCTTCAGTCCACGATATTAAATATTATGAATTCTACTGCACCTTTCTACGATCTTTTATTATCAGTTGATTTAACTGCCATAAACGAACTATTAGCAATCATGTATGAAGAATTAAGGAGTGTTATAATATACCACTTTAAGTATTAGCATCCAGAAACGTTATTCGTAATTAGTAGAGAGCGGATTTCTGTCGGGCTACGTCACGATTATTAGGTGGGGACGCGTGAATCGCTGTGAATCAGTAGCGGGTAATAATCAGTGCATTTAATTTTCACTTATTCAACAAATACAATTCACGAAACCTTAATTCGTAAAACAGCTAGGTAAATGAGAACGGGAATTAACAGCAAAGTACAACGAAGCACCGTTATTTTATTCGAAAATAGACGAAGTGCAGCTAGTAACTGCTCTGAATTCCCATCCCGCACGAGCCGTACCGAGTTTGGCCTTGCCAAGCCCGACAGAAATCCGCTGTCTAGTAATTAGACAAACAAAATCACGAGTCCCGACTAAGTGAATTTCATGAAAACTCCTAGCAAGTATTTATCTAAGCAAATTCCTGATTGTTAAATTGCGTTAGAACTAGTTAACGATTAAACTCCTAATATGAACTGTGAATTTACAAACAATGAATCAAATTTACACAACGTTGGAGAAACTATGGCATCGTCGTCGTTACGATTAATTGTTTTTAAACAAAAACCAACTAAACTTAACCTACTCACCACGTGGTTACACTCACAACACACAATTTTTTTGATTGAATTTTTTTTTCAAATTCAGATTATTCAAATGTGATTATTTCGCGCCACTGTTAATTTTTTTCAGCGCGAAATTTTTTATTCAAATTCATTCATTTTTTTGAGCTACCTGTATAAGCAAATCTAAAAAATATGAATGCAATGATAAATCACAAATAAAAACTCATCATATTTTGCACATTTCGGGTAGATTTAGGAATTTAACTCGTTACTATGGAAATTTGTAGTTTAACACCTTTAAATTTCACAAGTTTTTACAAGATTAATAGGGGCAAAATCAGTTTTATCTTAACAAATACTAGCCCCGCCCACACGGCCTTTATTTTCTCAGTACTTGCTAAAATAAGTCTTATATTGGCAAATGATATATTCTCTGAATAAATAGGAGGGTGGGCGGGGCTAGTACTTAGTAAGATAAGACTGATTTTGGCAAACGCTATACCCTCTGAGAAAATAGAGGGCGGGTGGGCGGGGCTAGTACTTGCTACGGTAAAACTTATTTTGGCAAATGACGGGGCTACGAACTGCACTTACGGTTGCGTTAAACAAGGCAAAAAGTAAGCCCCGCCCACCCACCCGGTCTCGATTGTAACGATTTTTTTTATTCGTCGTGAACCAAGAGGGCGGAGCTTAAGTGCAAATTTGATATTTCTCTATAAAAATTTTCCATTTGAAACTTATTTTAGTTACCTTGTGAAAAGAAAACTACGTATATTAAGAAAAGAAGCAAAATTGGAGCCCCACCCACCCGCCCCATTTCAATTGTGGCGTTCTTTTTATTCGCCGTGAGCCCAGGGGCGGAGCTTAATTGCAAAATCTTACCTAATTGCATGGATTTTACAATTAAACTTTGCCCACAATTGAGGTTGGGGCGGGTGGGTGGGGCTTACTTTTAACTGGTTTTTCTTAACATATATAGTTTTCTTTCATCAACTTTATACTTACTTAGAAAAATGTTTTACAAAGAGAAATAAGCATTTTGCAATTAAGCTCCGCCCCTCGGCTCACGACGAATAAAAAGTAATCACAATTGAGACAAGGGCGGGCGGGTGGGGTTTATATTTTCCTTTTTTTTCTTAATATATGTACGTAGTTTTCTATTCATATGCCGCGTGGTGTAATGACCGGATCACACAGAGAGCCGCAATTCCACACCATCCGTGACGAGAAAAAAATTTGTTTACACCGTTTGGATAAAAGATCATAAAAATATTAATCTTACCCGCTTACAACAGCATGGAGTGTATTTCTATACTGCGTTGTTGTTTTTGCGAAAAACGTCAAAATATGTACATTTTCTATGGAAATATGCGCGTTTTTTCGA